GCTAAAAAATTCGCAGAGCACATCACTTTGCTCTACAATTTCTACACGACTAGAACTTATTTGGATGCCGCAAATACTGTACATTGACCAGTGTTTTGCCAGAAGTATCTAAGTGCGGAGACAGACAAACAGGGAATGCTGTTGACACTCTTCGCCAATCTTTGGTGACTGCCTGTCCGGCCCTGTCGGGGCCTGGTATGAAAACCTAACGTTCGAGTTCCTAAATAGGCTGTTTACCGTATTCACAACTGATAAAACCGTGTTTAGTTTTGATTGCATATAAAATATTATGTAATCTAAAACTTGCAACAGCGCTGGCGAATGATCAATCGCGCCACACCTTGCTTTGACGATGTAATAAACACCGTGTCCCGACAGTAAACATGCGTAATAATTTATGGATACGCAGAGCCCGCAGAGGGACGTTATCGTTTTGGCTCTTGACGTGCTTACAGATTACAGTGCACTAAATTGTGTCAATAATTTAATATTTACATCTGCCATTGAGTAATTTCAGAGTTGGACACTTTTCCGTGCAAAAACTGATTTTATTTGGCGCGGACGACGATGCTGATTGGTTTTTGGGATTTTAACCATCCTTGCAAGCAGCAATGAAAATTTTTGGTATACAATATACGAGAAGAAAAAACAAATTATAAATATTGTAGATTAGGGATGCTTAGTTCTACATGCCGTTTCCTTTAAGTTCACCTTCAGGGGAAACCATGTTGGTGACTTCATGGATCTATGAATAGAAACTAATTATTTTTGTTGTACATATTCTTTGTATTCGCCGGTGAAGATGCGGTATAGTAGCCACGAGATGTTTTACTGCAACGTGCGGCGAAATGGGAACATGTTACGCACTTTGGCGACCATATTGCGGCAAAATTATCATAGGCAAAGAACCGTTTTGCTGCAAAGGTTGTCGGAAATACAGATAACTACTTTGACCAAATAGAGCATAAGCAGCGAGCCTATATATACATACGTAACACGCGCAGTGCATTTTGTGCAGTACACACGCTGCGGCACCGGTTGATACGCGAAATGAAGTACTGATTACATTTTAAAAAGGTGCGTCGTGGCAGCCACTTCAGCTGATTTTACATTTCGGCATTTGGTCAATTTTGTGTTTTCGTCGATGATTGCATTCATAGCAGTTTACATGACTGGACGAATACGAGGGCATTCAATATTGTACACGCAAAAGCCAAACGTTTGATACACGTGTGTATCATATTTTATATTGCTCACAAAGGGAAAGTGGATTATTTACAATGGGAGCAACTGCCTCAGCAGCATATGCGTTCCTGGAAGCGGAGAAGAAGACGTGGATAGAGCATACATTGGTTTACGATGAACCGGTTCGGATGGCCAATTTAAAATATCTTGCCGACTTTGAGGACGGCAAGAATATCTTTCTAGTTTCATGAGAAGCAGTTGGGGTAACAAAGAATTCGAGCACTGGTTTGTGACCAACGGGACGCAGTTCCTGGAGTTTGGGTCGATTGATGCCAATATTTACAATGCCCGGGTTACCATCAATACGAATCCTCGCTACAATTACCCCATCTATATCCACGACGTCAAGAGTTGTCGTCCGATGAATGAGCATATGCGGAATCGTATGCGACATGTGATCGGCCTGTCTAACTATTCGCTGTGCCTGCGCAACTGTGAACACGTGGCCAACTATGTCTTCCGTGGCCGCTGGGTTAGCAGTCAGATGGACGATCACGGTAACGGTGAATTGATACAATATTTTCGCTCGTATATGATGGACAACAGGAAGCGACTGATCAACACATTCCCGGTTCCCATTCGATCCCACTTTCCAGTCACTAGTGCAGCTAAACACGAGTCAATGTATTCCTTTATTCTGGATAATTATATATTTAGCCGCATCGAATACTACCTGGATTACGAAGACGATACATACAATGTCCTGGTGTTAGGGCCGACGGGCGCCGGCAAGTCGCATCTGATCAACGTCTTCTTCAATCAGAACATCTGCGAATCTGACGTAAGCCATCAAAGTGTTACCAGAGAGATTGTTTTTGTTCGTGGACGTGGTAAGGTGTACAATCCAAAGAAAAGAACTTACGAGGAGCGAAACATTGTGGTGGCGGATACGATTGGTCTATGCGACACCGAATGGGAGGATGAAAAGGTTATCAGTCTGATTCGCAATCGTGTCAGCTCCAACTTCAAGTACATTGACGCTGTGTACGTGGTATTTCGTGCGGATCGGTTGTTGAAAGAACATGTGGCGAATATCCGGCGTATTTTGGAATGGCTGCAATATGCGACAGGTGAAAACTATTTAAGATTCCTCTTTGTGGGAACGTATGCGGATTATTTAACCACAGAAAAGAAGAATTTCTTACGGGTCGAAGCGACGGGCATGTTCCAATTGAAAGACACTAGCCGGACGATTCTCCCCACCGGCGACAGCATACAGTCGCTGGTGTATACCGGCTTTCCGCCGGAGGATTCACTAAACGATAAAACAAAAGAACGAACGGAGCAGTGCTGGCGAGAACTGCGTGTTCTGCTGAAACATCCGGGTTTATGCAATCGTATCAACTTGAATAAGGGGCTCTGCAATATTCTGTAAGGTAATCGAAGCCGGCACATCGCGATACAGTTTACCTGGTTCTGGTACTGGTTGTTCTATTCTCATTAAAAATTATTCTTTAATGCTACTAATCAATTTTTTGTGAGTAGATTGCATACTGGAAGATTTTTGTTTTGTCTTGTTTCTTCTGCAGCGCCGCAAACCTGTTCATTCAATTTCTATGACCGCCAATTTCAAATCAAGTCACAATAATAACATCCCGTATCTTCCTTGCATTTGGCTGTGGTTGCATTGACTTTATCCAAAGTACGTTACTCCTGTACATAGCACTATCGATTCAATAAACTAATTTGAGGCATTTCCAGAATACACGTTTCTTCTGGTTAGAATATGGATAGCGGAAAGCCTCATGGCGCATGAAAATCTTTTGCCAATTAAAGTTACGTAACGCAATATTGAACAAAGTCAGAAACATCAGGCTTTTTACATTTAGCCAAGCTGCAAAAAATCACATTAATTACACCGTGGCAGCTCTTCCAAATTGCATTCGTGCGCTTCTCAATTGGTGCGTACGGAACGTTCTTGCCTTTCCTAAGGTTCCTCTCTGGTACGCCCACGGCCTACCGACTGTCCATCGTAGGTGTGGTAACCGTGTCCCGAATGGCGATGTACTGGGCATCTCACGAAGTTTCTGGCGCAGTAACCAGACGCGATTGATGAGCTCATCCGTTTAGATCTGAAGACTATGTCAATCCGATTGACATAGACCTGGTTGCCGGTGCCCTCCTAATTAGTAAACCGCCAGGATTTTTTTAAATGTTTAAAATTTAATCAATTAAATTAGTTTTAATTTGTTCAAGCGTATTGTCATGTGTATTGATGCTGCAGAAATAAAGTGTAAGTTTCTCATCTCATTCACAACTAAGGAAAGACTACTGCGTAATGATTTTGGATGTGTTTTCAGTGTTTGAAATTTGATCGTTTTAATTTCGTATTGTAAACCCGCGCAGGCGTTTAAGTATGACGTTGTGTCGTCGCGACAAATGGCTGGGCCTCGTTTGGGATTTCTCGATAGCTTAGATCGGCTGCAGAGATTCATGGACAGAATTACGCGCAGTCACCTGCGCCATTGCGAGAGAGCTGCGCTAGTTGTTTTGGGTTTGTGATTTGCTTTTGAGAAAAAAACATGTAGGGGTAGTGTGTCGGGCCGTTGCTTTAAAGTTTTAGTTTCACGGATCCGGTGCGGTAAGTCGGTAAGTCAACACCTTCCCTTCAGCTCGTCATTACGGCGAAACCGGAATGCCTCTACTCGTTTGTTCGGGGTAATTATACATTCAGCCGGATCGAGTACTACCTGGATTACGAAGATGACACGTACAATGTCCTAGTGGCTTGTCGTTGGGCCGACGGGCGCCGGCAAATCGCATTTGATCAACGCCTTCTTCAACCAGAACGTCTGCGACTCCACGGTCAGTCATCATAGTGTTAGTCGGGAGATTGTGTTTGTGCGGGGACGGGGTCAGGTGTATTCAGTCCCTGCAGAAAAACCTACGAGGAACGGAACATTGTGGTGGCGGATACGATCGGGCTTTGTGACACCGAATGGGACGACGATAAGGTGATCAATCTGATCCGCACTCGGGTCAGCTCCAATTTCAAGTGCATTGACGCTGTCTATGTAGTGTTTCGGACGGATCGGTTGCTAAAGGAGTACGTTGCCAACATCCAGCGTATCCTGCAATGGCTGAAATACCCCACGGGCGAGAACTTTCGCAGATTCCTCTTTGTGGGAACCCATGCGGACCATGTGTCCACGGAAAAGAAGGATGCTTTGCGTGCCGATGTAACGAGCATGTTCCAGTTGAAAGACACCGGCCGAACAATCGAGCACACCGGGGAACGCGTTCAGTCGCTGGTGTATACCGGCTTTCCTCCGGAGGATTCACTGAACGACCGGACCAGAGCGAAGACGGAGAGATGCTGGCGCGGGAGTTGCGCACGCTACTACTGCATCCGGCTTCATGCAATCGTCTCACCTTGAACCAGGGAGGCTACTGCACTATTCTGTAAGGTTATCAGTACCGGCACGGGCGGCACATTGCAAATTGTGGTACTTACTCCGCTGGTTTTTGCAACAGCTGTTTTACGTTCTGTTTATGATCTTCTAGTTATGCTATCGCTTTGTTTAAGTGCAAATCTTAGTACTTTTCTTTTATTTTGTTTAACAGCCTTTGTAGTTTTTGGTATACAAAGGAGATTTCGTGTTCATTCAGTTTTATGATGGCCGTATGTTTAATGCAACAACCTCGCGTTTTACACTTCTCCCTTATACTGGTTGCGATCTGTCCGAAGTAGGAGATTAAATAGTACTTAAATTGTAAATGATTAGTTAGAAGGCGATCGGCAAGAAGCTGTTTATTTTCACATTTACACACATTGTCACACGTACATGTATCGAAGAACTTTCGACTTATGGTGGTCGGAATTTGGAAACAAAAGTTAATTGCCTGGTAACTCGCCAGTATACGTGTACCAGTACATGACAACAGTATAATTAAGTATTAAATGGATTGCATACTGCTCAACCGGAAACAGTTTACAAAGTATTTGTATTTAACCGGTACATCTTTAGGCATCTTTGTAGGTGCCTCGCTTATATGCCCACCGACTGTCTGGATTCGGGGAGGTAACTATATCCCGAATGACAAAGTATTCCCCATCGGGTGGGACTTCCTGGTGTAACAGCCACCCATTCTCTATCAGCAGCTCCGTAAGGACCAGCCGCCCGGCGGAGTCAAAGGTGGCAGTGTTGCCCAGGCCCTCTTTCAGGGACAGGCGATCGTCCGAACCTTCGCTGTCGCGGAACACGAGGTAATTAAATCCGTCTGATTCCTCCTCCTGAATCACCCAGCGTCCGATTCGGATTTTCTTCACTTCAAGTGAATCTGCCAAATCAATCTCGTGACGATGGTTGTCAGTTATTATGCGGGTGGTGATTATTAAAATTATGTTTGTTAATGTATTTTCAGCTGAATTAACAATGTAAGACAAAAAGTACCGAATGATACTGTATAACGTTTGCAGCACTTACTGGCTTTAATGTCTTTGGGAAAGGATGGCGCCGGCGCTGGTGCCGGGGCCGGCGCGGGAGCCGGTGTCGCTGGGCTGGGTTGCGGTTGTCGACACACTAACTCGTAGCATTCTGTGTATTTCGAACTGGACCCATCCTTCGTGTAGTAGCTGTCGCGGTATCCTCTGTACGACTCATATCCGTCATAATATCTGTTCATAACAGCAGTCTCGTATAATTCGTGCTCGGATAAATTACTGCCGTGTTACTACCGTAGCGATCTTCATGTTTTTCGTTTACTATAAGCAAAATTATTGTTTACTGGTGTTAAGAATGAACGCAGTGCAATTTTTGCAATAAGTTTATTCTGGCGCAATCTGTGCATTCGCAGTAATAACGTGCAGATTTATAGGTTTATAGTACAGTCAGTACTGCAATTTGCGAGTAGTACATTCATTAAATTTACATTAATTACACTACAGTGCGTGCTGTAACAATTCATATATTGAAGTGATCGAACCGCGCGCCATAAAACCTGTTTATTAATTTAACTAATCTGGTCGCAAACTCGTGGGTTACCTTGGTCGATATGGATTGTACGTTTCGTCGCGATAGCTACCCTTCGAGGTGTAACGGTCACTCCCAGCGGTAAGAGCAGGTCGGGCTGTTATTTCCGCAAGGAAGACAAACTGCAAAAATAAAAAAAACAATTGAGCTAAAGCTGATAGACAAAACATGTGACCCTGGTATGTAACATAAGTACAGCGTGGTAGCGCCAAGTTGAAGACAGCGCATATTTAATTCGCCCCCTCACTTCCCTGTACTTGTTAGTTCTGCTCAATTATTATGGATAAAACTATGGTTCACGGTTCACCTATTTGAAAAAAAATTTTTGCTGTCTTTTGTATAGATCTCATATTATTTATATTTCAATTTCATTTCCGGTGAGTTTTCGACTGACCAGCGTTTTCAGGATATTTTGGCTTGAAACTTTTTAACGGTCTTCGTACTTTTCAGTGTTTGTTTTTTTTCTCATGTACTTTTGTCGCCTATTTCAAGAAAAAAATAAGGTGGTTGGCTTTCCTTATCTTCCACAGGAAAGAGGAATGTTTTAAAATATGCTGTTTTCAAAAACCGACCGGGATTTTTTAGGTCGCCGTGGTAAATTCCATGTACACTTGTAAGGCATTACTCGGCTTCTCCCGGCTCATTTTCGCACAGACACAACTGTTAGGTGTTCTAGTTTTGTGTCTGCTTAGGGGGTAGTCGCTATTAGCTACACTTGTCCAACAAAATCTGGAACCTAGTGTGTCATCCAGGAATCTTCCCTTTGGGAGACCCTGCAGAATCGGAAACCAATCCGAATTTTGAACAATTTTGTTTTGTTCGTTTGCACAAATATCAGCCTTTACGGTGATATAAAGTACGAAAGAGACCCAGACGATCTGGATTTTTTTCGTAATTTTTTTGTTGATCCTCCCCCTTTGCATTTTACGAAGTGGTCACTGGTCAAATTCCAGTGACCACTTCCGAAAAAAATCCGAAAATTCCAAAAAGAGTTTATATACCAAAACAGAGTTTTTTTCCAGTTCTCCAAACATAGCGTTACTAGTTTTAGCAATAAGAGAGTTAAAAGTACCAAACTCTGAAATTTTAATAATTGGCAACCAACTGTCTTCAACTTGGCGCTACCACGCTGTACTCGTCGACTTACGATCACACAAGCTATCGTGTACGCAGCTACGCACGAAGATTGGCAGGACATTGTTAAATTATAATATCGACAGCGAAGGTTTAGGTGTTTGCTGGGTGTGGCGCAACCAAAGGTATGGAGAAAAGGAACGGTAAAAAATAAACAAACGATTGATGCCGGTGCTGCTCGTTATAATGTTATGCTAAGGAAAAGTCTGGAAGACTAACGAACTGTGCACCGAGCGTTAAATTGCAAGCTATACGTCGTGGTAACGAAGTGATGAAATTCACCGAAGTTGTTGTATAAGTACATCCTGCCACAAATTTACGAAAGTTGAATAAGTACTCGTAGTTATATAACTGAAAAAAACAGAGGCCGTTTGGATTTACCAGTGTCTCTCCAAAACCATATGTTTTGCTTCCCTTACATATCACGGAATCTGTGACAGTGCACGCATTCACTACCAGTGGCAAACTACAACAGATCGCGGCAGGGGCACAATTCACGGAATGAACTGTAATTTCGCTGCTATCTGTTAGCGTTTTGCACGCATTTCGGCAAGTTTACTGGAGTATTCTCAAGCAAGAATTTAAGCATTACATAACTAATTTTTTTGATGAGAAAAATAGTAATCAACAGTTTAAGTGCGCGCTGTCTAAGGCGGAAGTTTAGTGCTGATAGAACATGCAATAAGATGAATTATTCTCTCGTTAAAATGCGCACATTTGATTGAAAGCATAGTTTATTCGATAACAGAATTAATATGATTACATTATGTATGATCTATTAATTTACACGAGAAAATAACTGAAAACGGCAATAAAAAAGCACCCAGCACTCTGTCAGCTATTATAACGACACAAACGAAACCAGCAGCTTTAGACAATCATGCGTCTTTTGACGTTCCTCTCTGGTACGCCCAGCGACTATCCGGCGTGGGACTGGTAATCGTGTCCCGAATGACAAAGTACTGAGTACCTCCGGGTGATGGATAGGTTTCCTGGTGCAGCGACCAGCCGTCGTGAATGACGAGCTCGTCCGCTTCGACTTGTCCGTTGGGATTGACGTACACCGGGTTGCCGGTGCCCTTCTGAATGGCGAACCGCTTAACGCCCCCGCTGGCTTGATCCAGGACCACCAGATAGTTGCCATCCTGGTAGATCACCCAGTTGTCATCGCCGACCGCCAGCGCACTGACGTGCAGTTTCCCGTTGACGTCCAGCGTGGCGGAATTGCCCATGCCTTCTTTCAGGGCGAAACGGTCATCGTCGCCAGTGGAGTCGCGAAAGACGAGATAGTGCTCGTCTTCGAACAGTTCATCGCGGATAATCCATTGGCCGATGTGGATCTCTTTGGTCTTCAGTACTTCTAAAATAAAGTAAATTGTTGTGCATTAGTATTTGCATTTAACGGATAAATTACGAACTGACGTGGAAAATTATTGTTCACGCACTTTCAGTTCTGTCCTTATAATTCGTCGTACATTCGTCGTTTAATTTTAATAGCAGCTCATGCAAATTGTTTGGCTACGGAACGCAAAGAATGCGCGGAGTGAATCTTCCAGATGATGTATACGAAATTGCGAATTAAGCATCATATAGCAATTTTTTAAGGTTCTCTACTCGGTAGCCTACGCTTGTGAACCACTTTTCTTACAAATTGCTTTACGAGTACTATACATCTGTAGGGTTTACTGTAAAGGTTAGTACTTTTTTAAGTGTTGTTAACGGTGTCATACTTGTTTTAATTTCCTTGTAGTCCCATTTTGAAGAGGGAGCTGGCGCAGGCGCCGGTGCTGGTGCGGGCGCTGGTGTAGGCGCCGGGGCTTCCGTTGTGGTGGGCAGGGGTTGGTTGCACAGCATTTCGTAGCATTCTTCGATGGTTGCACCGTTGCCGTGGTGCCGGCGATGACCACAGTTCCCTCCACGTATGTAATCGAGATAGGCGGCCAGTACTGTTTTGTCATCAAAAATACTACTGATGGCGCTGGTGGTTTCCGGTTTTCTGGTGAAATACATAAAAATGCGTTAGCTTTTCTTTACTAGACAAGATTGCAAACGTGTCAGCTGCGAAAAATATTCAGACGTTAGTTGGTAATTGAATTAGCTCGAAAGAATCTTTTTACAAATAATTGAATTAGCTCTCTTTATTGCTCTGCAAAAGCCATTTTACTACGTTATCCCCACAAATTGCCAATGATGCACATACGTAGCTGCTCATGCCAGTTACATGTATAGTAATACTACCACAAAAAAAAAACACCAGTGCATGCATACCAGGCTTCAGAATATGCGCTAAAAAATGGACATTTATGAGAAAACTAAAATTTACATTGTAACCTTGAATATCACGGTAAGTCCGTTAACATGTCGCTCTGCTTTGCACCTTAACTGGTAAAGGTACCGCAGTTAATTTTACATATTGACACTAAAATTACTTTGCAACTCACTTTGAGCGGTGCGAGTAAATCGGCTTTTTCTTGAATCCGCGCTTTTCCACTATCTTACCTGTCCCGGATGTTGGTACTCTGGGAATATGATGTTATAAAGGTTATCGGCATACGGATCGTAGCATTAATACTTTTATTCTCAGAAACCGGCAAAATAGCGCAGTTCGGTAGTATTTGCGCGGCACTTACACCTCTATAGTGCGGGTAGCGTTTGAAATGTTCGTGTCATTGCGATGCAGTGCATAGTTACCGTCGCTTCCGGCTGCGGATTGAGATGCGGCTATGAGTCCAGCAAGGAACGAAAATGACTGCAACAGTGACCTGGGCCCGTAAGTATTTATTCCGATCAGTAGTAAGCATTTTTAAAACTGACAGTTCAAGAAAAATACAAATAACACTTACGGTATATAACGGGAATTCGTTATAATATTTGGATATCAACATTTTTTCGGATATTAATGCAGTGTGGTTAGAAATAATTAGTTATACAATATTTCGAACCTGCTGTAACATGCACGATGTGTCACATAACGCACTTCTGTGTGCCTTTTCTTCTTCAAGTGCGTACAGGAGCGTCAGGTCGTACAATATTAAATAACCATGAAGAATGCATGTAATACATTAAGTAATTTTATTATGCGGTTGGTTTCTTGCAAGGACTTCGTACCTTTTACAAAACACGGATTATGGTCGTAAAAATTAGCCTAGTGTAACGGGCGCAGCAAATGAAGAACAATTATGTAAAACGTTTAATTTCAGACAAAACATTATGTTTTACAACGTTTAAAGCGAATGCTGCGGAGCTTTTCGTTGTAGTACATCTGATAGTATACTGCAAACCCACAATACTTGCTTATTGCAGTATTACTCTGTATGTGCTGCAATTTTAAAAAAATACCGTTTCGCCAATAAATTTATGAGCCAGTAACCACATATTAAAGCGATTATGAATCAGAAACACTATCGTTAAAATGCGAATTATTGATATTGTCGACTTTGTAGTTATTATTTTGTCGGCTCGCGTTACCCGTACCATAAGCATATGCCATCCATCATCTTACTATCATCAGAACGGCGGTGTAATACAGCTTTACGACGTTGTTTAGTTGTTTTAAATTACAGTTATGTGTGATGCAAGCATTATGATTCGCAATCTTCTACAGCTTACAAGTGTTAAATCTGCAAGAATTAAGTTTATATCGCTATGTTCAATACACCGTTCGGTGATACACGCACGTGTAAAGTATGTATATGTTTAGGGATAATAAAGCATCTGCAATCTGCAGGGTGCAGTAAAACTTGCATGGCGTGCCGGACACCATGCTACTGCTGCTATACTCACAAGCTTCAGGAACTGCACTTCCGTGGCGCTTGCATGAAATGTCAAATTATCAATTTTTCTCAATGACCTACATCCCGGTTTCTACTCGAAGCTATAAATATATAGATATAATATTGTACGAGCGTGCTGTGTATGTATAAAACCTTTCTAACGCTCATTACCCAAAGAAGCATTTTTGTTCAGCCTCCATATTAAAATGACTTACGTAGAATTTGCAGATTATAGTATCACAGTTTGCAGTTTACAGTAAATATGGTTAACTAATTTTTAACATCACATTAAGTTGCGTCTCATTTATTCACTCGGAATCATGATCACATGGATGCGAACGTTGCGACTTGGATGCCACACGCATATAATATGATAAAGTATACTCCCTCATATATTTGGGTGACTGAAATATAATCACTGGATTTGAAGAATTCAGTATTATTCAAATACGGAAAAGATCGCGCAGTGTATTCGGGATTTTCTGCCGCGGATTCTCGTATATCTACTTTTGTGGTGATACTCGTAAGTTGAACCATCGCTACTATGCCATCATTTGCTCCAACACCGGGACCCGTCACCCAGCCGACAGCCCGACGCGCCACCATATGGCGGATGACAAGGAGAGGATACCATTACAAGCGCAAAAGGAACCTGTCATAACACAGCCGTCGACAGCAACTCCCGATGTTGTCTTGCAGATCGACCCACCGGCCTGCTGCTCCAGGTGACAGCAATCCCGCGGACCAAAGGAAGTGCTGCGTCTGCCGCTTGGTTATCATATACTTCTTGGCTGTGGGCATTGAACTCTGTGCATGGGACGCCGAGTATCGCCGGTATCGCGGGAGCGACGAGTTCAAATCGGATGAAACGACTCCGGCCCTCGATAAGGCGGCCTCGGATCGGGCGATTGTCGGTGGGATTTTGCTAGGAATTGGTATATTCTGCTACAGATATATTATTGATGCGATGGCAACCAACTTTGCAAGAATTGTTTGCGATTTCAACCGTTTGGAGGAACACTTGAAAAACGTTAAAAACGGTAGGGCATAACACATCAAAGCAGAGAAATTCAAGAGAAGCTATACTCTGCATGCGTACGCTAATAGAGTGTTGCAATACAACTGCGACAAATAAGAGATGCGTTTGTGTTGTTTAAAACGTTGTTCTAAACTTTGCTTGTGAAGCGTTTTAAAGTTTTCTAAGAAAGCCCTTTGGTTTTTCAACTATAAGATTTTTGTACAATTCTAGATATTCGAAGCTACCAAAGACACTATTAGATGTTTGAGCTTTGCCTAATGTTTTGTTGTCCATGAGACCGCACGAACAAATCTCACTCCCCTCCATTTTTTCATTTATTATAAAGGGCAGATAAGTACTGTGCATACGACCGCCGACGATGCTGCGAATTGCGCTTTCTAGATGTTGCCCATAATGTTTTACTGTAGGCAAGCCAAAACTGACGTGGCACATAACGTGCTTCCATCGCGATATCGAAACCCGTGTTATCAACGACCCGGAAGCCGGTCCACGAACCGAAACCCGGAACGACGTTATCACGACCTGGAGTGGCACCCACGAATTCCAGTTCTCGTCCTGGTCGGACGAAACGACCGACCAAACCGACCAACTTCGCGGTATCAACCAGATCCGGTTCCAGAAGATCTTTGTCTTGGCGGATGCGGCGACTCGGGAGGCCTACAATGCCCAGAAACAGGCATTTATCGACTCCAACAAGGATCGTGATGCGGAGTACACTATCCAGGATATCTTTGAAGCTGAGGGCTATCTTTTTAAATTGAGAGTGCGGACATCCCGTGGAGGATTCTGGTGCTGCACGTATCTATTCCTGGTAGTCTCATTTCTCTTGTATTCCTGGTTGCGCTGCTGGTCAGAATGCTGGGATCCCGTAGAGTTCACTCATGTTAAAAAATTATCAGTGCGGGATTTACTGTGTGGTACTCGCTAACGCACTTCTGTATGCATTTGCCTTCTCGTACTGCGCACAGCAGTGATACAGAGCGTAAAAAATTGAGTAACACTGAAAGGTGCATGCATTTACATTTAATACATTAAGTAATTTTATTATGCCATGTTTTCTTGCAAGGACTTTGTACCTTTTTAAAAAAACATGGGTTATGCTCTCAGCCTAATATAACTGGTACAGCAAATAAAGAACAATAATTATGTAAAATATTCCCATATAAAAAAATATGTTTTACACTGTTTAAATTGTGTGCTGCGGAGATTTTCTTTTCGGTGCACCAGATATAATTATAGTGTATGGCACACTCAACTTACTTGTATCGGCGCACTATGTGATTTATGATCAGTTTTTGAAAATATCGTGTAGACTAAAATTATGAGCCAATAATCATACAATTGCGAACCAGAACTTCGTCAAATGCATATTAATGATTTTGTAGTTACTATTTTAATGGTTTGCGTTACCGTACCTCCTACAATACCGGTATATTATCTCATCCTCATCACGGCGGTATAATACGCAACTTTAGTTGTTTTAAAATACAGTGACGTGTGATGAAAGCGTTACGGTTCGTTTATCGTAAATAATGTTATATATGTAGCTTACAAGTGTTCAATTTGAAAGAAATACTTTTTACATCACTATGTACAATATACCGTGCGGCATATACAAATAATATGTAGTTTACAGTACGTGCGCATCTACGGATCCTACAATATTTCCATTCTGCAGGGTACAGTGAAAGGAGCATGGCTTGCTATACACGCTATTACTCGCGTTAATGTGCTCACAAGTCAGGAAGCGCACTTCCGTCGAGCTTGCACGATACGTCAAATTATCGATTTTTTTCAGTGCCGACGTCATGTGACCTACATCCCGGTTTCACTACTCGAAGCTATGAAAGTACTTCTGTAGATATAACGCTCATTATCCAAAAGAAGCGTTTTTGTTCAGTGTCCATATTAAAATGACTTACGCAAATTTTGCGAATAATGATATTACTGTCTGCAATTTACTGTGATTACATATCTTCAACCATCACAGAAAGTCTCATTCCCGGAATCATAATCCGATTCATGCAAACTTTGCGATTTTTATGCCAACTGCCAAGCGCATATGCAGAATATATATTATACGTATATTCAGGATGACTAAAATATAACCAATAAATTTGAAGAATTCATATTATTTATATACGGAAAAGATTGCGTAGTATATTCGGGATTTTTTTGGTGCCATGTGTTTCGCATATCCATTTTGGGGTGGCACTCGTAAGTTGAATCATCGCCACTATGCCATCGTATGCTGCAACACCCGGACCCAGTCGACAGCCCGACGCTCCACCATCATACGGAGATGTGATGCGACCGGTGGATGATAAGGAGAAGATACCACTACAAGCGCACCAAGGACCTCTCGCAACACAGCCGTCGACGGCATCTCCCGATGTTGTCTTGCAGATCGACCCTCCGGCTGCTCCGGGCGACAGCAATCTCGATGACCTTGATCCTCGTGGCGGCTTTCGTGGTATTATCGTATTATTAATCGTTATTGGCATCGGGTTATGTGCATGGGATGTCGAGTATCGCCGGTATCGCCGGAGCGGGGAGTTCATACCGGACAAAACGACTCTGGGCCGTGATAAGGCGGCCTCCGATCGGACGATCACCGGTGGGATCATGCTAGGAATCGGTATACTCTGCTATCTTATTGATGCTCTGACGACAGACTTTGCAAGAATTATGTGCTACGATTACGACGACTGTTTGGACGAGCATTTGGAAAATGTTAAAAACGGTACGGCACAGCTCAAAAAAGACCAATTCAAGAAAACTTGCAGCTAGCTATACACTGCATGTATACGCTGACAGAGTGCTGCAGTAAAATTGCGCTAAACAAGAGCTTCAGTAGTATTTCGATTAATGGGTTGTTTAAGACATATTTCCCTAAACCTTGCTTGTAAAGCGTTTCTAAGATCTCTTTGGTTTTTTTTACTATAGCATTATTGTACAGTTCTAGATATGCGAAGCAACACCAAAGATATTTAGATGCTTAAGCTTTGCCAAATGTTTCGCTGTCCATGGGACCACCAGGACAAATTTACTCCCCCCATTTTTGTACTTATTATAAAGGGCAGATACAAATACAGTACGTACGACCGGTAACGATGCTGCAAATCGCGCTTTCTAAATGTTGCCCATACTGCTTTACTGTAGGCAAGCCAAAACTGACGTGGCACATAACGTGCTTCCATCGCGATATCGAAACCCGTGTTATCAACGACCCGGAAGCCGGTCCACGAACCGAAACCCGGAGCGACGTCATCACGACCTGGAGTGGCACCCAGGAATTCCAGTTCTCGTCCTGGTCGGACGAGACTACCGACCAAACCGACCACCTTAGCGGCTTCAGCCGTATCCGTTTCCAGAAGACCTTCGTCTTAGCGGATGTGGCGACCCAGAAGGCCTACAGTGCTCAGAAACAGGCATTTATTGATGCTAACCGGCATCGCGACACGGAGTTCACCATCCAGGATATCTTTGAGATAGAGGGATATCGGTGCAAATTGACCGTGCTGACATCGCGCAGCGGTTTGTGGTGCTGCGGCTATCTGTTCTTGGTAGTATCGTTTCTCTTGTACCCGTGGCTATGCTGCTGGGCGGACTGCTGGGATCCCGTTGAGTTCACTCATGTTAAAAAATTATCAGTGTAGGATATATGTTTACTGTGTGGTACTTGCTAACGTCGTCTTTTCTGTCTGGCAAGCTCGGCTCTACTGTTTTTTACTGCTTGTTTTTGTATTTTGTAAATGTAAATATATATATTCCAAAATATTTTTGACGAATTATTTGTATGCAAGCGCAAATTTGTTTTAAATTACAGCCGGCACGGCTGCTGCAGCATACCGGGAAGAATAGCAAACAATGGCAACGACAAAAAAATCAAAAAAGGTCAAGGAGATTCACCGTTTTGCCGCTTTGTCTGCTCATGAAAGTGTAGTAAAACTGTGGATGTAATAAGTTGTCCTAGTATTCATACTGCATAACTTTGATATCGTTCTACAAAAGTTTGAAAACAAAGCAGAAATACGTTTACTCGCACCGATTTTTGGGATGTGACTTTCTGAAGCGCACATAACGTTTGCAAGAATGCGAGTACGTACCCATAATCCAAATTGGCAAGTGCAGTAGTTAATCAACTTAATTAGCGATAGCCGAAGCGTGTCGTTTGGTTTCAGCATTGTCTTATTTTAATAAAATGAACTGCAGACAACAAATAAGTAGTACTCGATTCCCATACGAGCATACAATGAAACTACCGTGACACTGATGTTTCTCTTGTAGCTCGTATACAGCACATTTAGCTTACTCGTATCGTATCGCGATACTATGTTCTTCGATTTTAACGCATACCGAGTCATCTGAATTTAGGAGCCAATGGATGATTATCCACTGAAGCATTTTCGAAACAGAAACACCAGCGTTAAAATACAAATTAATAATACTGTAGTTGCGTACTATTTTGGCGGTTTGCGCTACTTATACCGTTTACACACCGAGCCGGCAGCGCCGGTATACTGTACATATCGTATCATTTTTTTTAGGTCCTTTCTTTAATCATTCACAAAAGCTATCCATTAAACAAATGAAAAACAGAAGCATCACACAGCATCAACAGACAGCGGAAACAGGCGCCCGAATCACTGAGAACATTTGATCTAAATCAGCCGAAGCTGGTGCCGTTCCCAGGACGGATGCGGCGTTTCCACGCTGGATTTCGATGCTGAACCTCTGGCGCAGATACTCAGTTGCACGTATCTCGCCTGTTTCCTGCCATATCATCTTGCCCAGTTCACTGATCAGCCGAGAGGCTTCCGGTCCGAGTGGTCCTACTGTCTCCACGCCCACTGCACGGAACAGGTAGTCCTGGGCGATGTTCTGGTACTTCGCGGTTTTCTTCCGTTCGGCCTGTGCCGCTGCTGCGCCAGCTTGGGTGGATGTTGCTGCAATATGGGAGAGGGCCATCGTGCACACACAAGTCACATCCCATGTCCACATTTTGCCTCGTTCCCATGGCACTAAGGTGACACCGTCAGGGCGTAGGCCGTTGGTCGGTGAAATTCCCAAGGGCTCCAGTTCAGTCTCAATAGTGGCTGAGGCGAAGGCTCGTTTAAGCGTGGCGTTTAAGCTGCTATGTCTAGACTTTCGGGCTCGAATTTTTTTGCAGCTCAAGCCATGGTATCCTCGATCGTCCACCCATTCATTGCAGATGCATCTGTGCGGAGTTACAATCGGTGCTCCCAAGCGCAAGCCAACAGCAATCCGTAGTGCAGAATCGTTTAAAAGATTACCCGGAGATGGAGCTGGTAGAGCATCCAGCCATGCCCCGTTGTCCTTCGTGCTAATACCTAAAAGCCGCGCCTGGCTGGAAATATCAGACTGGGCAATTTCGGTTAGCGTCTTTACGGAGGTCTGGATAACTGGTTCATCCCACACTTTCTGATATTTTCGGGCTTCTACAGCTGGAAGGTTAGCTTCCGTCACACGCTGCCACTCGGCTTCGGCGTCACCGCAGTACACCTCCGGGTCGAAATCGGAAATATCGGATGCCAATTGGGTCACTGAGTAAGCCGAGGCCAGAAAGGCCGGAAGGGCAAGCTTCTCAAGACTCCGGATTCCGAGGCCACCATTTGCAGCCGGAAGTGATGCCTGAGTCCAGTTCATGTCGGTGAGGTTTACGTTGGTGATTGCACAAAGGCATTCACGAATCATACTGTCGAATTTGGTCAGCAGGCCTCTCTGTAGATAACAACGAGCAGTGCGTAGCTGGTAAGTCATTCTTACCGGCCCCATGCTGCATTTTAATAAATAAAGCGCGTGATGAGCCGGTAACACTTTAAGTCGCTGTATCATTTTCGCAATTCGAGCTGTCGCAGTAGTTAGCGTCCCCGCCACGGCAGCATCGTGGAGTGGAGCGCCAAGGTACTGCAGTTCTTCCAACTGCGGGCACTGGAGGTCAGGAAAAGATTCGAGGAAAGCACTGCGAACAGCCTGGCGTTCATCTTCGCTGCCTCCCAAAATAACCAGTTCGCATTTTGCGATATTTAGAACCAGGCCGCGGATTTCGAGCTCTTCTTTTAGTAGACATAAGTCATCGTAGACGTCCTCTGGGTCGCCGCCAAGTGCGTCATCTTCAAGGAAACTTTCTTTCAGCGGTAAACTTTCTTTCAGCGTATCATTTGAACAGCGGTAAAATACTCGTACGATACGAAACTTCCGTGTTTTGAAACATGCAGTCAACGTGGCTTTGGGCTTTTATGATACGTATTATAAAGTTCGAGGTCAGGTTAGAGAGACCACTATGTAATTATAATTATGGCGATCTCACATTGGATTGCGGACGTTGTAATTTTCGTCGGTACTAGTGCAATCGGACTTCAGGCTTTCGGGCACCGCGACACCGTCAACGATCAAGCCCGACCATAATTCGTCTTTTTGGGAAGAGTATCTCTTTTTTGGGAAGAGTATCTGTGGAAATGTATTTCGACTAAGGATGCTTAAGCATTCTTAGCCGAAGCAGCCGAAAATGCGATCTTAGCGCCAAGCCACAGGCCAACAGAAATGCGGAACGTCTGGTCATCCAGGAAGTTTCTGAATACCTCTGCGGGAAAAGCATTAGGCCAGACTCCGGCTGGGCTTTGTACTGCAGAATAGAACGCCGAATTCGCGTAGGATTTTTCAGATGGGGGTGCTATTCATGCCACGAAATCCAGTCATGCATAACGGAATACCACTCAAAGTCCACTGTGCACCATTACGATGACGAGTAGCTGAGATACTCGTCGTCGTAATATGCTGCGCAGCGGGATTCATAGGGCGAATCACGAACAAGAGCACGCAATGCATATGGCTATAAAATAAGAAAGGCGCATTGTATTTTTCGCTATTCAGTTTACGCAAGTAACCGGTCGACTCACCAACCGGTGAAACATAGGCGTTCAAAGAACTCCTTTATTTTATATACGTATTTCACTTGTTACAGTGCTTAATCAATCACAATGCCACACGATGAATTATCCACAATTTACTTATAACTAGGGTTGTTTTATGACTTACCAGGGCCCCGTCACCGGCTATAATTTCAGAAAAATTTGATCTTTTGCAGAATGATAGAGAGACACTAGGATAAACAAAAAAAATTATTTTCAGCTGCTGTGATGAATGGGCGTGGCCAGAACAAAATATGAAACCAAAATTCACACTGTGCTGTAGTCTATGCGAACTATCGGCTATGCTGAATGCAGTATTATACCGCTAATACCGAACAATCTATATCAGGTCAGCTTAACTTTAAATACTCGTTCACAATTTCTGGATATGATGATTATTATAGTTTACCCTTACGTTTTTCAGCAGAAACTGAATGTGATTTTGTGTTAGCAATTTTTTCAACCATTACTAGATCGAAGTTACACCGCGCAGTGGCGCGCACCGACCTCTCTCGGTAGAAACCACCTGAAGCGCGCGCTGCATACCATTTGCAAACCCGTTTCACAAGCGGCTGGATTGTGAAATTTATGTATGCTTAAGTTTTTTAAGAAATACATACAAATGTTGAGAAAAGCATTTAAAGTTAAACCGGCCTCGCACAGGTTGTTCAGTAACGTTAAAACGTATGATGCGGTACACCGCCTATAGGCTACATCACAGTGAAGAATTTACTTTCCATTTATGTTCTGGCCACGCTCATTCATCACAGCAGCTGGAAGTAATTTTTTTTGCCTATTCCAATGTTTCTCTATCTTTCTGAAAAAGATCAAGTTTTTCTGAATTTATAGCCGGTGACGGGGCCCTGGTTAGTTAGTGCTGCGAAAGTTATGATCCGAAATAATCCGAAACTATTAAAATTAGCTAAAGTGTAGATCAACTCACACAAATTCCATCTCCGTAGTGTTGCCATCCTTCAGCTCCCGCTCCACCATAACTCCCCTTGCCCGGAAATACGCCCGCTCGTCAGGGAATATCAAACACTCCGTTTTTATAGTTACGACTTACGAACATACAATGCAATTATCGAGATAGTGATGTGCAATCGAAACCACATCTTCAAACAGGAAGTAGAAACCGTAATAATGGTTACCATCATTCTACAAATATCTGCATATCAGTGCTTTATGGACATTGAGAAGCTCACGTAGTATGTTGAGATGACCATCTATCACTGCATGCCGCATTTACGGACCACACTTCATTACTCCCACTGATTGTAGGGAGAAACTACATAACAGTGTAGAGCGAAGTACGGTTTACCGGGTGCTTTATATTCTGCAGTTACTACGAGTGCTGCAATGGGAGCGCGCACATCCGTTGAGAGATGCAGTTTAAAACTATCGATTTTTTTCGACCGCCAAGCAGCATCGATCCAACGCGATTGTGAAAGTCAGAGATGTACTGTACGAGTGCGATGCGTAGTGTAGGGAACCTTCTGACGCTAATCTTATTTTCAAAAAAACCAACGTTAAAATATGGACTGTATCTGCTGTACATCAAAGTGATCAAACTGACAAAATTTATACAGTGTTGTCCAAGTAAACACGATCACGACCTGCTTTCCGTTTTATCTGCGGTTATTTCTTCGTATATCTATTCTGAAGATATTATATAATTAATTTAAAACCATGTACGACTTCCCATCATATAATGCAGCACCTGGGCCCAGCCGACAGCACGACGATCCCCCGTCGTACAAAGAAGTGATGAGGACGGCCGACAGCGAGGAGAAGATATCACTTGAACCAACGGCCCCTGATGACGAAAAGATATCGCTGAAAGCGTACCATGAGCCTATCATCACCCAGCCGTCAACCAGTACCGATGTTATCTTGGAGATCGAAGATGCTACTGAGCCGGATGACCGCGAACCCACATGTAATGCCAAATGCTTCCGTTGCCGCATATTTATCATCTTCATGATAGGTTTCGGTATCTTTTTGTGTTCCTGGGACGCCGATTACCGTCGGTACCGCGCAAGCGACGAGTATAATCGAGAGGACGTACCGGAGGGCCTCGACAGTGCGGCCTCCACACGGGGAGCACTCGGTGGAGTTATATTGGCTGTCGGTGTGATCTGCTATCTTGTTGATGCCATAACAGCTAATTTTGCGAAAATTGTCTGCTTTGATTCCAACCGCTTGGAAAACCATTTAGAAACAGTTAAAAAAGGTAACATACTGTACAAGACATACGTTATACAGGTTTCAGTATGCTCTAACACAGCGTAGTTGCCACTTGCAGCCAAAAGAAATTACGTAAATAGTGAAGCAGTGAACTACCTTTTTTTAAATCAATGTTGAAACGATTCTACTGAAGCAGTTCAGCTCCAAATACTTACTCGACGTGTGGATGAAGCTTCTTCTGTTCTACTTCCAAACTACTCTCTGCGCCGCCGCTTTAGCTTATGCGTGCGTTGCATTTGATCAATTGGTTCGATTTAATCACAATTCGAAAGGGATCGGTTTGTAATTAACCAGTGGCGAATCTAGGCGGGTTCCGGAGGGGGGGGCCAGAGAACTCACACCAAAGGGGGGAGTATTCTCTCGCTTTTTCGGCGACCTCCGCCGTGAAAAATACCGCAATGTACCCTCCTCTTGCGAATTTTTTTGACGTCCGGGTTACGGGGGGCCATGGCTGCTCTGGCACCCACCCCCCTAGACGCGCCACTGTAATTAACCTTTTGGTACACCGCCGCGCGTTTACAATTTTGGAATCATTTTTCATCGATATCTCCCAAACCGAACGTTTCGCGCACAAACGGTTTTCACACCAGTGTATACAAATCATGTGGCGTTAGAATGTCATAAAGCTATGCAACAAAGTGTTTGAGAGTGCGCGAAAGTGGAAGTTGTAGCACACGTAACCAAATTGGTATCTGGTACCAACACATTTTTTTAGTGGTTAGGTCAGCTTCTATGGCACATAAACGTAAACCGGAGAAATGATTTATCGCATTCTGTGCCAAACGTTGAAGAAATCCCCAACACATTCTACATCATGGGCCGAATTTTGTTTATTTGGCAAATAGGCAATAAAAAATAAATTATTGCGGTTAATATACACGCCAGGGGAAGTAGATAAACAAGCGTAGCATGTCAGAAACAAATAAGAAGGGCATATCCTTAACAACTGCAGCACGAAAGAAAAGAACGTTAGGGAGAGCGAGGTTTATCTGCAGAAATCCTCCCACACTCGTACAAAATCAAGAAACAAACGAACGTGTCACTATTCGTTTACTGAACCAGATCCATCACAGTCAACGCCTTCCCACGTTGCATATGAACGATTTTGATTTTTATACGATGCATGGAATACCAGTACCGAGCGTCACCATATCCAGTATCCCAGATGTATCCATTAAAGGTTCTGGATTTCACAAGGTCCAGGAATGATTTGATCGGGTGAATTTCTTCACGGTCGGCCTGGGAAATGCCCACCGTGGTGTCCTTGAGAATCAGCCGGTCACACACCGCGCTCCAGCGTACGGACAGTTCCGCTCGACACTTCCCATCGCCCAGCAGGGAGAACTTCCAGATGCGGAACGACGCCACCACGACTCGCGACAGGTGGCGGTTGTCCAGCGCCAGCACGTCCGCCACAATGTGGAGCGGGCTGGCGCGGTGCACTCTAGAGGCCGTTTCTTCTTCGGTGCTCGTGATAATCAGTGTCCGGGTGGCGGCCGTGACCATCTTGTGGACGATGCAGGCCACCGTTTGATGGCTGTAATGGTTGGCTTTGATCCGCACACACACGGCGAGCGCAGGGCACTGGAGAACCCGGTGCCACGCGTAGCATGTCCGACCGGTCTGGACGCGTTCCGCAGTGTTCAAGAAAGAGAAGATCTCCGCCATCAACTCTACAGGCAGATGAAGGATGTGATTCCGGCCCTTCGGCCCAATCGTTACAGCCATCCCGGGATGCTGTAATTAAAACGCAAGTGGACAATTTTAAGTACCGTGATCCTCGTTAACTAGCGCATCGCCTAACCGCAACGTCTTGCATTGCCGGTAACAGCATACGCTGACAAGCGTTAATGAATCGGTTCCTTGCAGAATTAAGAATAAAATTTTTTCATTCAAGAATCTGCGACAAATTAAGAAGCGTTTCCTAATTCTACAACAATCCGGTACAAAGTGCCGTACTTTCAAAATGTATGCAAAATCTTACTTAAGCTTTACTTTTTATTCAAAAGCGATTAGCAGGAAACGCGATTAGCAGGAAACGCTTTTCTACCTTATGAGTTATGACTTATGAAGAACTGTGCAGGAAACGTACCCTGTTTGAAGCTTCGCCACTATCGTCATCAGGACGCAATCTCTTCACTCCACGAGGGCAGATAGTATTACCGATGCGGGAAAAATACACTGCCTGCATTCAGATTAAATATATATAAACTAAATATATATTTAAATATATTCAATAAATAAATTAAATATATATTTATGAATGCAAAACGCAAACAGAATCTTCAGGAGAAGCTTACGGATTCTTGTGCGACCAGCCACGCTACTTCCTTCGATGGCGCGAGACAAACCATGGTGTTGTCAACAACAGCCACCGCAATCGTGTTCGTCATGCGACTCCAGTTGGTTTGATATACTATAATTATACCGGGCGCGACCTACTGACCTACTTTTAAGCGTTTTATATGCAACTTTTCTTCCTGAATCCAAAAACGTTGGTCCCGACTGAGGAAACTCAAACCTTCCAGAGTTACAGACAAAAACAGAAAACCCGGCGCAACTCACAAATACTGCGTACTCACTGTGTTATTACATACGCTAAACAGCGAAACACAAAAACTGAAACAAAATCGCTTTCAAAACAACCTAAGAAACCTGAGAAACCTAAGAAACGTAAGAATAACGTAAGAAACCTAAGAAACCTGAGAAACCTAAGAAACCTGAGAAACCTAAGAAACCTAAGAAACCCAAGAAACCTGAGAAACCTAAGAAACCTAAGAAACCTGAGAAACCTAAGAAACCTAAGAAACCTAAGAAACCTAAGAAACCTAAGAAACCTGAGGAATCTAAAAAACGTAGGAATAACCTAGGAAACCTAAGAAACCTGAGAATCCTAAGAAACCTGAGAAACCTAAAAAACCTAAGACACCTAAGAAACCTAAGAAACCTAAGAAACCTGAGAAACCTAAGAAACCTAAGAAACCTAAGAAACCTAAGAAACATAAGAAACCTAAGAAACCTAAGAAACCTAAGAAACCTAAGAAACCTAAGAAACCTAAGAAACCTGAGGAATCTAAAAAACGTAAGAATAACCTAGGAAACCTAAGAAACCTGAGAAACCTGAGAAACCTAAGAAACCTGAGAAACCTAAGAAACCTGAGAAACCTAAGAAACCTGAGAAACCTAAGAAACCTAAGAAACCTGAGAAACCTAAGAAACCTAAGAAACCTAAGAAACCTAAGAAACCTAAGAAACCTAAGAAACCTAAGAAACCTAAGAAACCTAAGAATAACCTATGAAACCAAAGAACATTAAAAAGTTAAAAGAAATCTACGAGTTAGAAATAAAACAAAATTAAAGCTGGTGCGGTCTGGCTAACCGCTCCTCGAACGACAGCTACTGGCTGCTACACCAAACGCATGGACAGACTTGCTTGAGTGCACTGCCAGAGCATAACATTGCTTGATTTGCATTTTCTGAAAACTTTTTTTTCAAGAATTGTTTTGGGTTTTCCTCACTCAAAACACATATAAATATAGTTAAAAAACATTTCTATGCGTGTTTCAATCAAAAACGGTCAAATCGGCTGCGCCCGGTAAAATACGATATCATCGTTGGTTTTGAAGTCCGGCCGCTGCGTCACCGCCAACAGCGCCGGCAATGTCGTCAGCTGGACCGTGCAGCGCTGGAACGGATTCTTCTTGGCCTGGGTATCCCAATGGCACGCTGGCATCTCCCGCGCCGGCTGCACATGACTCCATCCGACGACATCCCGCAGCGCATCACCATTCGGTACGCGAATCTCCACGAAAGCGTACGAATAAAAGAAGTCCGAGTGAGGCTCCCCGCCGGCCAGAATCGTGGCGCGGTGCCAGTACCACGACTCACTGGGGGCCGCCTGATACAGCACTTGGACAGCGTCCCCAACAGTCAGGCGGGATCGCCCCGAGAGCTGACCCTGGACAATGTTGGCGAAAGGAATGAAATCGGCGTGATGCTGAGGACAGTCGAAGTTGACAATCAGACCGTCCTTGCCACGGACATCAACAACCAGTCCATGACGAACTCGTCCCGCGTCGTCCCGGACGTCGACGGCACCGTACCGCCAAATATCCTTTCTGAACATTTTTTTGAATCGACAATTTTATCAACCCCAGCACGCTTAAAAGTGCTTAAAAGTTCAAAGAGTTCGAACTGGTGGACCTATCAGGAAAGTGAAAATAAAGTGCACCATTCGGACGGCCGTCATGGGATTGCACTGAGCGGTTTTAATACTGACGTGGCTATTCTGTGCTGTATTTGCTGCAAAATAGCCGTCCAGCTATTTTAGCCCACATAGTCGGGTAAAATAGCCACCCGGCTTTACAACGGCCAATGGACGTCATGAAGATGCCCTGCACGATTGGGCTGATATGAACAGCCCGTTAGCCGCAACTGGGAGGGCTGGAAATCTGGTTTGGCGTTAAACAGACGCAAAAAGCTGTTACGCATCTTCTTCCAACTTGGAAGAGACGTAAGGTCATCAATGCAGCAAAGACTGCGATTCATGACGAAACACGGGCTCCCTTTATTGGACGCTTATAACGTCCCGTCTGCAAAAAACTACACTGGAGTCTGATTTAGAAACACAATAATAAAAGAAAGCCGGGCTTTTATTAGATCTCCCCTCAGCGGTCATGCTAAAGTCATAGCAAGCAGATCAGTACAGCAAGTAATAACTTGAACACTTATACTGATTGGACAACATTTCTTCCAATCTAACAATTATTCGAAATTGTCTTTTTTGCAGGCAAACCGAAACTGACGTGGCACATGAAGTGCTTCCATCGCGACACTGGCACCGTCATTATCAACGACCCGGAAGCCGGTCCGCGGACCGAAACCAAGAACGATATCCTCCCGACCTGGAGTGGCACACAGGAATTCCATTTCACCTCCTGGTCGGACGAGACAGAGGACCAGACCGACAAAATGTGCGGCATCAGCCAGATAACCTTCCATAAGACCTTCGTTTTTGCTAATGCGACGACCCAAGAGTCGTACAACGCTCAGAAGCAGGCGTTTATTAATGCCAACAAGGATCGCGATACGGAATACTCCATTCAGGATATCTTTGAGATTGAGGGCTATCAACGGAAGCTGACGGCGGTGTCGTCGTGTAGTGGTTGTTGCTGCTGCTGCTGCACGTATCTGTTCGTGGTATCGTCCTTTCTCTTGTATCCCTGGTTATGTTGCTGGTCGTTTTGTTGTTCGGTGCCTGTGGAATATACTCACACTGTTAAGTTATCGGTGTAAAATTCGACGTGATATTTGCTAATGTCCGTTCTTCCTGGCAAGTTTGAATTCACTAGAGTAGGTACTGCAAATTGTCACTAGATTTTGTATCTGTATAACTCTTCCATAGCAAATTATATGCAGACGGATTGCATCTCCCGTTGTGCCGCCTATCTTACTCATTGATTTCGTTATAATTTGTGCATGTAGAAAATAATGTGTTGCATGTTAATAGAATTACACACATAATCACACGACTTTACGGGATGCGAGCTTTCGGAGCAGACATAATCATATTTGCAAGAACAGAAGTACAGTGGTAGGACGTACTGATTTTAATTCGTAAGCCACAGACAGCATTTGCCCAGTGAAAAACGTATTATATGGCTAGCAAAAAGCGTGTCGTTTGCGACGAAAAGCGGCTTCAACGTCACCTCATTAGTCACGGCAAGAGATCAGACATCCAAAATTCAAAGCTGAAATTTCATTGCAATTATTTGCATCGAATTTACCAAAGTTGTGTATCGCTGCCATATTTTTCTATTTAAACTGCGAAATGACAGACCAATTTCTGATTGTTATGCCATGGAAGCACTCCGTGTTTGCATCGGTTTGGCTGATGTGTACGTCGAATTACGAACCATCGGCGTCGATTAGGACTCACTCATGGTTTATGAATATTTCGAACGACTCCCTGGCACTGAACCGTACTAAACCACTGAAATCGAATCGCAGGACAGAGTCCAGCGGCGCAAACAAACAGAAGTTATGTAATAATATGTTTCAGTTTGCAAATTGTAATGATGTATCTGCATTTAAGGATAATACCGTATACGGCTATACTTAGCACGCGTTTCCATATTAATCACGAAGCAGACCTGAGAGTTTTTTATTACACATACACAAACGAGGAATAAGTTTTTGCGCTTCATTGTATACGATTCTGAAAATAGGATGTTCACTAATTACTTATAAATTATAATTGCTCTTGCCAGTGGCTACTCGTCGAAGCCGACTGGTGGACAAAGAGCCTTAAAGCTTCTTCGGCTCACGTACGGTTAATACGAAGTGTGTCTCACCATCTACAGTACATACACAGGTTAGCATACGTACTGTATATCTATATGTCCACATTATTTTCATTTCCGGGAGACATTTTCATTGTTGTGTATTATCGTCGGACGTACAACCAAGTGTCATTAAGCAGCTAGATTCTAAAGCGAGCTGCAAAAAAAACGCAGTCCTCCATAAGTGGAGAGCGGTAGCACTGAGACAACGAAAGAATGGCCAGCGGAAGTACCTACTGCCTTTTCTTATGGTCACGGCTATTAACCATTAAAATTTAAGTAGTAAAATCACGAGAAACCTTTAGCTATACATTGTCCAAACTAGCTTCAGCAAGAATTAGAATAGCCGGCTTAATCACCGGGAAAAGGGACAACGTTATTCTGGACGGGCACTGTAGAATCTTATTGGCACAGTAAATCATATCAGTCGGGAGCACAATTAATTAGGTATATTTATTTATAAGAATACCGCAGACCGAAACAACGCAAATGCTGCATTGTACCTCGCAGTAAAGTAACCCGCTGGCAGTAAACCAAACCTGATATTCGGCTTGAAGCATGATTTTATCAAGTTCCTCTAGTTCCTATTAAGGTAGCAATCCAAATTTTTGACTTCAAGTAGTACATATATGTAATCGGACATTTTCTGCATAGTAAAATTATATTTTGGATATGTTCTGAGTGGGCTTTCGTTCACTTAGCATTACTCCGATAATCTCATTACAAAATATCAGGAAAATGAAACTGCAGCGTTGATTTGATAGGGAAAGACATTTTTTTAATGTGGATAAAATATTTTTGTGATAGATGAGCTGTGAACAGGATTTGCACAGGTAAGAGCTTGATGCGCGCAGCTTCAGTGTTTTAGTTATGCCGCTTGTATTTTGGTGTATTTTCACCTTTTATTTAGAAAATCTGGTTTTATTCGCTGTCTGTAAAACATATGCACATAAGGTCAAGCATTTAACTAACAACTGTAAGCGGTCCCGTTTGGTTACAATTTTAATCTCGGACAATTTCATGCGGATATTTATTAATAGAAATACTAGAATAGAATACTAGGCAGACAACAAAAATACTAGGTAGACGACAAAAATACTCCTCTTAGAATACTAGGCAGACGACAAAAAAGAGATATTTTAAGGAATAAAAATATCTGTATTAGAATTCTAAGAATTCTGGAATTTTTGGCTATAATATTATTCTACTGTAATTTGTGTTCTACTGAAATCTAAGTGCAAACGAACAAAAATCGAGCAGAACGAAAAACTGTCTCAATACTTTTATTACCTAATTTAGTAATTTGACACTTCTGCACGCGCCGCCCGGACATTTGGGGCAGAACGTGTTTGTAAAACAAACAAATTCTATGCGCTTGATTTATTAGAGCGCAATGCCCTTTCGTTACATTTATAATACCAACCTTACCAGGCGACTGCTTTGATATTGTTGTATTTCAGGATAAATCTTATTTTCTTCTCAGCTGTTGTCCATCAGAGATACTGTACTTGGAAGCACGTATAAGCTATAACCTATACCGATACGCGAAACTTCACATTCTGAAAGTCATTGACAGCATAATATTATGAGTTAAATCGTTACTACACAACGCTCCTAGGTGCAGGAGAAAGAAAAGTGGCTCATCGGAACCAATACGTCATGGCCGAAAACCTGCGTATATATTTGCTGAACACAACCTTGGCTAGCATCGATCAGGAAACGACCTTAAATTTCACGTCGAACATGTCAGACGTTTCTGAAACCGAATGGCAAAAATATGTTCCAGGAACGGGTGCATGGAGCGCCAGTGCTTCGGCAAAAGCCAATTTATTCTACATTGTTTGCTATCCGATTCTGTTGGCGCTGTGCACAATTGGAAACAGCCTGAATTTAACAGTTCTCTTTAGCGAAAAACGGAAGACCAGCACTAATTGCTACATGACCGCCATGGCGGTTGGAGATCTTGTTTATGTGTCAGTTATGAATTTAGCACACAAGTCATAAAACCAATTTCGAATAAGGCAGATATCAATAGCTTTTAAATATATTAGTGCAAATGTAGATGTATGTTTTCTCTTTTCCGTTAGGTGGGCACGGTTGTTGAGGTATAACACATTTGCCAGTAGGATTACGAAGATTTCGTATAACCACAACGCATCTGACGCCGTATATCCGTTTGTGTATTATGCACAAAAATGGAGCACGTGCTTCAGTGACTGGTATTGTGGTTTGCAGTTATCCCGTTATCATATTTTCGTCATGCAAGTTAACCTTTAATGACCTCACATGTGTCTTTGTCTTGCAGGGTCCTGATCGCATTTTCCCTGGAACGCCTTGCGGTCGTTTTCCGTCCACTGCAGACTAGGTGGCTGGTGCGGCCTTTAACGGCGCGTTGTGTAATAGTTGGTCTGTTCATTTTGGCGGGAATTTTGCACGCCGAGCGCTTTGTCACAGAGCATATTCGCTATATCAATAATGGACTTCCGGATGCTATTCTGAAGTGGCTACTTCCGTGGACGGATACCATAGACATTATAGACGTAGGTCGTGGCGGCTGGTTTGCTGTACTTGAGTGTAGTCCTATGTGGAAACTGATTATAGAACCGCCAGTACGTACTCATAGCAGCGTACTCTGCAGTCTGCACTTCTACTTATGTTGTGGTATAGCTCCACCCATTCGCCTAATGAGCTTACCCTAATTCACTGGTGGTCATGGAACACTACCACGACAGAATCACCCTTAATCAAGATTTGCTAGCGATATTAACAAATACGTTACCATAGTTTGCATAGGGCCATATAGAAGTATAGCAGATACTGTTGCTGTTCAAGGCTCGAGCCAGTTTTATTTGAAGTTCTTTCACGCTTGAAGTCACACTACACTAATTTGTGCAATGTTGCTTTCCAGACAATAGTAATTCTGGGAAATTTTTTTGGTGTGTTGCTGATCGACAGCTTTCTAATCGCGGCCATCAAACGACAAGAGAATTCGGCGGTCGGTAAAATGCGCTCGATTCAGGCTACCAAGTCCACAACACAGAGCCGCAACAGCAATATCGTCCTGCTGGCCGACGTGGGACTGTACCTCTTCTCCTCCTTTCCCAACATCGTATACACCTGTTTATTGGAGGCGGACAACTATCAAATGTTCTACTTTCACGTAACCGCACAAATTGCCGGCAATCGCATTTGCACCATCTTACAACTGTGTAACTATTCACTGCGTTTCTTTCTCTACTTGATGGTCAGTCAAAAATACCGAAACGATTTCGTTAAAGTCTTTGGCCCTCTTTGTTGTCCTGCGTGGACTCAAGAACACTGGAAATCCTTGCGTGCATTTATGGGCAGTTGGCTCAGAGGAAAAGGTTCCGTAACACCTAGCAAGTTGTCCCCTACATTGGATAACAAATCCAACGGACACCCTTCTTCTAAGAAAAATCTAGAAAGCTCATTAAGCACGGCAACGGTTACAATGGAAATGGACGAAATGCCAAATGACAGCATCCCCTGGGCGACAGTAATCAAAACCTAGAGCAATTAAAACTGTTAATTAGGGATCGTCTTACCATTAGTCACTGTCGCGTCACGCTTGATCATAATCAGTTAAATTATATTTTACCGAAATCCTAAAATTCTTGTTTTAATTTGTTTCAACAGTTCTGTTGATGCATATTATGCGTATGTTAATAATAAAATTAGTAGTCGTAGACTCGTATTAAGCCTTAGTAATCGAAGCAGATGTACAAAAGTGCTGTGTAACTCGCAAAAATATTCTGTGTTCGCGGTTATCGAACAAACGAATTTGCCAGGCGTGATAAGCATTTTCGACTTTCTTGCCGCACAAGCTAACAGATAGAGACCTCCGTAAGCCCTGGTCATGATTTTGTTTTCGCTTAACAACGATAAGCTAAAATAACGTTACCAAATTTATATATCGACAACTTATATATAACTTTATAATTATACCTTCTCATGATGCAGGAAAGTTATTCAAGTAAAGTAAAGCAAAAGTTGGTAAAGCTGGAAAAGGCATGATCGACAGGTGCACGCGCCGGCCATGAACATCAGCGCATCCGGAGTCCAGCCTCCACCAGCGACGCGTTGTTAGTGTTACGGACTCGACCGTCAAATTACAGTAATTAGCAATAATTTGACGGTCGAGAAATTTCGCTCGTTGACAAACAGACGAATGGATGTTAACTGTTCCGATGACTTAAATTAATTGCCGTTTCGAACTAGGTGACTATTAAAATGCCCTAATGAGAAATAAACGCAGACTTACTGTATACAAGGCCACTTTGATTGCGCTATTTTTTTTCAGCTTAAAGAACAGTGTTGGTATTTAGCGTTTGAATACGATTGTTTAACAATAAGTTACAATGAAATCATTCGTTATCTTTATGGCTTTTATAGCATCATCCTTTTCCCGCCAGGTAAGCGATATCAATAGCCTGAACTATTGGTATTTACTACGATGTAGAACGCTCATTACAGTATTCCCAAATCTGAAAAACATTTTCCATCAACAGTTTCAGTTTCAAAAAAATATTTTTTTTACTGATTAATGTAATGGCATACCGGGACCCTTATGCGACTTTGCTCTTATTTAACTAGAGTAGTGAATGTAAACAGTGAATATATATATTATTTAAATAACACACAAGAAATAAATACAACAGCGAGAAACTAACAACTATGCAAATTCTTAAGTTTTCTGTTCTTCTCTAATTACAAATTGTCTCTGATAATTTATAAATCTTCATTAGTATTTTTGCTGATGATGAACCAAAAATTGTGCGCTATCCTGTAGGTTAAGCGGGACGCCGGTGATCAAAATCCCAAGGTATGGGATGCCTTAGCCCAGAACAGCGGACGCGGACAACTGTCTGCTGAAGATACGCTCAATTTGTATATTAACGCCAAGGCTGGCCAGGATTACCCGAACTTTAGCGAAGCTCCCGCTGGTAATTTTGACTGTGGATCGGTTAAACCTGGATTTTACGCCGATGTTGATTATCAATGCCAAGGTCAGCGCTTTGAACCGGCATACTATTAGACTGTGGTATGCGGTAACTGAAACTTACTGTAATGGCAGTTGTCCGACGATGCGATATCAACGGTAACCAAACGGCTTATTTGTGCCCCAACATGACGGTATGCTCGACGCCGATAACCGCATTAGAATAGCAAAACACAGAAACAATCTACAGGGGATATTTATTCTTATTTATTACTAAGCCTTGTTTAGATTTTCAACCAGATTACACTGGTCTGCGACTGGTTCTACCATGTCGACTGCAATCAAGCGCCAAAGTGGTACGACTACTCCAACAGCCGTTTGTACCAGGGCGGCGATGTGACGCTGCTGGATAATCAAGACCAGATCGGCGAAGAGGAGCTGATGAAAGGAATGCTTCCCAGCTCCAAGCATAAGGAGGAGGAAAATACAGCTACCACTACAACTACCACCACAACTAAAGAACCGGTCACTAAATTACCGTTCACACTTCCTCGACCAACTTTTAGAGCTCCGTCTGAAAGAGCCTAAACAAAACGGAAAGGAGCTGTATGGTCAAGCAGCGAACAGCAATTTTATGATTTTCAAGTAAAGGGAGTGTTCATAATTAGATTGCTTAGTTTTGTACAATTGCTCTGTACGTTATGCATTCTTTTTAAGCAATAGCCACTCAACAGGCGTAGCATTACTTGTAGTGAAAGTTAAACCCGAATACTGTTTGAAGATATCTGTAGATTCTTATGACCTTGAAATGCGTCACCTATAAACCCGAGCCAAAAACTCTTTCCGGGCCTACTGTTAGTTACTGTTAGTTCGGTTTACTGTAGTTTATTTCCGAGCAGAAAAACCTTTCGGCGCTCTAGTCGCGTCATTATACATGAGCCTTTAAACAAGAGTTTTCAATTGGAGGATAGACGCCAAACTCAATTTCTCCATCGCTTGTAATCTATCCAAAGGTAGCCTTTCCGATCCTCCGCCGCTCTCTCCGGTGTCTGTATAGTTGTACTGGTGTAATAAATTCAAAGTAAGTTTAAGCATAACACAATGCAATCGCCGTTAAGGTGCCGATTGTTGTACTTATACAAAAATGTTGTAGTTTTACTCCCGGGAAGATTTTGCATGACAGAAATGACGTGTTGTATGTTACTAAAATTAAAATAGCTATTCCCATCACCATGGCACCACCTTTTGCTATTCCCAGCTTCTGATGCATGTGCTTTCAACTAAGCTATTGAATTTTCTTAAAGAGGCAAAAATTGGTTACGAGTGCTGCGTTTTCGCCATTGCTTTTGCTGTCGAAATCATTACAGTAACATTCGTATGTTAATGCTAAATACCGGAAGAAAGAATCAAAATTCAGAAATAAAAGATGTGAGAACATTTGCCGAAAGTTGCAACACGGAGAAGTAGCTCCTAAGTTCTAGAACTTTTCCGGTGGGCGGAATGACAGAGACGGCGCACGAATAAATCTCGTGAAATCAGCCAAAAGGGTTTTTGAAATCAAATTCCGGATCAACCCTTTCAAAGCTTCTGTAATTCAATCATGTTTCCGCAAGGGCAATGTGTCTTTTGAAACAGCGCTGACCGCAGAACTCGTCTAGCGCATTCAGTATACTGTCGTGAATTACTAGTTTATTGGCGAGCTCGCTATCGCATACTGACTCAGCATATCGAACTGCATCAGCTGACAATACATAAACATAACAGTCGTTGCTACGTGCTACATCTCCCCCAGTGGGTTGCCCACTCATAAAACCATCAACAAAATAAAAAAGAAATATTACATTTCATTTATCAACAGTTTTGGGGCTTTTCCGGCGTTCGTTCTTCCAGTTCTGCGTAATTCCTCCGGTGGCTGTGCAGGCTTCGCAGCTTTCGGTGGTTTCACCTTACCGGATGGTAGAACTGTCGGCTGTACCTTTGGCGGCGCGACTGGTGCCGTCAGCGTCAGTTCCTGTGTGATGGGCGGAAAAGTTGGCTTCACTTCCGGCTGTACCATCACCTCGGGCTGTGGTTTAACCTCCGATTGCGGCTGCGTTGGTGACGTCGGCGTGCGCGCTCTGGCAGGCGAGACCGTCTTCTCCATTACTTTCGTCGGAGGAAATGTTACCGATGTCTCCACGGCCGTTTGACCATTCCCGGTATCTGCTTCCGTGTGTTCCGGCGTCTCCAACCAAAATCGAGGGCGTATTTGGTTTGCATGTCGCCTCCACAGCAGATCGCTCACTTGCACCTCCCAAATCAGCCGGCTTTCGCGCTTAATCAGCTTGCCACTGATCCAGTCCACTGCACGGCTTGGGCGATAGTCTCGCACCAGGACCAAATCACCCAACCGGAAGTCTTTCTTCCTTGTGTGCTGGTCGAAGTTTCGGCGGTGGCGCTCCCTGTTCTTTTCTGCCGTGGTCAGCAGCACAGGGACTAGCAGATCCAGCGTCGAGCGCATCTTCCGACCCAGAAACAGCTCGGCTGGCGTTTTCCCAGTCGTTGCGTGAGGCGCGTTACGGTAGCGCCAGAGGAACTCCTCAGCGCAACCGGCAGGCGCTTTTGGTCGGCCATGAGCTTGGAGACGCCGTCCTTCACCGTCTGGACGTAGCGTTCCGCTTGGCCATTCGATTGGGGATGTCCCGGTGGCGTCCGAAAATGCCTAATGCCGTATTGCTGGCAGAATTCGCTGAACTGCTCGGACGTGAACTGTGTGCCGTTGTCTGACACTATCTCAGTACATGGCCCGTAGTGGCTGAACATGTCCAGCAAAGCCTCAATCACTGCGTCCGTGGTTGCATGTCGCATCGAGACCACTTCCGGCCACTTGGACATGCCGTCGACCACGACGAACAACATCGTGCCATGGAACGGTCCGGCGAAGTCAACATGGAGTCGTCTCCATGGTCCGACGGGCACTGGCCACTGTGACAGCGGGACCTTCGCCGTTTCTCCAGCACGTTCAGTGCATATACGGCACGCTTTGGACACCCGCTCCACGTCCCGGTCCATGGACGGCCACCAACAGTACCCGCGGGCTTCACCCTTCATCTTTGCCGCTCCAAGGTGGCTTTCATGCAGGTACGACAGTATCTGCGCTTGCAGCTTCTTCGGAATCACCGTCCGGGTGCCCCAGCACAGACACCCGTTCACTGTCACCAGTTCACTTTCTAGCCGCTTATACGGTCGCAGCCCTTCTCTCACGACGCTCGGCCATCCAGTCTGGACGTAATCCAGAACGATGCTGAGCTCCGCATCGGCGCAAGTCTCCTTTGCCACAGTTTCTACCGACACTGGTAACCGTCCCGCGTTCTCCGTGTGCACAGCATTGACTATGCTGTCCATTCCCAGGTTACCCAACTCGGTCAGCTCCGTGGAATGCAGTGGTAATCTGCTTAACCCGTCCGCCTGGCCAAACTCTTCTGTTCGCCTATACTCGATGGCAAAACTGTACGCCATCAGCATCAACGCCCAGCGCTGAAGGCGGTTCGCGGTCACCACCGGTATCCCTTTTCGGCCTCCAAACACGCTCAGCAGCGGCTTGTGGTCCGTCAGCAGGGTGAATTCCCTCCCAGCAATATACTGGTGGAATTTCTTGCACCCGAAGACCAGGGCGAGAGCTTCCTTCTCAATCTGCCCATATCTGGTCTCGGCGGCGTTAAGGCTCCGGGATGCGTGCGCAATCGGTCTTTCCGTACCGTCCGGGAACCGATGACACAGCACCGCTCCAATGCCGTACTGCGATGCGTCGGCTGCTACAATCAGCGGCATCGCCGGGTCGTAATGCACCAAGAACGTGGCTCGGGCAATCTCCTGCTTCAGCTCCGCAAACTGCTCTTCGCATTGTTTTGACCACGCCCAGGTCACGTCAGCTTTCAGGAGGTTGTGGAATACATGGCACTTCGCTGACAGATTCTTTACGAATTTGGCATAATGGTTGACCATGCCGAGAAATGCGCGCAGTTCACTTACGTTCTTCGGCGGACCCATATCCAGCAACGCCTTCACACGATTTCTCGAAATGTGGCGGCCACGACTGTCCACGATGAAGCCCAAATACTCCACAGACAGCTGCATGAAATGACACTTGCTGCGCTTCAGCGTCAGTCCGTGTTCTGTCAACCGCGCCATGACCTTTTCGAGGTTTCGCAGGTGCTCTTCATCCGTGGCGCCGGTGACGATGATATCGTCCAGGTATATGGCCACGCCTTCGCAACCATGGAGAATCTGCTCCATGATTTGCTGGAATATGCTGGGCCCACTGGCGACGCCGAACGGCAGTCGGTTATACCGAAACAGTCCCTTGTGTGTATTAATCACCACAAGCTGTTTACTGTCGTCGTCCAGTTCCACTTGGGCATACGCCTCGGCGAGATCCAGGGTACTGAATTTCTCTCCGCCGTTTAACTTGGCGAATAATTCGTCAGGCGTTGGGAGCGGATACTTCTGAACGTCTAACGAGTCGTTCAGACCAGTGCTTAGATCGGCACACGTTCGCACATCTCCAGCCCTCTTCAGCGTCCCCACAATGGGCGCCGCCCAATCGGCGTGTTCGACTGGAGTGAGTATGCCGCGCTCCACCAAACGCTCCAGGTCCTTCTCGACCGCCTCTCTGAACGCGAAAGGCACTGTACGGGGTTTGCAGAACACTGGCCGTGCCCCCGATTTCAAATGGAGACGCGCCTTATACCGCTTGCAGTGACCCAACTCATCGCGAAACACTTCCTTGTGCCGGTCGAGGACTTCCTCAAGACTGCTGGCTACGCTGTACACTGCACTGGCCTGCAGGTCGCGTAGGCTCATGTGGCTCAAATCCAAGGCGCGTATCCAGTCGCGGCCGATCACATCGCCACCACGGCCCACTACCACCACCGGCAACTGCTTCCGTACACTAGCGCGTTGTACGTCCACTGTGGCGGTTCCGATCACTGTCAGCGCATGGCCAGTGAAACTCCTCAGCGGCTGCGTATACGGTGACAGTCGCGGCGAACCAATCCTCCTCCACGTCTCCGCCGTGACGATGGTAACGCCCGATCCCGTATCCAGCACTGCTGACACTAGCGTGCCGTTCAACTTCAGCGGTATGCGTATGGACTGGCTGCCAGCAGCTTCCACTGCCAACACGTCGAACTCTTCTTCGACTAGCATTGTGCGTCGTCCGTCTCCACGCTGCTGGTTCTGTCTGGGCGCAGTGCAAATCTTCGCAATGTGACCTTTCTTGTTACAATTGCGGCAGGTGACATCTTTCGCCCAACAGTCTGCCCGGACGTGGCCCGAATTGCCGCAGCCGTAGCACTTCGCACCACTGCTCGCCGCGGCCTGGCCTGCTCCGCCGCCACGCGCTCTCTGTCCCATACCACGACGATTTCCGCGTTGACGATTTTGGCCGCCGCTCCGCCTCAGCCCACCACTGATGCCTGCTACATCCACACCGCCCGGCGCCTTCTTCGCGCTAGCCTGGGATAGCTCGAACTGTTCCGCCAGCTCCAGAGCTTTATCCAGTGTGTCGTAGTCCTTCGACATCAGATGTCGCCTGGTAGCCTCTCCCTGCAGCCCGTTCAAAAGGTCGCTTTCATGTTGTCCTCCAGAACGTCTGCCGGAAAGCTACACAGGATGGCCTTTTTGCGGAGTTTATTTGCGAAATCCAAAAGAGTTTCGCCCGTATCCTGCTTCAGTACAAAGTACTTGGCCCATTCGGTGGATTTCAGTGTCTTCTTCACGTATGCCCTTTCGAGTTTAGCGAGAACTTCTGCGAGTGTCTTGTCGGCTGGATCGTTCGGCAGGCACATAGCGTGTACCATTTCATAGGCTTCCACACCTAATGAATCCAGTAGAACCCGCTTCTGCTCCTCTTCGTCGGTGACCTTCTGGAGTTTAATGAAGTTCTGGTACCGTGACCTCCAAGACATCCACGCCATCTTGTTGGGCTCGAACTTTAACAGGATAGGAAGCGTCGTTTCGTCCGTCATCGTCGTGAATCAGCGCGTGATAAATTCGTAAGAGTTTTTAGTACTACCTTCACGCCAGTTTGTCGTGAATTACTAGTTTATTGGCGAGCTCGCTATCGCATACTGACTCAGCATATCGAACTGCATCAGCTGACAATACATAAACATAACAGTCGTTGCTACGTGCTACATATACCAACAACTGCTTTTCTGTTAAAAGTGATGTATTTCTCTAGACAAAAAAGCAGTTGAAGATATTTAAAAAGTCCATATGGGAAAGAAATGCCACGAGGTCCTGAGTTTGGCGAGATGGGGTAAGAAATTTACTGTATACATGACCTTGATTTGCACGAAGGCAAACGATCCCGGTTTAATTTTTTCAAAAAACTTTTCTTAATTTGATAGCCTTTAAAATTCTCTGTTGAATGAGTCTAAACAATTCACGGTCCGACCACAGACCCACGAGAAACAGACAAAAACACGAGACCGCCATTTTTTTCGACCACCCGGTACAGCATTGTACGTTTGCACGTTGTACGAGAATAAAAATATTAGAAAGAAAGCGTGTATACGCGCAAGCTCATATGAATTCACCGTTGCGCCACTATGCCCACGGAAGGGTCAGATTTTTTATGTAGAAAACATTGTACATGTATTTTGTATCAGTAATTGATTCTACAAGGGATTTGATTATATTTTCAACTTGTACAAGCCAATGCCATTTACATTTAAACTTTAAAAACCCAATAATTCTACATCCACTCGTGCTCGCATGGCTTTCTGGATTGTGACTTTTTGAGACTCCGTATTAAAACGTTAACTTTCGTTTCACTGTAATACTATCCACCGCATTTCCTGAGCGCTCCATTCAGTTTCCACGCTATCCCATTTAACAAGCACAAATTCTAACATTATAAATAGGATTATAGGAGTATTAAATTAGTCCGACTTTATGCGCTACGATCTTTTGGAGTGGACACAATAACACTGTCCAGAACCGAAGCGCATATACTGTAGTACTCATAAGCCACAGCATTGCCCAGTGAAAAACGTTAGGATTAGCGTTATTTAGTTTCAACTTTATCTCAATTGTAAAAACAAAAGATCAGACAAAAAAATGTGAATTCAATTATCATTATTAACTGGAAATCAGCCTGGGGTTGCACAGTGCGAATGTAACGCTGCTGGATAATCAAGGCCAGATCGGCGAGGAGGGAGCTGGAGTCAAAAGGCCGACAGCAGACAGCTGGCGTAGCATGGAGGACACGATGCCAATTTTTGGTTTTTAGTTTTGCGCCGCTTTCCCCCTGCTCACTGTGGTCGAATTAACAGTGGATGAAGGCGCTACTGTACCTGGAGAAGAGCAAAACATAATTACTTAACTATAACTTCGTCCTTCAAATTCTCAAACGCATTCGTTACTATTACAAACTGCCTGGTTCATCAAGGAGATTATAAATATATACAACATAAAACAAAAAATACTGTGAACAGACTGGTAATTTCTTTTTTCGTGTCATACACGTTGCAGAACTTGAATTCGCTTGGTGTGTACCGTGAGTCACGGAGCGTCTGCGCCGATGAGGACACGTCTTCTCCAGGACCAGCATGGTCACAAAACCCGCGGAGAAGAACACAACACCGACGGATACGGTGGCAGTGGTCACCCACAGCCATTCCGGGAAGTACGAAAAACGGCCCGGTATGGCCGCCTTCTTCACCGTCTCCACAGCCGGTCGGGGAGGAGTAACTCCCTTGACAACGCTACCCTGGACTTGAACAGATTGCAGCGCAACAGCATCCACTGCGCTGATTACCTGTTTCGTGCTGGATTCCACTCGCAGTGCACGAAACCCGATTGTAGCTTCGCTGGTTAACGGAAAGGAATCAGTCGTCGCCTGGTCATCGTGTACGACCGCTTGTAACGGATGACCGCGTAACACACGCGCTGATGTCGCTTCACCGTGGTCAGCAGATTCAACGGCGGTCAATACCGGCGACATGGTGATGCTGCGAGAAGCCCGGACAGACAGGTTGGTCAACGGATTGTGAGCTAGAAAGTGAACGGTGACCGTGGTGGAGTTTTATGCCGTCGCGACTCTGTATCGTCCAGGTGGTGGTCGTGTGCCTAACGTCAAAAGTAAAACCATAGTTAAATAATAATTTATGAGAATAGCGTCTTACAAACTGCCGAACTTAATAAACAGCGAAATAACGAAAAGTTCGACTTGAGGCAATTAGGCAAATATGGCGCGCAACGTCTCTACTGTAAAATATATCTGACGTGGCTCCCACCGTCTCTGTATCCAGTTCTAGTTTTGGTTCTTCTTCCTTGCGTACGGGACGATCTAAATAAACTGGGTGTCCAATTTGGCCGCGCAGTAATCTGGTCTTTCTCGATTCTGGTTCTCGTAAAACCTGTTTTAGCCTAAAATTCTTCAGTACTTTGGTCCCTCGAAGCGCTGCATAAGCAATTCGAGTTGGGATGCGCTAGTTCTAGCAGCATCGTTGTAATCCGGGAGCCTTGGGATGAGGAGTCACGAACTGACCGTTGTCCACGCTCCAAACAGTTTCAGTGTTTCACTTCAGTGTTTTCAAATGGCGAGACGTGGAATCAACAAGTTATTCTTATCTTATGAACGAAAGAATTTTAGCGGCAAATTTTTTGGAATCATTCTGAAAAGAGCACATTAACGCTTTGTCAAAGCACTGATTACTTCTGAATTACGAGCGGTTGTTGATCATAAACATCATAATTATTTGATTTAAATCGAACACTCAACACAAGAATTTTAGATATACTCCATTATCCCTCAACCTCGACACATATGCTAAGCAATGATATAAAAAAAGAATTATGCAGTGATGCGATAAGGATTATTCGTCCGATTTCTAGTTATGAAGACATCTTGAAACAGCGTGGCGCGCGAAAAGTTAGGAATTTCTTGTTGTAGACTGCATTGAAAAAACACACGATATTTCAGTCCTCGATCATATCAGCAAAATGGATCTCGATTAGATTTCTTCAAGGTCGTGCACCAGAGCCGAAGAAGTCAATCGCTGGTCGCTGTTTTCATGGAAACATTTCTGTATTATAATATCAAGCTGACTGCGGACTTTCGACAGTGCTTTTGGTTCCCAATCTTCTAAATCAGTCCTCACAAGTGGAACAAATCCGTCTACAATTTTCCACATCAAAGCGTACTCGTTAACGTTATTGACCGAGAAGCGTTCTTCAACTCCGTTTTTGTGGAGTAGTTTTTCTTGGTTTCCGGTATTACAGTCTACAAGGTCAAGAAGGATCCAGCCGAAACTCCAAATGTCGGTTTTTCTTCCGGGTTCTTCCTCGTTTAGTTGAAAAACTTTTTTCACCATCTCGGGCGACATGTATCGCAGTGTGCCGCGAAGATGTGTAACATCTTTTGAGCATGTTTTATTCTGCATCATGACAACACGGTCGTCCAAGTCACCAATGCACAAACTATAGGCGTCCACTCTGTCGTCTGCTGACTTCTTCTTCAATAACACATTAGCTGGTTTTAAATCTCCGTGAATTACATTATTTTCGTGTAGGTAGCACAACCCTTCTGCGATCTGCATTGCAAAGTATGTAACCTGTTGCAAAGCCAGTCTCTTCTTTTGATCCAAGGAATTAATGAAGCCGTTCAGGTCACCCCCTGCATCAAAAAGTGACCAATAAAGCAATTAAATGTTTGTCGAAATTTAATCACCAACCTGGACAATACTCCATCATTAGCTCAACAAGATCTGGGTTGACTTTCACTTTGTGATACATCACAATGTTTTTATGATTCAAGGACAATAAAGTCACCCATTTATTGACTTCTGCATTGTCGCTCGATCTCTTGAGCAGCTGAACTCGCTTAACAGCAACGGTTCGGTCTCCTTTGTAACTGCCTCGGTTTGTGACGGTGGCCTTGTACACAACTCCAAATCTGCCATAGCTTATTAGACTGTTTGCATTGAAATCGTACTCGCAGTCACTGCCAAACGTTGCGAAGGTAGCCGCGAAGAGACCTGTACCCGGCTGTTGAAAGTTCTCGCCCATTTCGGTAGACTTCCCGACAACCGCATCAGCGAGTTTTGATGCCGGAAAGTTTGTTTCTACCTTCGATTCACTGCTGAAGCCCGCGCTTTCTGCGAAAAAACGAAGCACTTATTATTTGTAGTTTTTCGCGCAAGCTTGTAGTCTTCTAGTAACCGATAACATTCGACGTACGAAAAGCATTGAGCAACTCGTACACCCACGCCATAAAATGAACGAAGTACTCGTATCTTATGTGGCGGGTATGAGAGGCGTCAAAGCCTTACACAGGGAGCATACAAAAATACAAAATCAGGGAGCATACAAAATATTTATTGCATTACTGTACATACAAAATTTTTTAATGTTTTAACATTGTGTTAATACACTGTTGAATAAGTCCTTCAGTTACGCCATTAAATGCGCCTTGTGGTCAGCAAAGCCGTAAAGACGTGAGGCTTTGATTTATACCGTTTCTTCAGATCTGCTGAAGGAATCTACTTTCCCACGTAGATTTTCAACCATTAACAGATTGATGTACCTGCCAGCTGCAAGTGAACGTACTGGCCCGTATTAGAGTAGGCTATAATATTAAATGCTGGGACTTAATACCTTCCGGGCTTGCTTGGGCCCGCATAGGCGTTCCGGGGCTAGTCTGTTGGAACGATTGCGACTTGAGGCTATTAATCATCGAGTCCAAGTTGTAGCAGCGGTACTCATCTGGATCGATGGATAAACTTCTTAGAAACCCGTTGGTAGCCATTTCTGCGGAAAAAGAGCGGTACACTGGCTGATAAAATTTATAAGAGCGTTGTGGATACCCCGATTCTCCGCAAGCACCATTCTGCTGATTCATGGCTGGTTAGAATGACGAACAACAAAATGCGCATTAATCGTCTACACAAAGCCTCATTGGATTTCTGTGAGTTCGAAACATTTGCATTCCCGAAAACCCTCTACCCAAGACGGCAGTCAAACAAGAGCGGCATAAAATTGGTAAGGGACAAAATGTGTTCAGCGGGAATCTATTAGCAATTTAGTAGCTAGCCTCAAAACATATTCGTCGATAAGACTTAATCAGGGCCGTAGGCTAGTGTAGTTTTGTATACGAATAATGCTATGAAATCTGGAATAATGCTAAGCATTTTACAGTTGGAGTTATACAAATTTTACAATTTGTATAACTCCTAAGCATTATACAAATTGCTAGAATTTGATTATTGCTAAGCATTACACGAATCAGCGGCTTCGGAATAATGCTAAAACGCATACCAGATTTTTTATTTTTAGAAAATGTGTATGTCATTGCATTGTGATAAAGCACTAAATAATAAACATACTTAAAAATCAATATCAAAGCGCCGATGAATTTTCGTGTCCATCAAAACTTCAAAAACGCTGAAAAATGTTCTGCAGATGTAATAATGCCTGCAGTGAAAAAGCCGATGAAATTTCGACGTTGGCAGTTAGTAATACGTTCATTTTTAAGTTCTTCAGACTAAATTTATGGAATTAAAAAATTTTTGAAATACGAAATTCTATATGAATTTTAGCATTATTCAACATCGGAGATTCGTATAATTCGTTACTATTATTCGCATAATTCGCATTATTCATTACTATAGTACACGAATCAATATACAGCCCGTAGCGAGTACTGTAAGATAGAGTTCTGCGTGAGACCAGTGTCCCGCACTGTGGATAATGTTGTGTACCATACCACCAGGAAGTTATTTTTAACGATTTGCACGTGCAACAGGTGTACTGCATGACAGTGCACGTACTGTACCTTTTATATTCTCTAACAGTATGATCCTCTGCGTGCGTGGAAAACTCTCAAAAAAAGCTTCCATTACATCTCCGTTGTCGCTTCTTAAGGCCAAAAGGCAGCCTTTGACGATGTTCACATGTTTATATTTGCGCATTCTTTCTCCGCGGGTGACGCATCGCACAACAGCCGGAATGTTGCTTGTAATAGCCAGTTCAAGAACTGTTACTCCCTGGGGGCCTTGAAAACCAAGATTACAATCTGGGTGAGAAGCCAACAACTCAATTTTCTGTAATGTAGCCGTTGTTGTTTCGACTTTGCCCGCAATCGCGGCGGAAAACATTATTGCAGTCATCGGCCCGTAAAATGTGTTGACCAACTTGTTGACTTCCAGTCGGGGGCACTGAAGAAGTACGCGGAAAACTTCGACGCTGACAAAATTTGCAAGCCCAGTCGTAATGGGGATTTCTCCATCTTTTTCTTCGTTTACATTGATGCGGTCGTCCGAGCACAGGCGACGTACCAACTGAACATCACCAAGATAGATCGCGTCATGCAATGTTTTGTGGTCCTCTTCCGTAGGGGCATTCGTGGAACGTGAATTGACATTCGGCTCTAGCATGAAAATATTATTTGCAGTAACTGGCGCACTGAGTTTTGCTCAAACAGCACCAGTTGTACAATTTACCGGAATCCGGTCGCATGTTGTCTTTGCTCATGATAGATGAGGACTCGAGGAGCAGATAAGTGTATACACAAGGTACACCTAAACAAAGCCAGAATACGATAAAAAGCGGCAGATTTGTGTGTTGTACCGTTAAATTCTTGCTGTTGTGAACTGCCCTGGTTTGGAACCTACTAGATAGCAGCTGCACCATACACAAAGAGTGGTAATCTCGTATAATCACTTACTTGCAGTTTTCCCAACCTTTGCGCGTTTTTGAAAGCGTTTGCTCACAGAAACGACGAGCGTTTAAGCCAACACTACATCTAACGAGAATGCACGAATCGGCCTTGACTGTGAGAACTACGTAACATATCAGTTTGTGTAATGATGGGCAAAGTGTGGAGTTCTACATTTGCTCTAGGCGCATTTGTTATCTGATCGTCGAAAATCTGATTTTTCAGCAAAAGTGGGCACATCATGTTTTGTGCATATGTAATTGAAGTAAGCAAGTGCAGCATGTACTGCTCGCAATACAAGGAAAAGCGGTTTTTCATTTCGACGTATTCTATAGTTTATACAGTAGACAGTGATCGTACAACGGGTTAGAACTAGAACCTTAGACAAAATAGATAGAAAGATTGACAATGCAGTCGCTGTACTCTGTAGACCAGTGGTAAGGCAGACGGCTACAGGGCAGGTAGCATGGGTTCATTTCCTTAATTGGCAGATTTTTTGCTTTGTTTCCGTAATACTTTGAAGTTCCAGCACGCTGTGTCGCGAAATTCACCTACTCGGTAGCTGCCGTACGTGACCTTCCTGCATACCACCGGTATTTTTTAGCAGAGGTATCGCCATCCTTCGCGCTAGTCCTGTGGTGAATTCCAACTGTCGTCAGAGGCGGAAATACAACAAGGCGATCCAAATGGTCACTTTGAATATACAGCCCTGCGCGTCTCTTGTCTCTTACACTTCTGTAGTGTGAGTGGCGTTTTTGCGATATCCAACACGAAACAAAGCGGACAGGCCGAACGGAAGAAAACCGCGAAGTACCAGAACATCGCCCAGGATCACCTGTTCCGTGCAGTGGGCGTGGAGACAGTAGGACCACTCGGACCGGAAGCCTCTCGGCTGATCAGTGAACTGGGCAAGATGATATGGCAGGAAACAGGCGAGATACGTGCAACTGAGTATCTGCGCCAGAGGTTCAGCATCGAAATCCAGCGTGGAAACGCCGCATCCGTCCTGGGAACGGCACCAGCTTCGGCTGATTTAGATCAAATGTTCTCAGTGATTCGGGCGCCTGTTTCTGCTGTCTGTTGATGCTGCGTCATGCTTCTGTTTTTCATTTGTTTAATTGATAGCTGTATTATTAACAAATAAAAAAGCGGACTGCAATTAACTTGACCATGATACGTACTCGTACTCGTATAATTATCACGAGAAGTAGTGAACATTCTCAAAGCTGAAAGTCGGATTAAGAAAAACAAAAAAATTACGGTTTAAATTGGGAATTCGTGTCACCACTAACAACTGAGAACGGAAATACAACAGTTTGTCAAGGAATAATACGATTGCACTTTACAAGTATACAATGTTGTAAACCTGCTGTTAGGTAGAAGTACAATTGTACATTAGTTATCCTAATTATGACGCTTTTCTCGTTTTATTTTCCTCCTCATAGTGACGCGAATGACGGAAGTACAGTCTCACGAGTAAGCAAACAACCATGGAATGTGGTCGCATGAACTCGTAACAAACACAAGAAGCAATTTCACTAAGGGAAGTAATCCGGGTGCACAGCCCCAAATTTGGGTACATGGATACGAACGTTCGCTTTTGCGTACTCCCAAATACTTTTTATCATTACTGTTATATGGCATTCTGTTGCCCAGTGATTTGTCTACATTCGCCTGTAATCCGTATGTACGCGCAACATTCGGTTGGGAGTATTAATGGGTGAGATAAGGCTCCTACAGTTCCAAAAAGTTTATTTGCACTGACGTGTACCAAACGTCTGGAAGTAAGCTTTTGGAGTGGACATAATAACATTTGCAAGAACTGAAGTAGTACTCATAATCCACAGTATTATCCAGTAAAAAACGCTAGGATCAGCTGAAGCGCGTTGACGTCAAAGTTACCGTCAAAGTTTGGAAAGATAAAAGATCAAACATCAAATTTAAACTTTCTTATCATTATCAGCCTCAAATTTGTCTGAATTTTCATTATCCATGGCGCGAATGTAACGCTGCTGAATCATCAAGGCCGCAGCGGCGAAAACAGAGTCAAAAGGCCGACTGCAGACTCAGAAGACACCGGCGTTGCATGGTGGAGGGCACGGTGTCGAGTTTCGGTTTTTGGTTTCTCGCCGCTTTCCGCCCGCTGGCTGTGGTTGTATTAATAGTGGAAGAAGGCGCTGGTGTGCCTGGAACAGAACAGAACATATACAGCAAGCTGACCTATAACTCTGTGCATCGGAATTTCCCAAACTGTTCTTTATGATCAATCACTGCTTCGTCCATCAAGGCGATCCTAATACACGGTTTACACGCGCTATACTGCCGTTTAACGCAATAATGCGGAAAGAAGCGCTTCTCCGTTAAAACTTAAACCAATGCCGGAGATTTAAGCGCAACGGAGGTGTTCCTGCTGCATGCCGTTTACTGAATCAAATTTTAAATACGGTATGTGAACCGCTAACTGGCTGGTTAATTTCCAATTTCCTGTCTGTACAAGCTATTGGACAAGCATAGACAGATAATGTACAAGAATGAATTTGATTGGTGCGCACCTTGGTTCACGAAGCGCCGACGCCGATTAGGACACGTCTTCTCCAGGACCAGCATGGTAACAAAGCATGCGGAGAAGAAAACGACAACGACGGATACGGTGGCAATGGTAATCAATAGCCACTCCGGTAAGTACGGAGAACTGGCCAGTATGGCCACCTTCTTCACCGCCTCCACAGCCGGTCGGGCAGCAGTAACCCCCCTGACAACGCCACCCTGGACTCGAACAGATTGCAGTGTAACAGCACCCACCACGCTGGTGACCCGTGCCGTGCTGGATTCCGCCAACAGTGCACTAGACGCGGCTGTGGTTTCGCTGCTTAACGGAACGGAACCAGTCGTCGTCTGGCCATCGTGCACGATCGTTTGTAACGGTCGACCGACTCGCGTCGATGTCGTTTCCCCTTGGTCAGCAGGTTCAACGGCAGTCAGTACCGGCGACACGGTGATGATGCGGGAAGCGCGGGCAGTACGGTTGGCCAACGGGTTGTGAGCTTGGCAGTGGACGGTGACCGTGGTGGCGTTTCTGTCGGCGCGAATCTGTATCGTCGCCGAGGTGGTCGTGGCGCCTAATGTCAACAATACAACCATAATTAAATCGTAAGATAAGAGTTACATCATAAGATAGGACCCTCTTTAAAAACGGCCAAACCGAAATAACGAAAGCAGCGAAATAACGAAACTTTGGACTTAAAGCATTCAGGATACAACGGCGAGCCACGTCACTACTATAAAGTATGTAGCTGCGATATGGCTCCCACTGTATCTAAACCTCTTGGGTAAAGAACGATCTAATTGAAGGCCTTCGGTTTGGCCACTTAGTGACCTGGCTTTTGCCGCTTATAGCAATTCGTAATGTTAGCTGCTAAGGTTGCAGCCTTTTTCAACCTGCAGTCCTAGAGTGCTTTGCTTCCTCGAAGCGCTACATAAGCAATTCGAATCGAGATGCTCCAGTTCTAGCAGCATCGCTGCAACATTTTATTATACGAGACCCATGGGATGATTACAGGGTTCCTCGGTTTTGAGGTGAACTTGTTCAAACGTAAGGAGCAGACGCTGCGGTACCTACCGTATTTGCCTCGGTGTTCCATGGGCCGCTGAGGAGCCACGAGCTGACCATTCTCCAAGCTCCACGACATGTGGGCGCCGGGATTGCTCTCATCCGAGTGGCACACCACTTTAGGCAGGTGTTCGCGCAGCATGACATCCGGGGCGTCTATTCGTGCGTTCGTTGGACCAACTGGAAGAGCAACACGATGCACACCGAATCACAACTATGCGCCCCGGTTGTACTCACACAGCAGGTCCAACTTGACGCTAGTTTCCTTGCCGTCTGCTTTGCCGCCGTCATCCGCCCACAGTCGGCACTTAATCCAGTGACCGTTATAGCGATGGTCAAGAGTATCGTTCAAATAGAATGTCGTGTTTGCGCTGCGCGGACCGGTTAACGCCAGGATGCCAGGTCCCAGAGACTCGTATGGACCGGTGGAGCTCTTCGCCATCTGGAATGTCATTTGTAGGGGAACCACCGCAGAATGGGTGGTACACTGGATTTTGTCGCCGCCACCCGCAAACATCGTTACGCTACCCCTCTGCGCACCGACTATCCAGGGTTTCCTTCTCGGAGCTAGAGAAATCAAGGAGCGTCGATTTTCAGCAGGGCTTCCACATCGCTTGCTGTAGCTAGCACATTATGTACGTTTATGCTGCTCGTTGAACGAGTGAACGACATACCTTTAACATTCAACCGAATGGGAGGTAATTCGACAATGACAGACTGATCGTCATTCCCGGTTCCTGCCGTACTATTCAGGACTTTACACGTGAAGTTCGTCTGATGATCAGCGGCGACAGCCTCGAAGAGAAGCACACTGCGGCCGGTTTCGTTCGTCAGCTGAAAGTGGTTATCTGTCAAAACAGGGACCGTCAACTCGTCGTACCAGCGAGTAATATTGTATTCGAGTAATTTACTGACTGGCGCAGTATTCTTGGTCCATCTTCACTGAGTTGTGATACCAGGTTACGTATGGTAAAGAGTTATCGCCTTTGATGTAGCATGTCAAATTGACTGGATTTCCCGCAACGATCCTCACATTCTCCGGCGAAACTTCTTTCCGATTGATCTGGTTATCTGGAGAGCGGATCGGTTATGAAATACTGTAGTGGCTCGCACATCTTGAACCACAGAGTTGGTATACGGGAAAAAACTGCATCCAATATACACACTCTAACGGGGCAAAATGCACGGCTATGAAATAATGCTTGATTTGATTTTAAGATGAATACTCCTTCTGAATCTGTCCAAGAAGTCAAACATTTTCATTAAAATTGTAATTCACCCAAGAAAAAAGATATGTATCTGAGAGCTCGAATTGTTCTGCAGCTGTAGAATGTTGTCGCTGAACGTACCCCTCCCCCCTCCAGGGGCACCCCAAAAACCACAACAAATCAGTTTTTGAATTCGAGTTGACAGGGAAGCTCTAAGTTAATGGCTGCTTTCGGGCATAAATATAATTAATAATTATTAGAGCTCTAATTTTTCTTAATATTCAAGAAGGTTCTCCAGACCAGATGTTCTGAGACATCAGAAATTTATCAGTGCACACCGTGCGTTTGGCCCTGTTAGAGTGTGTATATTGGATGCGCTTTTTTCCCGTACACCAACTCTGTGGTTCAAGATGTGCGAGCCACTACAGTACCTGAATCGTAAACAGTTATCCGATCCAGTGTTATCCAATTGGTGGTGTTAAATATGCGATTTGAGTGCGACTGCTTAGTGTAAGGGAGTTTTTTTACTGTCTAAATGACCGTTCTACATAGTCGTGCGAATACGTGATCACGTATACAGTTTAAGCCCTTCATTCACTGTGCAGGCAGCATCAGTTTTCAGTACCATTACGAGGAATTTTAAGTCCACGTATGTCTCAAACTTACCAGTTTAACAACAGCACATAATTATTATTTATGTTTTTCGAACGCTTTTGATTTTAAGCGAATGCAGCACTTACTGACAACATTCAGCCAAGCCCACACTTCACTCGGTGTGCTGCCACGAGGTGGTTTCGCCAAGCAGAAAACCTTCCCGGCATGATCCATCCTAACTTTGTTGAAGGTCAGCGTGTGCAGTCCGGTGTGATCGTGCGGATAACCCGGGTACGTGATATTCCACTGTGGATCGGGATTCTTTGCAATGGTCCACTGTTTGAAGTCAATGGAACAGAATTTGTTATTCTTCCAGTATGTGCTGCTGCTCTTTGTCACATTGCAGACGAATGTCGCGCTGCCGTACAATGCGACGGTGCGATCCGACAGCGGTGCCGCGATCATGTCGAGCGCTCGTCCCATCGTCCCAGCACAATCTGTAGAATGATGCAAATAGCCAGTAAATAAACTAAAATAAATAAATTAGGGTGCTGTTATAGGAAATTCGAAAACTGCAGACTTTAGTTTATTGAAAATAGGAGCTGACAAGCAATGCACTCATGATCAACACAATTCATCAGACGAATCATCTCAGTAACACTGTAGGAAGCAAGCATGTTCTACATTACATAAAAAATTATGTTGTTAAAATGGTTAGCGAGACTAGAGAAATTCATCATCATCATTCAATTGCAAAACTTTGCAATTGTCTCACCGATAACTGGAAGTAGAGTAAACACTAATCCGGAAAACCAGACGAACTCGGGAGAGTTTGCGCTCAGCATAATGTGACAGAGAACTCAAATCACAAATGGCAAAATGTCCACACCCACACCTGCAGACCAAACGAAATAACGCTTCTGGTGCCACTGGATTTTAGTTTTACAGTATATTCACTAGAACAAACGATACGTTGGAACCGATAGGTTCGAGCTTCCTTCGAGGTGCGAGCGAGCGCATGTCAGGCCCAGACTCCAGAGCAGTTACAGAGTTACTGTTCCTCGCATTACGGTTTGGTTTACGTACTCCGTACAAGTTAAATATATATTTAAACTCCTTGTGAATGTTTAAATGCTCTTATTCCACGTGTAAACAAGTACGTCTACAAGCTACAAGATTAGCAGCTAACTGAGCTACGGAATCTCGAAATCTTAGAGCAATTCATTCCGTAATTCAACTAAGCCATTTCACGACCCGCTGACTTGATACTGTACACAGTCTGTACTTAACTGGAATGAACTCATGAAACCCTACTAGTTCTGTAACTTCTGTTCCACATGATTTACACAATTTCTGCTCTCCGGACAACCGATTCACGACAGTCTGCACTTTACCCAGACTTCACCCATCTGCCCTGGACTGCAGACGTGCAGTCCCTGTAGCGAGCTGCAGCAACAGTGGTTACAGCAGTTAGTTACAGCAGCTTAGTACCATAACAGTTTACAGTTTTCGTATCGTGCCCATTGCTCAGGGTATCTCGTTTTGTGAGCTGGAAATTATAAGAATTACCGTTGCTCCACAATTAAATCGCTTGGATCGCGAACTCCAAAGACGCCGTTCGATCAGGAATCAATCACCCAAGATAGATTTGCCACGAATTAGATGAGAAACCGCACTCTGTCTGAATTCTAACAACAGGTCAACGAGAAACTTCAACACGGTAGAAGGAAGACAACATAACGAACAGATACCAAATTCTAATTCGCAGATCAGAAAGTAAAAAAATTTGCTAGCGATCCGATGGAATTACCGCAACTCGTTAGTGATGCAGTAGCTCAGAATCAGTTCACAACAAATCTCCACTTCTAGTTTACGCGTACTGCTGCCCTCAGCCGCGAACGTTTCCTGTTACTGTTAGCCTGGTAGGCTTGCAATCCTTGCATTGCAAGACAGAGGCTGCCACCCCGAAGAGAGCGGCCCAAACCTGACAGAAACTATCTATATGTACGGTATGTAGTGTTAGTTAATGACATTTTCAAGGTAGTTATAGTAATTCAAGAAAATAATAAAGGGTAAAATAAATGTTGACCTAGAACGCCACATGTTTGTGCACGGCAGCATTTTCAAACATCGCGACAACATCGAAGCAAGCAGGAGCAACCGCGACGCGCGCAGATCAGCATAATGTAACGAATTATCGGCACATCACCCAAGAGTCCAAGACCACATGTTCCGTGTCGAAACACTCCGACCGGACGCCTTTGCGCTTGCTCACGGAATTCGGAAAGGTGATAATACAGGAAACAGGCGATGTATGGGCGACGGAGTTTCTGTGCCCGTGGATCAGCATCGAAGTCCAACGCAGGTATGCATCCTCTGTCATGGGAACAGCACCAGCATGGGCCAACTTATCTGCAGATGAAATGCTCTGTATCATTAGGTTATTTAGGCCCTATCTACAATGCTCTGGGGACACGAGTACGACTGGTAGAAGCACATTCTGTATGGACAGTCATACTGTGATGTGGTTTGCAACGGAAGGAAGTGGCCAGAAAGTATCAGCCAATTAGCAATGTGTTAAGTGTACCTTGATCTCTCATAAAACAATCAATAAACAGTTGACTCGTGGTGTTTCTATGAGCACTTTTGAGTGGAAGGCGTGCTCTCTCATCTTTCATATTTTTGGATCAGAAACCATTGTTGAATGCTTGAAAGAGATTTCTGATTTCTGATCTTCTTGAAAGTGAATCAATGTCACCTTGCATGGCTAGCACCTCTGGAATATCTGGTCTTGGAAATTGTTCTCTGGGATGTTTTCTTAGCCCTGATGTTGTTACAGTGTTAGTCTGAATGAGTTTACATAAAGGTCAAGGTTAGCAGAACAAATGGGTTAGAGTCGTGTCTGAGTGAGATATTTAGTAAAGGTCATTCACCACCATAAACCACCAGTAGCGTTACGCTATCTGACACTGGATTTGTGTTGTACTGTACAACCGGCATGTACCGTACCGCATAAAGGTATTTCGTCCGATTTCGTTGTAACACTAAAATTAATGTTTTATTCAGTGTACAGCTCTGCTGCTCTAGTAATTGAGTACGGCACAATCAGCTGCTTAAGAAAGCCGCATTTTAGGCGCATTGGCAAGCACAGCAGAAACAGGCAGCTTGATAACAATCACAGACGACACGTAGACAAAATATAAATAATCTAAAGATTGAATGTAGAGGTCATCGGTTTGTTCCGGTGCTTGCTTGATTGTACTACAGCAACATACATAGTTTTTGGTACAGATACTACCCGGTACTCTAGAATAGACTGATATCGGTACAGGTTAGACATCCGACGACAACTTCCCGGGCTTGCAGCCTATAAGCCGGGCAACTTCAGTATCCGAAAAACAACCGTGACATGTAAATTATTGCAAATTTATAGTAATACCATTTTTTTGTGCCGTGTAGGTATAGATTGAGAATAAAATAAATTGGGAGGTGTACGAGTAAGTACTTTACACAGTCACTACTGACGTATCTGTGTTTATTACTACTGGCTCTGCCAAACGGGCACAGCGCCCGACACATTTATACGCCCGGTTGCTACGGCTATCATTGCAGGTTTTATGGTTATGCTCGTATAATTATTTGCACTACATGTAGAGTACTCGTATAAACGTAATATTTATGTATCTTCGTAGTTGGAGTCTGGAGTAGTAGATATCCGCGATTGCTTGTCCTGCAGCTTTTAAGCAGGGTAGCGTAGTTACTAGTGCGTATATAATGCCGCTACAGGATGCTACAGGATGGGAGCAACTCAGTCGGCCTTTAACTTGCAACGCGCAAGTGGCCAAGTACTGGTGTAAACCGTGTAACAGCGGCTCAATATTGATTTTCTAGCATGTTCATGGAGCGTGGATGTTGGAGAACATCAGCAGTAGTGCTGGTACTGTATGTAAAACAGTCGTAGTGACTTTGTGCATACTTGCTACAGTCTATAATATTGTGCTGTCCAAACGGGAGCTCCGTTTGGTGCATTCACAATAAATATATAACAATTTTTGTCTGTTCTAAATATCTGTCGCCTAATTCTTCTCAGAATAGTAAATTCTGCAAGCGAATACCCTGCTCCATCCTGTTCGTCCGTAGGAAATAAAAACAGGGACCTTCGAATTTATCCCCCACTTCGCTTCCGTTTCCTTGTGAATCGCTAAGGCTTTTTCCAGATAGAAACCATTGACCGGTTGTAATGGAGCATGAATATGGAGTATCTCCTGGATCCAGGTAACAGCACGACGACCCACCATCGTACACCGAAGTGATGAGGATTCCCGGTGTCATCGGACCGAGTTCACGGAATACGCGTAGACAATCTTTGTTAACTCCATCACCTACTACACTGGTTCTTGGCGAGGTTTATGTGGCACCGGAGACCGATGCTGACGAACCCGCTTTCAACCGACACTGTTTCAGGTGCCGGTGTGTCATCATGTTCCTAATTGTCTTTGGAGCTGCAGCACTGGCATGGAGCCCTAGCGATTCAACGTCCTACAAAAGTGACATAAGAAATCCTGATGTACAAACTGAGGCGGACAACGCAATGTGGACGACTCTACGGACTAGTTTCATTGGGCTAATACTAACAGTCGGTGTGTTATGCTATCTTATAGATGCTTTCACCAACGACTACGCCAGAACGCTATACGATTTCAAGCGTTTGAAAAACCACCTGGATAAAATTAGAGAAGGTGCGTTATATTAATAACTTACTTTACTTTATTCAATAAAATATGTTGATTTTGCCAGATTCTAATCAGAGGTCGAAATATATTACAAAGCCGAAGGACATCGTAGAATACTGTTCTTCCCTCGAAATTGTTGCAGTTAACCCAGTGCATTTGTAGGTAAACCGAAAATAATTTGGCACATGACATGCTTCCACCGTGATAACTTTCCCGCAGTTATCAATGATACGGAAGCGAGTATAGCGCCCACAACCCGAAATAACAAAGTAACGACTTGGAACGGTGCGCAGGAATTTCACTTTTCTTCGTGGGCGAATGTCACACCCGACCAGCAGCACAAATTAAGTGGACTACGAGAAATCCAATTCCGGAAATCCGTAATCTTAGCTGATACCGCTACACGAGAAGCTTATCATGCGCAGAAGTTGGCCTTTATCCACGCCAATCGAGGTCGCGATGCTGAGTATGCCATCGAGGATATCATTGCAACGCCGGGCTACATACGCAGCTTGACGGCGGTGACGTCCTTCGCCAGTGGTTGTTGTTACTGTTGCTTGTACATATTCATAGTGGTTTCGTTATTGTTGTATCCCTGGCTGGCGTTTGCACCGTGCTGCGTTCAGTCGGTCGAATTTCGGCACGTTTTCAAAGTGTCGATCAACAATGCTGTACAAGAATAAGATTTACATAGTTCGTGTGTTTGCTGTGCAAAGTATAGTATTTAAAGAGCATGTTGAATTTTTGTAATTTGATCTACCCAGCGAAGGACCAAGAAAGTGCATTGGCAAAAAAAACGACGTGTTAATGGCACCCTACTGCAATCCTTTTCTAACGCCGGCATCAGTTTGTACCGTGAGAGGCATCATTGTGCAAAACTATTGCAGTTTCGAGAACCTTCAACCTACATTAGTTTGATTTGCGGTTTTTTCTCAGCTAAATGTTTAATCAAATTCTATGGCCACAGCCATCGGAAGTGACGAAGCCTTAAGCTTAGTTCGAACTTTGGATAGCAAAATAACGGCAGCGAACGTTGCTATAAGAGTGATGCTATAAATTAGATTGATACGAGAATGCTCATACGTTTACATTAATATGTTTAACCGGACAAGCTACAGACTGCACATAACCAAAATCTTAATTCTCGCAAAAACTTAATACATGAAGGAGAGAATTGGGCAGGCGGTTAAAGGATGCTACGGGAGAACGACGCTCTTACGAGTTTCTGCTACAGCGAATTAGATTGAAATACAGCGGTGGAATGCGCTGTCTGTGACTTCAACCGTACCGCGTTCTGATGGTTTTAACGGTGTTTACTTTGTTTTATGATTTTGATGTTGAAACTTCTGAACGATAAGCAAACCAATAAACTATAGCTTTTATTGCTATACACCAAAATCTTAATTAGCCACCCGATTATATTACTCGTTGCAAAGCAAAAATGCTCTATATCAGCCGAAATGCGCATTACAGATTTAGGTTCGTGTCAACGTTTGAGATAATTAGTCCATGTTAAAAGTTCGCCGAAGTAAGCTTTACAGCTGGTCCACGGCACGATAACTACGGTCTAGACAACACTAATGTTGTTCGTTGACAAACGGGCGAACAGCAGCAACTAGCCTGCAGCTTTATTGGCCTTGAATTATCTGCATGGGCGGACTAATTTCCCGTTGAAGCTTTGCATACGGATTGTGGAAAACGAGATAGCATGTTTAATGGCGAATGTCTCGCAATATTGAAAATAACTGTAATGTTTTCAGGCTGAGCGCTTCGTCTCCCAGTACGTTCACTACGACTCTCTGACCATCTTCTTAAACGGTCGCGCCAGTTAATGAACGTAGTTCGTATCCTCGTAGAAGGAATCTCAACTCGATTTTTAGCTTTATCTTGATTTTCTAGATGGTTTCGGTAAGTTTCTCAATTTTTCTCGACGATCGGTCTGTTGTTGGTCGATAGTTCGACGATAATCAGTTATCGATGGTAATGGCCTTGTAACGTATCGTAATCCAATACGAAAAAATTGCGTTCGGTTTTATCACTTTTGATTGAGCTGTCTGTTATTAAAGATAAACAATTGGTTGTTCAAATCACTGAAAAACAGACGAAATTAATACATGGGGCATTCTGATTGCAAAGTAAAAGAAACGAACGCTGCTTTTGGCATTCGTTTTTGGCATACGCTGCTTTTGGCAAACCGATCATTAGTACTACATAATTTATTATTATATTCAAGCTTGTACGTACAGACCGCAATTAGTTCCGAATCGTGGGCAGTTAGCCACGCGGTGGAATTGCTCACCAGAAAGCAACAGCATGACTAATTTACAGTACAAAAAATAAACGTTCAAGTAAAGCGAGTGTTTTCTAATACTGGTGAGTGCTCTTATTGTTAGTTCCTGCTTTCGTAGTTTAAGCCTAGGATGATTGAGTTACTGTTAAGTGTGCGTTTCATCGACTTTTTAGCGAAACCGTACAAAGACTGATCTGTCATCGCCGCCCTCCACGTGTCAGTAGAAAATTTAAATTTGCAGATCATTTCCTGTACAGTTTCGTTGAAAAGTCGAGAAGACGCTTACTCAACAGTAACTCAATCATCCTACGCTTAAACTACGAAAGCAGGAAACGAACCAATTTTACGCATTTTACGTAAAACCGAACTAATTTTGCGACTAATTAGAGCGCAGCGATTGCGCAATCCAATACCGTCTTTTCAAATAAATTTGTTAGTTAGTAAACGAGAGAACGCATGGTATTAGCTCTCACCTGGCGGCTGTTCTGCTGCGTTGAATTTTCTGCTAGTGTATGTTCAAGGTGAAGACCAGCGTTTGGCGCAGTCCTCCGATAAACGTGGCGTTTTATTACTACCGCTGACTGTGTTATGTTATGTATAAAGAAGTTAATACAAAGATTAATTCGGCCAGAATGAAAGCAATCATTATTCTGATCACTTTTGTCGCCGCGGCGCTTTCCAGTCCGGTAAGCTGCACTAAGGTTAACGTATTATTTAAAAATTAAAACAAAGAGTCAAGCGTTACAGGATTTCTTTCAATGGCGATAAAATAAAAATATTATACAACATAGACATAAAAAACAGCATAAAAACAACCGGCAAATTTCGTAATAAACGCAAAAAAGCTTATGAAAGTATTAAAAACGAAAATACACTTTTTAATTTAAACGGCGTTGGCGACGGAATAAAACCTTCGAGCGGCCCTGCAGAATAAACGCGCCACCAGCGATCAAAACCCCAAGATATGGAAGGCATTATCCGAGAACAGCGGTCATGGCAAACTGTCTGCCGCGGATGCGCGCGATCTGTATATTAACGCCAAACCCGGCCAGGATTATCCAAACCTCAGTGGAATTCCCGCTGGCAGATTTGATTGCGGATCCGTAAAACCGGGATTTTACGCCGATGTAGATTATCAATGCCAAGGTAAGCATCCGACATATGTTAGATTGTCTGTGCACATGCGTTAAGCTAGTTTTATTCACAGTTATCCGACGATGTGATATCAACGGCAACCAAACGGCGTACTTGTGCCCCAACATGACGGTATGTACAATTTCGATAACGGCACAAAAACACAGCCACAACTCAAGTCCACAAGTCACCCACTTAGTGTTGTTGCTTATTTCCCTCTGTGTTGCAATGTTTAGGTTTTTAATCAGATTACGCTGGTCTGTGACTGGTTCTACAATGTGGACTGTAGCCAAGCCCGGAAGTGGTATAACTACTCCAACAGCCGTTTGTACCAGGGCGCCGATGTGGCGCTGCTGGACAATCAAGACCAGATCGATGAGGCGGAACTGGAACCACCAATACCACTTACTGACACATACCACTCGGAGATGGTGGAGTTTCCCACAACGACAGCACAGCAACAAGGAACGTTTGCTGTTCCTTTGGAAATGGTCTAAACTCTCTCATCCCGACGGACGAGGATGCCCTGAAACAAATTTGCCGTGCTAAAATTTTATCTACGCAGACTACGCAGTATACCGTACAGTGTACATTGGATATTTAAAGAGGAGATTTTATTGGTACTCACGCTTAATCGAATATGTAGTTCTACAATGCAAATGCACACCGCAGTTAACTAATCCTCAACTTTCGATTTAGTCATGCGATTGGATTTCGTACTAATCAAGAATATATTACTCAAGACGAACATTACAGAAGTATCTGGGTGCTAGTATCGCAATATTATTTTATTTTCTTATGTCTTAATTTTCATTGTCAAGTTCATGTTAAGCGAAACTTTACGTGGGCCGGTGTACGAATCTGTATATCGCACTTGTACTACTAATAAATAAATTAGCGCGTGTTTGTTTCGCAAATAATAATCTATAATACGGTGAGAACGCTGGTCTAAACACATTATACTGCTCGTTGACAAACGAGCGAACAGCAGCAACTGTCTGCCTGTGGCCTTTTTGGCGGTTCCGACTTCCGCTGGCCTTGAACTGCTTGCCTGCTCACCGTGTTTTCCAGGCGAAGAAATACCTCCATACATTAACGCCGGCTAGTTAGCGCAGTCTTCTAGTGAATCAGCTTTTATTAATAATCACACACTGTGTTGACAAAACCCGGAAAAGGCAGGCTCCAGTGATACTTACGGCAAAATGAAAACAATAATTGCGCTTACCGCTTTTATTGCCTTATTTCTTTCCAATCCGGTAAGCAAATAGTGAGTGGACTTTTGACTGCAAACATATATTAGCCGCTACAAAATAAAGATAGTTACAGAAAGCACTTACGAAGTCAAAAACGGTAAAATATTGCGCAAAAGGTTGTGGCAGGATCATTAAATTGTCGACTTTGAAAAGGTCGGAAATGTCACAAAATGTGCAATAGAGTCCTGCACGAGCAGCAAAAGTGCTGCTCGGCTCGCTCGTTTCAGCTTTTTGAAACTTTCCGCTCGCTCGCGCCCAAACCGCCGCTCGCTCAACTCGCTCGTTTTCCAATTTTTCGTTGCTTCCGCTCGCTCAACTCGCTCGTAAATTTATTTTTGCAAATCGGCTCGCTCGTAAGATCGGCAAAAATTTTACGCATCAATTGTTTTGCGCGAATTAATTATACCAAAATTTTTACCCTTACAAAAACTCAGTACTTAGACCCGAGTCCCAATTGGTCAAGGTAACTTGACCAATTGGGACCGTTAGTAGATCACTTCGCGCGAAGGAGACGGTGGTTTTAGGCCGTTTTGAGGTCGGTCAACGTAATTTTGCACAGGAATCTCCTCCAGTTCGCACAATGTCAGCCTGTAGGCTCGCGATCGCTCGCACCCGACCGTCCCGCTTGCTCGGCTCGCTCGCCATTTTTTTTCTGTTGCTCAGCTCGTTCGCAAATTTGCAAAACGATGCCTGCTCGCTCGAAGTGCTCACGAGCACCGAGCGCTCGTGGGCCGAGCCGAGCGGCTCGGCTCGTGCAGGGCTCTAATGTGCAGTGCGTTATATGCTGTACTCGTACAGTAAAGATACACTATGCGTTGTAGACCATGGCATCTGTATATCGGCATTACCGCAGTACATTTAATGAACATTTTCCTGACTGTGGTTACTTCTGATCGGTCGTTTTCGTTACTTCTGATTTCATTTTGAGTTTAACAAATAATTGATCAAATTAATGAAAACAAACGGAAGTAGTAAAGCCGTATTTTGAGTTTGATTGCAACATAAGTGAAACGAACGCTGCTATAGGCATTCTACACTTACAGTTCAGTACTATGGACAAAATTTAATGCGTTTGATCGAAAGTAATTTAATTTAATGTGCTATAGACTCGGCAGTTAACCGGAATCGTACTATAGCTAATTAGCCATGCAATGAATTGTCGAAGAGAAAGCAAGAATGACTAACTCAGCTGAAGGGCACAGTCCAAAATACTCTGCAGCTCATGCTATTTCAGTTGTTTATTATACAGTATACGTATTACTCGTTGTACCGCGCCTAAAGCAAATTGTAAAGTACAGATTGGCGAACTTTCAAATTAAACCCGTGCATTCTAATGCAAATTAAACGGTTTATGGGAAACGGTAAACGTTTCGTAAGGCAAACGTTATAACATATCTGCTTTCCGGCTCGTTAATGACACCTTCCTGATCTGCAGTACGAAGTACGGTTATCGCCGCGCTCCAGTCGTCACCCGTAAGACCCCTGTGGCACGTTTCGTACCAAAGAAAAAAAGTGATTCGTTTTTTCTCTCCTTGTAGTCAAAGTAGACACCTGTATACAGGCTGTAGACACCCTGTAGACCTATCGGTAGTCACCTGGTTTCTTAGGATGTATACAGCGTGTCTACAACGGTGTATACAGGTTGTCTACGGATGTCTACCACTGTATACAGGCAGCCCTTTTTAGGTTCAGCTCGATACTCTGCCTGTATACACCGGTAGTCATCTCTAGACACCACTGTAGACACCTGGTTTCTTAGACTGTAGACTGTAGTCACCTGGTTTCTTAGGCTTCTTAGGTTTTCTTAGGATGTATACAGGTAGTCTACAGGGTGTCTACAGATGTCTACCGCTGTATACTGGTAACTCTTCTTAGGTTCAACTCGATACTCTGCCTGTATACACAGCTAATCATCTGTAGACAGCCCGTAGACACCACTGCAGACATACTGTAGTCACCTGGTTTCTTAGGTTTTCCAGGGATGTATATTCAGGTTGTCTACATGGTGTCTACAGATTGTCTACAGATGACTACAGTGACTACAGGAAGGAAAAAAAAACGTTCCAATTTTTTTCTTTGGTACGAAACGTTTCATATATAGCTCACCATGAGCGTAGCATGACTAGACACATTTATCGGAAGATGCCCATTCTGTTTCTAAACCTGATTTTAGTTTCGGTCTTTCGCCCGTTTGTACGGGACGTACTAATAAAGTTAGGCCTGCGATCTGGCCGCACAGTGAACTGGTGTTTCTCGTTCTGCTAATCGTAAGCATAGCTGCTTCGTGACCTCGCATCCTTTTCCAACCTGAACAGTCGATTGCTCCCTGGAAGCGCTGTATAAGCAGTTCCAGTTGAGATGCTTTAAGAGCATCGTTTTAGTATGTACAGAGTAATAGTGAATTGGCGAAACAGGTGTAAGTTGATGGTTCGAAGTCGAAAGTCCCACTTAGACTTAAAAGGTGTAATCTGCATTCAGTATTTTCCTGCTTTTGATCATGTTACGAGTAGCACTCTAATCATTGCACACGAGAGCACGGACAGATAAGCCGAATCCTGCGCTGGAATTGAAGCGAGCTGACAGTGTACGGAGTCTGCGGACATTGGACAATAATTCTAGAACGACACATAACTGCGTCATTAGCGACAGTTAAACGTTTGTGGTGTCAGCTGAACGCTAAACGTTTAGAACTTTAGATTAAGCAAACATTTTTTATACGGTGTACACAGTTTAACTGCTGTAATAAAATAAAATCAGCCCAACGTTTATCCAGTACTTGCTCGTTCTTCGCTTTTTTTGTTTTGCTCATCTGTGGCAGACGGCCAATTACTGATGGCTCTAATGTGCAACTTCTTCCTTCGTTTTGCGGTCTTCCGTATTCTTGTCGGTTTTTCAGGGCTTTACCTGCTTCAGTAATGGATTGTTATTGCAGCTCAAATTTACTCCACCATGACGACTAGAGTGTTGTCTTTGCAATGGTATTGCGCAATCGCTTTCTAGAATAAAAATGCTATGCTAGCGCACATTCGGATTTCTTAGCAAGATTAAATTCTTTGACAGTGGTTTTAGTGCAGTCAATCATCAAAAACAATGCACCTCTTATTATTTCATGCGAATCGGTCACGCAGCCATCATGTGACTGATGCGAGTAGAACATTTTTCCCATCCCAAAATGGGAGCACATTTCCGGAACGGCAAGTCATTTTGTCAGCTGGAAATCAATTTTGCCTGAGTAATTTACGTTATGCTGCGTAATGGCAATCACATTAGTAACAGGAGACACCTTCATTTGAATCGTAATTTATCTTTTTGCAGGCGGGCTGATTTACTGCACAATTCAGTGATTGATTCAGTGTTTTCCTTTACAATAATTAGTACCGAATAACGCGCTTCATTTGCGCGGCCCAGCGAGATACTTACTATATTACACAGTCATACTTTAAAAATTCAAGCGAGCCTCCTCAAATAATAGAGTCGCATTTTAGCTGGATTAACGCTACTACTCCCTGTGTGGTGTTACCGTGACGAGGCTCTTTCAGCGTACGCGTGCAAATATAGTTGCTGACCGTACCATACATTTGAATATTAATAGTGTACGGCTAGTGAGAACAGCGACTTGTTCTGCAAAATGTTGTCTAGCATTACCAACGCGACGGTCTTTTATCCCCGTCTTAACCAAACATTTGTTCGTGAATGGGAGAAACGTGTTCCGGGAACGGGCGCATGGAGTGCCAGCGCAATAGCTAGCGCCGACTTATTTTACGTTGTATGCTATCCGTTCTTGTTAGCCTTGTGCACAATCGGAAACACACTGAATCTCACCGTTCTAATAAGCGAAAAAAGGAAGACCAGTACCAACTGCTACATGACCGCCCTTGCGGTTGGCGATCTTGTGTTTGTGTAAGACACGCTCCTTCGAACATATACAAAACATACGTTTGCTTGGTTAGGTTAGAAGCATGATATGCTCCTATAAATATCTGTACATGGCTTTGCTTTTATTTTTTTCTTTATGAAAGAATGTGAAATCTGCACAGCGTGACGCATCACAAAGAAATTATCCCTAGGTGGTCACATTTGCTACGCTACCACAAAACAGCCATTCGGATTCTGAAGATTTCGTACGACGAGATGGCAGCCGCAGCGGTTTATCCCTATATCTACTATGCGCAGAAATGGAGTGTGTTTTTCTGCGACTGGTACGATAAATAAGAAAAACGTTTGTGCAGAGTGTGTTTGATATGATGATAAAGAACGGCAGATTCTATCCAAATTAGCCGACTCGTGCACGCGGGGACATAATATTGTGTTTCATAAAAGCTTAGTACTAGTGTGGCACGTTTTATCAGGAAATTGCTCGGTTGCTCTCTTCCGCAGGGTACTGATGGCGTTTTCCGTGGAGCGACTTATTGCCGTTGCCAAACCGCTGCTTTTTAAATGGATACTGCGACCGTCAACTGCCCGGTGTATAATAGTGCCTCTATGCGTCTTAGCCGGCATTCTGCAAGTTGAGCGCTTTATCACCGAGTATGTTCGCTACACCAACAATCTCTCTCCGGTTTACTTTCCTAAATGGTTAGTCCAGTGGGCAGATGTCGTATGGGATATAGAAGTACGTACTGGGAGCCTTGTAATATTTTTGCTCGCCTTCTATTTTCACCTTGTTCTTTACAGTTAGCGGCAACATTCTTTAGCTTTCTCTGTCTGCTGATGATTGACAGTTGCCTAATAATGACAATCCAACGCCAGGAAAAATCGGAAGTCGGCAGATTACGATCCGTTCAAACCCATTCGAATAAGCAACATCGAAGCAGCAATATTGTCCTGCTAGCTGACGTTGGACTGTATCTTTTCTACTCGTTCCCCAGCATCGTTTTCTCGTGTCTTATTGTGGCGGACAGTTATGAGGTGTTCTACTTCCACGCATCAGCACAGATTGTCAGCAACCGCATCTGCGCAACTCTTCTGCAGTGTAATTATTCGCTGAGATTTTATCTCTATCTGATGGTCAGCAAGAAATACAGAAAAGATTTTACGCGGGTGTTTCGGCCTGTCTGCTGTCGTCCTTGGATTAGACCATACTGGAACATCCTTCGAGAATCTCTGCCCAGCTGCTGTATCATCTGCAATCCAAGGTCTTCGTACTCTGTTAGCTTGCCTTCCGGTATTAACGGGAAACCAGCGAAATGGGCGTCTTGTTTAAGGTAGAAAACCGGAAAATCCCTGAGTACGTCGACAGTAATGACGCAAACTGATTTTGCAGGGATCTACGGAAATTCAATACTTATGACGGCCGGATCGGTGCCAGTGAAGAACATCGCTGTACAAATCTTGGACAATCCGCGAAGGCGGAGTAAGAGTGTGTAATCGTAATCCACCGAGTTATTATTAGTAATAATGTATTGCACACAGTAACAGAAAGGTAATAATTTATAATCTTTCGTTTTACGGCCGGGGATATCTTATTCTTAGTACACCATTTAGTTTTTGCCTTTCCGGCCTTTTTATGACTCTTTTACTTTTCCTGTTTTCCTGTTGTTGCAAAGCTTGAGCAAAGCCAGTTCGGTTATTTAGGAAACTGAAGAGTTTTCCAATGGTTTCAGTTGATGGAAACAACAGTAAGCGGTAGACAGCTTAAATTACAGTTCCGCTTATGGGAAGCGTTTGCACACGTTTATGGGAATGGTGTCATAACTGCAGCAGTCGAATTCCGTATGCGAAACAAATGAAGACTATAATATTTTTTCCTTTACCGATGTTCACCGCCATGCTTTGGGTCGCTTTGCCTTTGAAACTCTCTGATTAGGTCAGCAGCCCACCGACGTAATAATGCCAGAACACACAGAAAAAAATGAGTGGCACTTTTAAAGAAATTAAGCAAACGTTAAAAATGTAGGTTGTTAAAAGACAATCATCGAAGTGATTTTCACTGATTGCTTTAATAGCCGTGATAACGAAATTAATACTTTATAATATACTTCTACACGTTATGTTCAGGCAAATCGTCTTATCTTGGGAATTGTTGAGCAGTTTTCGATATCTGTTTCTATTTTGAGAGGGAATAATAACATGAAGGCGGTATTACGTATAAAAAGGACTTGATTAATAATCTTTGCGGAAAGCCACAGCGGATTTTGGTGGTGGCAGTCGAGTCATGGTGACAATCGTTATGCTTAACGCAGCAGCTTCTCGCCGCCGTCTGCAGTGGAATTCAAAGGAGAAGTGTATTATGCGTATTTCGCCGGTAAAGAATCCACTCATATGTATATTCTGCTGCACATAAATGGGTTTGCATGAATTGCAGATAAGCAGTTTGCTTTAACATCACTAAAGATAATTTACCATATCTACGTGCTATCACAGTTTAATTAATGAAACCAAAACTCAGTGCTAGCTACTTTTACTTCCTAACTTGCAACTGCGGATTCACATCTGCCGCATTTGTGCGGGTTGTATTTTTGTAATGAAAATCTTACACACGCCGCAAAAGCTAAATTAGTTAGAACGTTGAAGGAAAAGTGGAAACGTACTAAGTTTATTCAAACAGGACATTGTTTCTCTGCAGATTTGAAGTTAGACAACGTTACAGCAGCCAAAACGACTCAATATCAAGCTACTGCAATAAGATTAAGCATAAAACCACGAAATAACAATGACTGTACACGAGGGAACGTCGTAAACCGGGCTCCCCTGGCCACAGGGATGCAAAACAAATGGCGGGCCAACTGCAACCGGTCTAGCAGCTGACGTACCTCCATGCGACCTGGATGTCACCGAGGTCCATGGACGCCAGTTTCTCGAAAGCAGCAGGAGACAGATCGATGGAGCCGTTAGGACATCTCGCACAGCGATCGACCACCTTGACCTTGACTTGCTTACCGGAGTCCACCGCTTTGACGAGGGCGCACCTGTCGCAGACGGGTGCCTTGAGGGAATCGCTGTGTTTTCCGTATTGCACATGGCTGACGGCCACCACCATGTCGTCGTCCGTGTTAAACTTTCCGCAGGCTCCCATCGCCGGATTGTACAAGGTCGCGTTGCCTTGGTAGCCCAGAACTACAGCGCACAACCCTAAAAAGACAGCGACACCGAAAACGAAACGAGTAGACATTCTACAGAAATTACGTTAGAAATTAGAAGGTTATGAAAATGCAAAATTGATAAAAATGGTGTGTTGGTGCTGCATAGCTTGTCACTGGTATAAACGAAAAGCGGTGATCTTTTTATAGTTTTCCTGAACTACCGTTTTGCAGATATGGCATTAAAATTCCTCGACTCACTTAAAATGTGTTCTGATGAATCTCTTTATCGAGCGAATTACTAAGCAGACTCCGCTGTTTTTCTGTTGAATAACCATATTAACGTTAGGCCGTTTAGTCATGCGAAAGTACTTGATGCATTTGCTTTGCGGAAGGGCACAGTGGAAACCTGGATATGGATTCCGCATGTGATAGCTGAATCACGTCGACAATCTAATTTTGCGTTGCGTTGCAGGTTTGCCGCCACCGTCTGGAGTGGATCCAGGGGACGCGTTTTGGTAGGTAAACTACTAAACGCTCGACTCAAGTGTAGTTTTTGGCAAACAATGCAGGAAATCAGTATAAGCATTTGGCATTATAGGAAATCAGTTTGCCAAAATACCTGGGAAATGTTGTACCATCAATTAAAATGCAGCCTTCCGCCAAGCATTAAATTTGACAGCACACAAGCATTTTATGTTACGTGCGTTAGCTGTGGCAGTATTGCTGTTAAGCAGCGGAAATGATGGCTACTTGCTTCCGTCGTCTTGATTTTGGGCGCCTTTATCTAATTTTTTGGCCGTCTTATCGCTAGAAAAAAATTATACGGGAAGATCAAACTATTAAATTAATATTAAAAACATCTTTTCCTTTATTTTCTTACACGACAGTAACTTGATTATTATAGAACATATGTAAAGCCTTAATAAAGCCCGACACGCGTGCAATGAGTATTAGTTGTGAAGTAGATACAGTCGTCCGCAGTGAACATTGTTCTTTCTCCGTTCTCGGCACGACCGTCCGCAGTCTTTCGCGCTTCTCTATAACGTGAAATCACGAACCTGGACTTCCATCGGGATAGCTTTATTCCTTAGTTTCACAGCCAAACGGTTTCATAGTGTTGTGCTAATGCAGTTTTGCCGGTTCCACACGTGTATAAGTTCCCGCGTGCAGAAGTTCCCGTTACCTGGCGACGCAGTTTTTAAGTGGACATGCAAGTCACTGGAATGGGCTCATCCGCAGTGAAATATTACAGGTAATAGTTTTATTCAAATATTTATCTAACAGAAGGGCTGTGATTCCCAATCGCTGAACAAATTCTGTTGCGCTTACTTTTCTGTTTCGAAGAATACAAACAATAACCGCCGCAGCTAGTTTAAAGAAAAAGTTTACTTCGCAATTCCTATAAAAACATTAAGTACTGCCGAGTACACTATCAATACCTTTCACAATAATCTTTCAACAGAACTGAATTCCGTTGTCTTTCCTGTACTCTCTGTTTTGTCCGGCATTATGAACGTTTTCGTGACCTTGTTGCTGACGGTTGCCATTTCGGCTTTTTCGGTAAGTGTATCAAACCAACTTCATGCAATCGCGTTACAGTTACAAGAACGTGACTGCTATTACAAACGTGACTGCTATTTAATCGCAGATTCGCATTATATACAATATATAATGGCAAGCATCGCTCAGTAAAAACACTCAAATGAGAAAAAAGAACGTAACTTATTCGAAAATTGGCTTGAAAGATTTGTTTGCAGAGCGCTCCGCCGGCCGACGAGGATTCATCATCAGCGTCAGCGAAAGAGCGTCCAAAAATATCCGACAGTGCCCGGGTTCTGTAAGTGTCAGTTCAGTGAATGCCGAAGTTCTGGTTTTATCTAGCATTCATGCAAAAAATTAACTTTTACGCCATTGCCGCTGATTTCAAAAGAGCAAGGTGAAAAATCTTTAGGAAACCAGGTCCCTTATTTAGTCTGACGGGCTTTACTGAAGTCGCAAACACAATATCCGCATTTGCAATTTGCATACGTGTTACTAGTACAGCTTTTCCGGACAATAAATTTAAGGTTTCCTGTGCAGTTTTGACATTACATTTTGACATTACTGTCTATACATACATAATATTATACTGTTATTGTGGTCGCATATCTTTTAGTTTGTTGGGTAATTTTGTGTCGACGACGTTATTTTAGCTCCCGAAACAGGAACAGCCAGGCCAAAAGCGACCCAGGGCGCCGAAGTGGCGCTGCCGGATAATCAAGAGCAGATCGGCGATGAGGACTGGAACCCGTAATACCGGTGAAGGTGAAAGGAGTTGTTGACAACTACGACTTGAAGACAGACGAGTATACCACTACGCCAGCGCAAGAAGAAGGAACTTATGCTGTTCCTTTAGAAATGGTCTAAATCCGTGATTAGGCAGCAACGCAAGCAAGAATGCCCTGAAAAGCAATTTATATTGATAAACAAAAACGTAATTTACATATATTTCGAGCGCGGGTGTATACAAAGCGAATTGGTCATTGTGTACGTAGAAGCAGTGTCGGGTATTCCGTGTCGACTTTTATCGTGTCGGGGGAACTACGTAAATTTTTGTAATACTTTAATAATGCAAGTTCACAGTAACCATCTGGCAGAAAAACTAAACCAGAAATAACTACAACTATAGGTGATGACACGACAAATAAGGTTTTGTGTTTGTTTCTTATTGTTAGTTTCATTTACGAATATAACATCAAATGGTGAAAGAGATTTAATTATGGGCACCTATTGGATGGCGGTGAAATCAAAAGCAGGATTGCACTATATAGATATAAGTACGATTTTAATGCATCTCGCACAGGAAACAACCGCGTTACTTGGATTTATTGGGAAGTTTTTAAGACAATGTTCACACTTCGAGTGCTTTACGGAACGTAACTGGTGTTAAAAGTGTTGCTAAAATAATGCTCGTATAATTTTCTTGATTTCATAGCGCCAATGAAAATCACCGCATCTGGAGCCATCACCAAACAGATAGACCAGCTGGAGGTACAACTCATAAAAACTCGAAATGACAATATCTTTTTAAATGTTAGCGACGTTAATCATACATAATTGTTTTCAGATCGATGTTGTGATACAAAAAAAGGTTTTCGTATGGATTACAGTCATCGTCAGTTTATACCATCGATATCATCATCGATATTCATCATCGATATTCATCGTCAGTTTATATCATGTTTGTATCTCGGTACAGCTGAGGGTGGTCGCAAGTCGCAGCTACAAAGTATGTAGGTCTCACAAAGAAGTTCACTAGCTGGTCACATTTACTACGCTATCACAAAATAACCAGTCGGATACTGGAAATTCCGTACGATGAGATGGCAGCCGCTGCGTTTCATCCCTATGTATACTATGCACGGAAAGGGAGTGTGTTTTTTTGGGATTAGTAATACAATACTGAAGAAGCTGCAAGATGCAACAAGTTTGCCATTTAATATTTAGTACTAATAATGTTCAAATATTTACGACTTCGTACACGATAAATTTGTCAGGAAATTTTTTTATTTGTATCAACAGCATCCCACAATACGCACCTTTTATGTACGTAATTTTGCAGCGCCCGTATCATCCTTTATGCATTCTCTACGTATCCTTTACCAATCTATTATCGTCATTTTGCAGCCCAGTTTTCATTTGCGTTCGAATAACATCGTATTTCTGCGGCATCCTTGATGTATTCCGCATGTGCTCCTCTAAGACGTTAAATAGCTAAGAAAATCTAAAAACTTAACAAAATTAACAGGATGTGTAGTACGGACATAAAGAATGGTTAGGATACTGATGAGAATACTACGGCATATGCCAGCTGAAGAATAATGGGCACATTAATAAGGAAATGCACGTAATACGTGCCAAATAACAGGACTTAGTGATGTTTGCCCGTGTATGTCGCCGTATGACCTTCAAAAACCAAAAGTCACGGTATCCAACGGTATCCTCACAGTATCCTGGTTACAATTATGACTGAAGTATTCCAACGTATCCTTGCGCAAACTGAAGGTATCCGTCGCGTTTTTATCATGTATTCTGACAACCGTAGACTGTAATTTTTTTTTTAGTGGCTTACATGAGAGATGCAAAAAAGATACTCGTTCTGCAAAAACACGGTAGGACACGGCATCGAAACAGAAACGGGGCTGGGAAAGCAAGAGGATACATAAAGGATGCGTAGATATAAGATACTGTGAGGAATTAGCTTTTATTTCGTTTCTGTTGATGAAACAACGCTAACGTACAAACTGCGCGGGTAGTATCTTCTGAAGATTCTATATCTTTATTAAACAAACACATGCCACGAAAGCTAAGAACCACAGAAACAGTCAGTTTCAAAGCGAAAATATACTCAGCTTATTCAAATGACATATTGTTTCGTTTTAAATTTAACGTCAGACTGCGCTACATCAGTCAAAACAATTCAATACGGAGCTGTTGGAATAAGGATCTGAACACTCCCAGTGAAATTCCGTGAACCGGCACCCTTGACAACCGGCATGGGAAAGACGTGGCGGGCCAATTGCAAATGATCTAGCACTTAACGTACCTCCATGCGACCTGGATGTCACTGACGTCCTTGGAAGCCAGTTTCTCGAAGGCAGCCGGAGATAGATCGATAGAGCCGTTGGGACATCCCGCGCAGCGATCGACCACCTTGACCGTGACCTGCTTGCCGGAGTCCACCGCTTTGACGAGGGCGCACCTGTCGCAGACGGGCGCCTAGAGAGAATCGCTGTGCTCTCCGTACTGGACATGGCTGACAGCCACTACCATGTCGTGGTCCACGTTAAACTTTCCGCAGGCTCCCAACGACGTGGTGTTATAGATGGTCGCTGTGCCTACGTAGCCCAGGACCACAACGTACAACCCTACAAACACAACGACACCAAAAACGGAACGAACAGACATTCTACAGAAAGTGAGTTAGAAATTATAAGCTTAAGGAAATGCAGAAATGATAGAAATGGTGAGTTGGTACTGTCACTGGTATAAACGAAAAGCCCTGGTTTTTATATAGCCTTTAGTAGCTACCGCTTTGCAGCTATTGCATTAAAATCCCTCGAACCACTCAAATTTTGTTCTGGTAAAACGCTTTATCCAGCTGTTACGCCGGTATACGCACGGCGGTCATTTGAAAGGCGAATACATTTATTAGTTTTCATTGCTAGACTTGTGTTTGTTTGTGTATTATGCGTTTTATTTCAGCTGGCTCAACTGCGTGTGTGTGCATGGATGAGCACGTTATGGCTGTGGCCATAACCCTTGACAATCTAAGAGATTGTTCTCATGTTTTATTATCATCGTGAAAGTTACCAGACTTTCTAGAATCGCTGCAACAAGGTTGCATGCATTGCGATGTACCGAGTAGGGTGTTGTTCTGCTGTATATATATATCGGTATATATCGGTCTACCATTTCTTGTTGCTCTCCATCTCATTGTTATTCCTGCTTGTTGTGCGAGTAAATTTATAGTTAAGAACTATTATTACTTTCGCTTCCCGTCAGCACAGTAGGAGTGTATTACGCAGTCAAACACCGGGAATCCATTTTGCGTTACATAGCAGCTTTGCTGCCCCGTCTGGAGTGGATTCAGGGAACGGGTTTTGGCCGGTAAACGCTCGCATAAGTGCAGTTTTTAGCAGTCATAAATCTGATATATGCATTATAGGAACCAGTTTGCTAACATATCTGGAAAACGTTTTATCATCTCCTATAAATCAAAATGCAAAATTTCGCCAAACATTAAACTTTGGCAGGACACAATCATAGTCCAGTATTTTACGTCAGTTGTGACAATAATGTTAAATAAGAGGCGAAACCAGGCGTCTTCCACTGTTCCCCTGTACTACTGCCGTCACCCGGCTGGAGTGCGCCGTTGCGGCTTTACCTACAGTTAAATTCGGCGCGGTTCCTAAGCGCCATGAAAGTTAACCGTAATTAGCATGATGCAGTACGTTTACAATGAAGTTTTAAAATTGTTTTGCTACTGTGGATTAATTAACATCTGTCTGGGTCTTTTTAATTTTTTAGAATCCGATATCTTTATCGATCAAACGCGTGACGTGATCGCGCAGAAATAAAAACGTACGTTTTCAAAGCATAGGTTTTCAAAGCATATGCGACATTTATTCAAATGGCAAATTGTTTCTCCACAATGTTGACGTTAAATCTGCGCTCCAACAGCCAAAATCATCCGATCGGTTTGTATAAAAGATAAATCAAAAACAAGGAAATGACAAAAACTGCGCGATAAATAAAATAAATATATGTAAAAGGGGCACATTTGGACTGCACCTATGGAACCCGACAGCAGGCATGGACCAATATCCAATGGCAACCGATCTAGCACTTGACGTATTTCCATGTGACCTGAATGTTACTCTGGTCCTTGGAAGCCAGTTTCTTGAACGCAGCAGGAGACAGGTCGATGGAGCCGTAGGAACAGCTCGGGCAACGATCGACCACCTTGACCGTGACCTGCTTACCGGAGCCCACCGCTTCCACAAGGACGCACTTGCCGCAGACGGAACTGCTCTGCTCTCCATACTGCGCACGGCTGAGGGCCATCACCATGTCGTTGTCCGTGTTGGACTTTCCGCAAGCGCCCAATGCCGGATTGTAGATGCCCGCTTTGCCCGTGTAACCCAGGGCCACAGCGCTCAAACCCATTAACACAACGACGCCAAAAAGCGAGCGAGCGGCCATTTTGCAGAAGCGCAGCTTCGAAGCTTAAGAAAATATAAAATCGACAGAGAGGCGGAGTTGCTAACTGAATGTTTTATCACTGTTATCAACGAAACGCGTCGATCTTTATATAGTTTTCAAGAGCAATCATTTTGCAAATGTGTCATTAAAATTTCTCGAACCACTCGAAACAGGTTCAAGCAAATCGCCCTATCGAGCAAATATTCGGGGAAACAGGTTCCCTTAGTAGTAGGCTACCAACTAATTAGCACTGACAATCTCCAGTATTATGCTTGACGTTGCAGTTTGCCGCAACCATCTGGAGTAGATTCGAGGCACGCAGACGCGATTTTGCCGGTAAACGTTTGACTGAAATGTATTTTCTGGTTGGCATAAATGAATTTTATCTTTATTTCGATTCACAATTATCACAGTAATAACCCGACACTACTGCATAAATTGTGCTTGCATTGTAGAATTCAATTCCTTAAACACCTGGAAATGTTTTAATTACTTTTACCATAGATATCTTTTACCATAGATATCTATTACCTACCCGTAGCGAAAGAATTGTAGTTCAATTTTTCGTATAAATTTGACAGTACAAAGTCAGTTTGTACGCGTACTTTACATTTTTTGCTATAATAATGTTGATATGCAGCCGAAACGATAGTTACTCATTTCCTATATTTTTTATCGGTGGCAAAAAAATTATAGGCAAAACTAAACTTGTACTTGGAACTTTTAATAGAGAGACAGTTTCTGTACCTTTTCGTACAACCTTACAGGACAGTAATGTGGCTCCTGTAGAACATAAAGGCTGAAAAAAATTTAAAACGTCAATAAAATGCGATCATTCTTGTCAGTGCTTGTGAACAGCAAAGCCAAGCAAGGACTGTAAAATTTTTTAAAGATGTGTACGGTACCTACAATCGCAAGCCTGTCGAAACATTGAGCGTACAAAAATACTACGAAGATTCATAGTAGTCACACCAACCACCATATAGCGCGCCACATCACACTGATTACGATGGTACACTGTACTCAGTCAGTAATTTATCGTATGGATCGTTTGTATTCAATTGTGTTTTTATGTCGTAGTAATTATATCAATCCACCTATTAAAAATATTTTAAGTAGTCATTTTTATTACTGTACTGTTAATTTGTCATTACAATAACCGTAGTGTAGCAGCCAACATGTGCAATACATTTCCATGCTCAGTTTGTCGGCAGGGTTGTACTGATTGTGAAATTAACACAAGCGATCGCAAGTTTCGGGCTTTTTCTCAACCTGAATTCGCGAATCAGGGCACGTTCTCTCAGTAGTCACTACCATCCGGATAGTTTTTCAACTTCTCAACCGAACAGTTTTATCGTACTGTACCGATGCAGACGGTTTTACCGGGTACACACGGCATAAGTTTAGCACTGGCCGTGATTCCCCGTTAGCTATCGACGCAATTTTAAAGCGGAAAAGCAAGTCAGTGGAACGGCAACATCCGCGGTGGGGGATCATTTGTGATTAATTCAAATATTCCCTGAGCACGTCCCCCGTAACAACGCACACCGATTGTGACGGGATCAACAGAAATGGCTTTCTCATGACGGTTGTATCGGTGCCTGAGCCGACCATCACTGGACAACTCCTCGACCATCCGCGAAAGCGCAGCAAGAGTGTGTAATTCCAAGCTACCGAATTATCCTTCCACATCCGGTGATATTCTGTGCTCTTAGTATAACATTTATGTTTCTGACCTTTATGACCTTTACACAGTTTTATGTTAGTCATTTGGCAGTACAAGTTACGTAATCTTTGAAAATGGAAACTGAGTTGTTTTTTTCAGTTATTTCAGTTTACGAACCAAGTAGCAACGTACAAACCGTAATAGCTAAAATTACAGTTCCGTTTGTGGAAACGCTAGCACACTCAGCAGGTCATGTTTAGCTGTAAAGCGGATATGCAGATCATCTTCGCTAACAAACGCTAATCTCCCGGAAATTCTGACGGTCATCTTGGCCGTCCTGATGCTCAGCACTAGAAACGCTACAGCGCACACTAACGCCGATAGTCCGGCGGGAGTGTAATAGTGCCATAACTGCTGCAGTCGAATTCCGTATGCGAAACCAATAGAGACGATAGTGCCGGATCCGACGGCCACCGCCAGGATCAATGTAGCGAGAGTCGCCGCTGCAACATTCACTGCTGCTACGACATCTACTTGGCGTTTGGTTCGTGGTGGGCCTCTGGCTAATGCAGTTCCTATTGCACCAGCAGCGATCGCTAATACACCGAGTAGGATTTCCAAAACCACACTATACCACAGCAGATCATATTTTGATCTATGCAGATGGGATAAAATGCCTAAAGAAAAACGTGAACTGCTTTGACTGCCCGTATTAGTTTTGAGTACTCTGAATTGTATATACCAGTACATCATGTACCTGTAGTTGCAATTAAGTTGATTTTTCAGATTTTGCCTATTTCTGAAGGGTTAAAGTTTAAGTACATGGTACTGTATGTAGTGAGATCGTATTGCCTTTTTCAGTTACTGCCTAACTAATTCTCAAGAGCCTTAATTACTTCCTTTTTTAGTTATCTAATTACAGCTACTGCAACAATGTAACATACTTAAAATTAATTAAATTTGAAGGGTACAAACGAGGGTCTGCTGCTTGCTGTTCTATGCTTGCTGATGCTTTTCGATGCTGTTCTTGTTGGCTATTACCGGATAATTAAGTTAAATTAATCGTATTCACTCACTGATTACGGAAATGGGAAGTATTAGAATTCCGGCTGCAATCTGCCCGGCAGACCAGCATTTGAGTTGAACAATTACGTCCGTGTTAAACGGGTCGGAGGAGTGTTCCGCAACCTAACGAACACAGTCATCTCGATACTGCTGAAATGTTATAAAATCCGTACTAAAGAGATGGGTGACGTATTCTTTAATAAAATCGAGCAACAGTGTTTTCGTAATTATTGAAATCTGCGTAAGTCCATTCAAGCCCAAGACTGGAATATCCGAGTAGTGAACGATCAGGTACTGAACAAACGAACGTACAAAAAGTGCAAACAGCAGCGTTTCCAGCACTTTGCATACTCTTGAGGAGCGAAAAATCGCATTAGCGCGCTCAGGTCTGAACAGCCAAATGTCGGACATGGACTTACCGATTCCCGCCGTTTGATGTAAATTACAGCGCCGGCAATTTGGCTTAGGGCAGTTATCTCCATGATCACCGCACTTATAAATACCCCGCTCCACCACGGCCAGAAATCCGACGCGGGACTTCCGGCTTCGTCTTTAAAGAGCACTTCCCAGTCCGCAATGCGTCGTACATGTGATATAAGTTCGGTGAACTTCATAAAAATGGACAGCAAGACAACAACAGCCAGAATGGCGTTAGCGGTTAAGAAGTTTTCTGCATGGTGAAGTTGTCGCGGTCTCCTGCATAGTATGTAGCATCCCCAGCATGCGGCGATTATGGCCTGCAGGGCGATGGCATATTCTCCCGGAAGAGCGTAGTCAAAAAGAGCGTGCTCAATGTGATGTGTACTGATACTTGCTACACACAAAAAGGCAGCATCTAAATTTTAAAATACCATAGAAATAGATGATTTTAGTCTTACCAGTTATAGCGATACCGGCTGCCAGTAATCCCATGCAGAGCTGTATGGCAGTACATATTGCCAGCAACAAAGAACCTGACCGTTCTGATAACATGGCGGTTTCTTGCCAGCTTTTCCTCAAGAAGCCGTATTAGTTTCGCTGAATGCAACTAGGCAAATAAGTCTCGAATTCGCTTATTTATACGTTTATTGCAATGCGTCTGATCTTTTTCCGTTGAGCAGTATGTTACGCAATATGGCTTGCTCAATGTGCATTGAAACATGAGTAACTTAAATTGTGCATTTAAGTGTTATCAGATTAAAATAACCGCAAAGAAACCACGGCGTGCTACTGTGATTTTAAAACCGCATAGACCAAATTTTATCATGGTTGATCATGGGAAGTGATAGAATCGGTAACTGTTAATAAATACGAGTTATCTGAGCAGTATAACATCAACTCCTACCAAAACTGAAACCCTGCTAATACCTCGTACGGCAGTACGAAGAAGTTCGACCGCTGAAAAAGGCTTATACACATTACACACTTATTGTCGTAAAACATAGCGCGGAGTCAATTCCAGCGCGTTCAGGATACGGTTATAAACTTATAGTGTGTATCAGTCTCCTAAAGAATATTGTTCTTTTGCGATTGGCATGACTTCCACTTGCGCGAGCTTTGGAAATGAAAGGTCGGGTCACATGGCAGATGTCACACGAATCAGTGTTACAACAGTTAACAGTAGTACATATGTTTGTTCTTTTAATAATATGCAATACACGAAGGTTTAATGTATAGGTTGAACTGACATGGAAGTCACGATGAGCTCGCCCGCTGCAGTATGGACAGGCACTCGGTGCGAATCTTTTCTGTCTTACTTAGACGAGTGTTGCATGGTGTATTATACAACGTTAGTATCCGGTGTTACTAATTTTAATGTTCTAGCGAGCAATTGCAAAGTCGTCCAGAAACGCAGAAAACACCCGAAACAGAAGGCTACGCTCGTGTTTATGTCGACGACAGAGGAGTCATGGGTTGGGAATCACGTGGTCTGGAACCGAGTGTACGCTTAATGGAACAGAAGAAGGAACAGCCGATAGTGCAGTTCCAGACTGCAATAAAAGCGTTATTAATCACAATTAAAGCAGTGCAGGAACAAGTGAAATCATGCATAAAACGAGTTTTAAATTCCGTGGTAGCAAACGCATAAAGCCCTAAAGATATAATTATTCCAACTTCGAGAAACTGTGCCGATTAGTGTGAATCAGTTTTGAGTTGTGCTTAAAAGTCAGTTTTGCCGACGTCGGAGACAGTGATTTCAGCTTTGCATGGGATTTGGGAGCCTTTGAACCACGATATAGCGATACGCTAATACGAAACCTGGCAGTTTTATTGCCGACTACAGTCATTATGCGTTTTGCTTCCCCGATGGAATCGAAAACTGTGATTATACTTTTGGTTTTAACGGTTCCATCATTTGCCAGCCCGGTAAGCTAATTCTCGAATTTCCAAACCATGGTATGTTTTAGGCTTAACTGCATTACCCCAAAAGTCTTTTTCGTTAAAGCGAAGAGAATTTTTCTAAAATGATACAGGAATAAGTATGCACTGTCAAATGCCGACGTTCAGAAATTCCAAAAAAGTTTCATACTTCAGCGTTCAGTCAGCGTTCAGTCAGATCAAAAACCCAAGATATGGGACGCTTTAGCGCAGAACAGCGGTCGCGGAAAGCTGTCCATCGATGATGCGCGTGACCTGTACATCAACGCCAAAGCAGGCCAAGACTATCCAAATCTCAGCGAAATTCCAGCTGGCAGTTTCGACTGCGGTTCAGTTAAACCGGGATTTTATGCCGATGTCGATTATCAGTGTCAAGGTGAGTAATGGACATATTTGATGATATCCGGCGCGGCGACGTATTATTGTGTTCACAGTCATCCGGCGTTGTGATGTCAATGGAAACCAGACGGCCTATTTGTGCCCTAATTTGACGGTATGTTTGGACGAAACCTGCATTACAATAAAAGCAGACACTAGTGTATTATTTAGAAGTATAAGGGACCTAGATGGACCTTTTTGTCAGTGGTCTTGTGTCCCGTTTAGATTTTCAATCAGATCACTTTGGTCTGCGACTGGTTTTACAATGTGGACTGCAGTCAAGCGCGGAAGTGGTATGACTACGCCAACAGCCGTTTGTACCAGGGCGCCGATGTGGTGCTGCTGGACAATCAAGACCAGATCGGCGAGGGGGAACTGGAAGCCGTAATACCGGCAGCAACTGCCGTCTCCAGTAAGCCGACCAGAAAGAAGGCGTTTACTATGAGGGCGACAAGTGATGCACCAACACTGGTAACTCGGGAAGACGAACCATCAACGCCGGCCGCTCCCTTGGAAATGGTTTAATGCTCGCAACCTGCCTCCTCCGAAAAATGCAGCGAGGAGTCGGGGATACACCCTGCTTTTCCATTTACCAGCCCTATTACAGTTGCAGCTTTTAGCCGATTTTAACAAAATTTTCGGGCACAGAAATTAAATGCAAATTAAAAGTTTTGATTGTCGGGTGGTTTGTGTCAGTTTTGTCTTTGGTTTGGTGATATTACATTGTTATCACATTCCAAAATAAATTACTTATGTGCAATAAAGAATCAGTTTAATGTCTTATTAGTTTCGGCGAACAGCGGCGCCGTACACGCGCGTGCGCAGCCTGCTCGTTAACTTGCCCAAGGTCATTAGAAATTTCTTTTACACCGCGCATCGTGGTAATGGTGCATTACTGCGTATAATCATAAAAAAATAAAACAGAAGAAACCGGCAGCTAATTGGTTATCAATAATCACCATTAGTATAGACATGCCTCGCAGCAATTGTAATCCGCTAAGCACATGCACATCAGCAATAAGCTCGGTTTCCTTGTCTGCTGCATTAGCTTCTTCGTACCTTTTCTGATTAAAATTTATAAAGTAAGCTTTTAATGCAAATTTTGCGATCCTGTAGTTCTTGTCGTTCAAATTTTTCCCAATGGAATTTGGATATAATATTATTTTGGGAGCCCGTAGAAACCATTGGTAAATATTCCAGATTTTGCGTGATCCGACCCCGCTTTTGATGGTGAAACACATAAATCAACCGGGAGCATTATTATAATGTATGCGCATAAATTACTTTCTGTGGCCGAATCGTTACGACGATTTACGGAATAAGTGAGTTAAATCACCCCACTCAGTTATATATCGTGGACATCGGTCAAGGAGCTGTTCACTGATAATAATTATCAGTTTCTTCATTCGGGAATGCCAGATCAGTGTTACTTAGGGTACTTCGCTCGCATATTATGTTCATCAGAAAGTGTGGAAGTACCAATATCACAAGCCTTTGCCTGAGTGGTACTCTGAACCAAGTCCCTTTCCACTTGCCCAACGAGAACTACACTAAATATCCCAAATTTCGGAAACGTTTGTTATTCAGAAATAAATTTGCATGCTTGACCAGGTCTTAACGTTACGGTTTGTCGGCTGAGATCAGCGCGAAATATTGTTCCAGTTAAATGGCTGACAGCGTGCGCATAATGCTTTTCCATACAACCAACGCAAGCGAGCTGGATGCCGTTAAAGAAACAATGTCGCTAAACAGCACAATTAACCAAATGTCCACGGGCAATGCAGAGTACTGGAAGAACCATGTTCCCGGCACCGGCAACTGGAGCGATAGTGCATCAGCTAGCGCTGACTTATTCTATGTCGTTTGCTATCCATTTTTGTTGACCTTATGCACAATTGGCAATGGACTGAATTTGATCGTTCTACTCAGGGAAAAAAAGAAAACCAATGCCAACTGTTTCATGACCGCCATGGCTGTCGGTGATCTCGTGTTTATGTAAGGTAGCTGAAATGCATTAGAATTAGTAGTATATATGGTTACCAAGTTGGTTGAATGATACGATTGATTTGCTCTATCTGCATCTGAAAGATTCTGAGAATCAGATATGTACTTTGACGTTTTTTACTTTGCCGGCATTTTCACAATATGGATTCCCGTACCGGACACGAGTGGCACGGTGTTCTCCGCGTTGTTCCGCATGATAAAAGCTCCAAATATTGATTAAGCGAATATTACTGTTTTCATACAATGTTGTACAAGAGATTGACAAACAAGGATCTAGAGTAGATTTCTAATATACGCATCCATAATGTAAAAGAGTCCGGAATACGAAAAACGTCGAAGTGATGTTAATAAGATTAAATCGGGCTACACGTAAATGTTGTAAATTGTAGAATGTTTAATGTTGGTTCCTGATTTACGCAGGTTTCGATAGATTGATTGATTTAGAATGATTCTCAATTGTTTTCGGCATTAGGTGGTCACGTCTGCTACGATATAACCAACTAACCAGCCGTATTCTACAAATTTCTTACAACTTCGAGGCGACCCTAGCAGTTTATCCGTATATCTACTACGCGCAAAAGTGGAGCCAGTTCCTGAGCGATTGGTACGGCTGCTAATGTATCGTGAAAATACGTTTGGTTTGGTGCTGGTTCGAATTAGACGAGTCGCCAAAGTGGGAAGCGCGACACACTTCAAAAACTGTTGTCCGATTGTTCTTCCTTTACAGGGTTCTGATTGCATTTTCCCTGGAACGACTAATTGCCGTTGTCAGTCCGCTGCGGTTTATGTGGCTGTTGCGACCGTTCATCGCGCGGTGTGCGATTGTCTGCCTTTTCGTCTTGGCTGGCGTTTTCCAAGCTGAGCGCTTTGCAACCGAATATTTTCGCTACAACTTCAACAGTTTGTCTCCGCGTAATTTTCCCAAATGGTTGCGTCAGTGGAGGGACATAATCGACATTGGGGAAGTACGTCCTAGTAGCATTTTGTGCAAATTCACTGAAACCGACCAACACGCTCAAACTAGTAAATTGTCTGGCAACTTTTGGGCGGTTGTGTAATATGGTTAAATAACGGGCTAAGGCTATTTTGCCGCAGTTTTCTTCAGTGCGTCAAAATAGCCTTTTGCTATTTTGCCGCACACTGCGTTAAAATAGCCTTTAGCTATTTTGCCGCAGTATGGTAGACAAAATAGCCATTTGCTATTTTGCCGCACACTGCGTTTAAACAGCCTTTTGCTATTTTGCCGCACTATGGTCGTAGCTAACTTGCGATAGTAAAAGGTACGGACCGCACTGGCATCTAGAGACTGGAGCTACAATTTCTCCTGGATTTGACCAACTGCCGTGTCTCACTCTCACTGGAGTTAGTAAAAGCACATCATTGAAAAGGTTCTTTTACAATTTGGACAGAATATTGTGCATTAATCTAGTCGAGAACGTACGGCTTTCACTGAATGTATATTCGAAAACGGATAGTGCGACATCAATTTCCATTTGGTATCCGATCGGCGCCATAAAGCCCATTCAACGAAAGGTCTGCCCCAGCCAAAAAATCACGAAAATTGTCCACCGCCAAATATACGTTTTTTTCCGATTTCGGAAAAAAAATGCTGGACAGCCCAAGTGGTCGCGGGGCGTTTCGCCGTGGGACATGGGACACAGGTATTTCGTCGCAGCAGCTTACTTGTTTTGAGACAACTCGTTTTGCTGTCGTTTTGTTGTGACATATGGTCGCACGACGTTTGCGTCGAAAAGGTGTAGACTGGTTTATGGCACCGAACAGCCATATGAATATTATGGTATGTTGGAAAGTGTGATAAAGGAAACGAAGGTCGTTGGAAATCTTGTGAACTATACGCGTTGGCATGTGGCTACACTGTCTTGTTTTGTAGCACTGCACTTCTCGCGGAGCATACGAGACCATTCTTACTTTACGATCTACAAAGAATACAGCTTTATCAAACGACTAAATATCGTTGTTGCGGGATTTCGTAAAGGTAATCAGGGGTAGCCGGGGTAACATTTCCCGCAATCCATGGTTGCGGGTTGCTAAGATCGTTCGTTCTTCCTCCCATTCCCAAGCTTCCTCATCTATGTCGTCGGTGAGGGCTATTACTGGTTCGCACTTATGTTGTTCTTCCTGTATCGGGCCGGAAGTCACGGCTCCGTTCTGTTGCAGAGTGACTATCATCTCCACGTCCGTCGGTTGAAAAAAAGCTGTATTCCCGAGAACTAAGTCCGGTACTTCTGTTGTACATCTTGTACCAGGGCATCCGCTTCTGTGGCAGTTGCCTCTGGTGTCGGGATAGACTGCACCACCTTCATCCGTCCTGGTAGTTCTAAGTTGGGAATTGGTGTTAGTATGAAGGTAACCTTGAAATGGTAATTGTCACATCCAAGTAACACGGCGACGTCCGCGTCGTTCGGCTGGATGTGGAAATTATGGTGACTCGTTTATCCCCGCAGGGTTACCGGTACGGTGCAGCAGCGGTATACGGTAAAGGCTACTTGTCCGCCTACACCAAGTATTCTGTTGTAATAGCCGAGAGGTTGCATCTTTAGGCCATTTGTTCTGCAAAATCGTTTCTCAGTTAGCAAAGTTTCTGTAACGTGTTGGTCATCACTATTTTGGACGTTGGTCCGATCTGGATTGCGTGTGCACAGGCTCTGACCGTCTTCGTTTCGTTCTTGTCGACCTGTTCAAAGGTGACTGACCTTCCTTACTGTCGGCTTGACGGGCATTAAGAATACTGGACTGAAGTCGTTTATCGCGGATTTGCCATGTGTCGGCTGCACTCTTGGGATGGCCGCTTCCCGCGCTTCAGGTCGGTTCATGATTCCGTTCGTTTGTGTTTCGGCGGTTTCCATCGGTTGTGCTCGGTTGAGCATACGTTTCTCCTTCGGGACTTCCGTTGGTCTCCCGCTCGACCACACGTGGTCGAGGTTCAGAAACGCTCGAGTGCCTGCTACTGTTCCTTCTAGCTGTCACTGTTGGGAAAGGCCCGCTTCCTGCTGCAAACAGTAGTCGGGTGGCTGTGCTTCCAGCTGGAATGACTGCCATCCCTCGAATCCTCCAGGTTCTTCGGTTAGATCCACTGCCGATAGGTTTGCGGCGCCTATCCTTTCCGCGTCCGGATGATGCGGGGAAGTTTCTGTACCCTATGCGTGAATCGGCGTCCCGGTCCTCCGCGTCTTGGCCGTTTTCTAGGCTGCTCAGTATAGGTTCTTCTCACCGGCAGTGCGTTCCAGCTTCTGTTGCCGATCCGCCTTGCGTCACTTTCTGCGGCAGACGGCGCAAGCCATTGTTTGCGCTGCGTGGATTGGGCAATTCTTGCGTTTGTTACATAATTTATGACAGAGCAAAGTAAATATGAAAGGTCACGGCACGGCTAAACCGGCCGGTATGCTAACATATGATAATATGCATTAACGGTAACGAACGGAAAGGCAATGCGAAGCAGGGAATTGTTATTAGGAAAGAAATCAGGCAGAAGTACAAAGTGTACCGTCGGAAGTGGTACTGAATGCATGCATGAATGTATGAATGTCATTAGAAGTGAAAAACAGCAGTATATGTAGGTAAACAAGTAGAAAAGAATAATATCAGATAGCACGGGCGAGCATATCGCTCAAATGAATCAGTAAACAGAAGCAACATCATAAAAGTGAATCAGGGCTGCCGCTCAATTATCTGTATAAAAATCATTACGTGACACGTTCCAATCATCAACCTACCAGTGTCAGGTTGAGGTAATGGGTCGGACATCCAGGTAGTCCTTGCGTTCCGGTCCGGATCTCGATTTCGCCGTTGCTGACGAATATACCGAATAGTGCCGCTATAGTTCTAGCGGCTTCAGCCTCTTCTGTGGAGACTATCATCGCATTAAGAAGTTCGCCTTCCCTGCAATGGTAAGCCCATGTGCGTGCTGGACTGTCATTATCCGTTATTGTAACAGAGTACAGGTCGATTTATAATTGGGGTTATCTTTGTCCGGTCGTTCGCTGGGATGTTGGAAGTCGAATGAGTCACCGGGGCTTGCCGACCTTAGATGTTTCCCGGGGCGTTACCCCAGCGAGCCCCTTGTTGGGCGGCAACTCCAAAGAAGTGGCGAGCCGATATCTGTTGTTGCTGTTCCAAGGATCCCGGGCTGTATTCCTGCTGATTACCTCCGCTATTCCTCCGCTCCCGTTTCCAGAACTGGGCGACCGGTTTCCGTTACCGCCGCCGCCCGAGCCTCCTGGCTGTTGCTGGCGGGGTCATGGTGGTGGCGCGACGCTGGCGCAGCACGGATTTGCCGTGCCTAGTTGTATGTCGTGCGTATATCAATAGTACTAATGGTTGTACCACCGATGGCTTGGATTGCCGTCCCGTTGAATGTTCGCATATCCGCAGCGCGCTCCGTCGTGGTTGTTGAACATGTAGTGTCGGCAAGAGAGGGCCCTAGCCAGTGTCCACCGTAAGTACGCTGCTTCCATTTTGTTTGCCTAAGTTTAAATCTGCGGAGAATTCCGTTGTGCTCGTGGGGACCATTGACCCTGTTGAACTGATCCTGCACCAAGGTTGAAGAGGTTTCCACCGCCGTACACTGCTGGTAGTGCTTGGTATCCTGGCAGCATTTGCGGCTGAAATACACTCTGTTGCGGTGCCACTAGTGGTGGGGCTAAAGACGGAACGGGCGTTGCAGCCTGGATTCTGGTGATCTCACTGTCCCGTGATCCCCTTACCATGTCATGCATTTCCATGCCGTTAACGAACAGCCTTATGAAGTCGCGAAGTTTTCTCGGTGTCTTCGGCTTCGTGATTTCCAGGGCTTCCCGTAGTCTGATTCGAAGATGTTCTCCTTAAAGTGGTAAAGTGCTACCTCGTCGGTGATGTTTCGCACTCGTGACCTATTGTTTATCATGGCATCGTAATACTGTTCCGGATTTTTTTGTCCGAAGCGGTATTTTCGCACGGCATTAATTTCTTTCTTTTTGTTTGCGAACCGTTCCTCGAATTCTGTTCTTTGCTGGCGGTTTTTCTAGGCCATTTCTCAGCTTGCCTTGTTAGTCGGGTGACGAGGTCGGTCATGAAACGAACGGCTGTTTCGTTCCATTCCTGGGCTTCGGCATGTAACCTACGAATCTGTTTGATCCATCCGTGGACCTTGTTTTGGACGCCATGGAATTCCGGTAGGTTGCCTACGTCCACGGGCACATGCCGGTATCGTTTTCCGTTTAAAATCCCTGGGACATCCCTCTCGCTCTTGGTTGGCCGCAACGCGGGCGGCTTGTCCCTGAGGAACTTGTGCCTCCAAGATGGGCGGTGGGTTGGCGTTAGGTAACCAACCTTGCTAGTCTTGATAATCTGCCGAATAACGAGCCGGTTCTGGTTCGTATCCGTTCAGTTGCGTTGTTGGTTCCAGATCCGGTCGTGGTGGCTGCGCGTTGGATCCCCCTGGTAGTTGGGGACCCTTCCATACAGGCCTGGCTGCGCCCCAACTGGGGGCTGTCGACCTTCCTTCGGTCGATATAGCGGCACCCGACCTTGTCGTTCCGGATACCCGGCTGGGTAGACGGTCGGATCCGGTTGTCCAAAGTTTTCGCCCTGCTGCAGGTCGGTCGCGTAGTATGACCGAATCCTTGCTTTCGGAAAGTCAAACTCAAGTGGGTTTAGATGATTCGAAACTCCCATGTCGGGACGGGAACTTGTTCGTTCCGTCATCCGTCCCGAATTGTGTTTGATACGGGAGTCTCCAGGTCCGCTTGGTGGTTGTCAGTTGAAAGGGACTTATGTTAGCCGCTCTCCTTTGAAGATGTTGTTCGGGTGGGAAGCGGTTAGTACCGGGGCATACGTCGTCGAGTACGAGGTACTTGCGTATGTACCAGCAGTAGCCGTCGTTGTTGTCGGCACGTTCGAGATTGGCACATGTAGTGCCGCAATCGGTGTGTTGCGCTCCGGTTTTGGGGCATGTAGTATCGGGTTCTGTGGTGGGAGATTTCCGGCGAGTGCGTAAGTTGTTACCACTTGGACGAAGTAGGACGGTTGATTCCTTCTTCTCGGAATCCTGAGTCGGCTTATTATTCAACAGAATCTCGCGCATCGTTTGCGAAGGATTGTAATCGGTTGCCATGGACGTTTTGTAGTATAGAGGTTCGGCACTGGCTTGTTCCAGGTGCTTCTTTTTCTCCTTTAGATATCGCATTTCGGTGTCAATCTCGTTCATTTGTAACGTCATTTCTGAGACGTTCATGGCTGCGTCTGCGCAGAAATCATATAGTTCGACTTCGCGTGCTTCTAGGTAGACGATGCGGTTTAGTAGCGCTTCATTTGCCTTCTTAGCTTCATTTAGGTTGTGGTTTAGCTGTGACCGGAGTTTGTGCTCCTTCTTCATTTCGTCGTTCAGTTCGTAAACTTGGTCGGCTAGTTGGGCATTGGCTAGTTCGACGTTGTTGATGGCCGTCCTCTGGTCGGTGGAGGTCGGTTGCTGGCTAAAGTGAGCCAGCAGTTGTTGTTCGCTCATGACCAGTGCGATTTACATCTCCGACTGCAGCTGATCGGTAAACTTTTGTAGCTGGCCGACTTCGTTGTCGGCTTCTCTAAGAACCGCTATGTATCGATTAACCTCGCCACGGTATACGTCTTGGTTTGAGCGATTCAGCGTTTCTTGGGACTGCACTTCTGCCCCTGCTGAGGCGACGAGCGCTGTCTGTGTTTCGGCAAGTTCTCCCTTCAGTTCGAAGATGGTTTCCGTTGACCAATCTAGCTTGCCTTAAGGTTGGTCGACTTCTTCGATGCCGTTTCGGCAAGATTGGTCGACCCGCTTTAGTTGGGCGTTTAGTCGATCGAACTCGCGTTGTTGGTCGGCAGCCAAGTATAGGGCATACCGACAATTCTGGCAAAGGGCCAATTCGGCATTGGACACTTCGGCATAAGACATTTCGGCATAAAGTCTAGTATACTGATAATACCTAATGATGGAAAGAGCAGAGCGGATAAATTAGAAGAAATTTTGTTACTGTTTCTGTTGTAAAACTCATGCATGGTAACCGGCTTCTGCTAATGAAATGATGACCATGGTAAGAAACCTATAATATGCCAATGAATTGTACTCAATCTAAGAAAGTGAAGGAAACGCATAGAATTTCAAAAAATTGAGAAAGTAGAAATCCTAAAACCTAGCAAACCAAAACATGCCAAACATGCAAAAACCAAAAGCCTTATAAAAATAATGCAATGCAGGAAGACCTAAGATGCAGTGGAGAACTTGAAAAATCGTATGTAAAAATGCGAGGATTTAATAAAACTAAGGAACTTTAGAATAACCAAAAAGACCTAAAAATATATATAAACCTAAAAATCCTAAAAATCTTAAGTAAACCTATGAAAGCCTAAGAAACTTAAGAAACCTAAGAAACCTAAGAAACCTAAGAAACTTAATAAACCTAAGAAACCTAAGAAACATAAGAAAGCCCAAGAAAGCCTAGAAAACCTAAGAAGATCTAAGAATACACATATCTAATAATGCAAAGGAGACATGAAAAACTCGGACCGCTTTGTCATTTGTTTATAGCAAGCATTTTAGTGATGCTGTCCACAGTACGCAGGCTGAATAAAGCGAATTTAAACAGAAAACGTTAGAAAACAACAGTATTATGCAAAATTGTCTGTATGCCGAAATGTCCACATGCCGAAATGTCCTCATGCCGAAATGTCCTATGCCGAAATGTCGCTATGCCGAAACGGTCGGACACGAAGTACAGCGTTGGTACCACGCAGGCTCGTATGCGTCTCACAGCCCGACCGGCACGGCTTGACGGTGAGATCGGTCGACCTTCTGACAGACAACCCGATAAATTGTCACCGCTCGGCACTGTTCGAGCCGGGGTTGCTCCTGTGTCGCCGGTTGACGGAAGCGCGGAATCTATTTTTAAGGCAGATGAAAGACAATTTGACCCGGCTGATCCGATATTTCTGACACCGGTCGGACACCGGGTATTTTCCGAAGGCCAAATGTGTGGTGATTGTACACACAGACAAGAACGTTCGGATACGATTTTCAAAGGAAACAAGGGAATTCTCGAAGGAAAACGCGAAAAACTGCGTGGGTAAAATTTACGCCACACGTTTTGGAGGCCCGCAACTTACTGGACTGTTTATGATCTCGATCGTCCAGCGGACGTCTGGAATCTATAGATGGATGCACCCGTAAATGGGATCCCAGAGCATTGCAGTGCCTGCACTACGCTTCCGATTTCTCCGTGGGCAGATTATTACCACCAGTTACTTAAATTGTTCTACGTTAACCGGAAACTGCGGCAATAGTTAAAGGCTATTTTGCCATCCATACTGCGGCAAAATAGCAAACGACTATTGTAACGCAGTGTGCGGCAAAATAACAAAAGACTATTTTACCGACCATAGTGCGGTAAAATAGCAGATGGCTATTTTGCCGCAAACACTGCGGCAAAATAGCCACTTCGTAAATAACGGGTAGGCGTTTTGTAATCCCTTGTGTGCTTTACAGATCATTGTAAATTTCTCGAATTTCTTCGGTCTGGTAGTAATTGACGCTTGCCTGATAGCGGCCATTAGACGCCAAGAACACTCGGAGATACGTTCTGCTCAGACCACTAATTATTCAACACACCATCACAATTTTAACAAAATTGTGTTGGCGGATGTTGGACTGTACCTCTTCTACACCTGTCCAAATATTGTTTATTGGTGCTTGATGTTGGCTGACAACTATCAGACATTTATCTTTTCCCTGTCCGCACAGATTGCCGCCAACCGCATATGCTCTGCGCTGCAGCAATGTAACTACTCCTTGACCTTTTATATTTATATGATCGTCAGCAAGAAGTACAGGAGGGATTTCGTGCGCGCATTTGGACCTGTAAGCTGCCCACCTTGGATAAAGAAGTGCTGCACCAGTTTGCGAGAATCTAGTTGCTGCACTTGTAATTGGTCTGCTAATTCTCCTGATGCACCACACAAATTGTTTCCTTGCTGGCGGAAAATGGCGAAGTCTTCTAGTGCATCTACGGTTACGACGCAGATTCGTGGAAGCGAAGAACATGACATTCCCCTGGTGTCCGTACCACAAGGACCCTTTGCTGCACAAAATCCGAGATATCTCTGAAGGCCAACGACAACGTGTTAGCAGAAAGCATGCATTCGTCTGGATTTGCTATTCTTTTCTTCTGTTTTTGCACACAGCGACGTTATTGTTTGAAAGGATGAAGTACCTACATACGTACAGAGTAGAACAATAATACTATTTGAACCAAGGCAAAAACTCGTTTGCTCAAGTGTAAAACCCAATACGAATATACTCGTACAATTTGGAAGAAGAATGAATCTATAACGGATTGATTGTACAAACCTACGATCAGTTAAGCGATAAGACAGACGTAACATATTTATGACTACAATGCAAGACACTCCTTCCAAGCTAAGCAAAAGAGCAAAAGAACCATCGCCAAAAATCATCACAAATAAGAACAAATTATAAATACAAAGCAGATACGGAATAGCTTAATTTAAGGCTTTTCAGTAAACTTTAAGCCCAGACAATAAGCCTCTATGTACTTTTTACAGTTGTATTGTAATCTCGTGAAATTAAGAAACAGTTTTGCATCTCGGTGGTAGCGTAACTGAAGTTCGGTGCCCCCAGTGCAACTACTGTTTACCTCTGTGCAGCCGGTTAATACGGTTCGTTGCTTCCCCCAGTGAATGCCGAAAGCTAAAATAAGGGTAGCAGCATGAGCTGATGCGGTTCAGTTTAATTACAACAACATTCCTATGGATTCAATAAGTATGTAAATTAGTAGTAGCTAAGCTTAAAAATGGATCTGGCTATGTAGCCACTGGCCACTCAAAGCTTATCTGACAGACTTCAATGCAGTTTAATTTCCTTTTGCGTTCGGTAACTTGGCACTGGACGATATCGATCGATTACCATTGCTTACATTTTCAAGGTGAACAAATAATTATCATTTAAAAGTTATGTGGACTGGAAGCAACAATGACATTTTCTGGGGTTTCCATGGAATTCTAATTTATGTTCGGACAGTAAATTTCCAAATATGAAATCGAAGCATGCACACTTGCATGATGCAACATGTAAAATCTCTTTTATTTCATTTCAATTTCATGTAGTAAACGGTCGTGAGCTCATGTTAAACTAAACCTTTTCCTGGATTTCACGGTCTTCTGGCCCTTCGTCGAGCCTGCGCGCGGATTCGCTCTCCCCGTGCTAATGTTTCTTCCGGCAGTCCGGCACTGTAGTTATCCGGGTTGCGCCGGTCTTGATTGCGATTCGTAAACAGTTCATCATATCTGCCCTTCTCCAGCAAGCACGCTTCATGGTACATGGCCTCTATCCGCGTGCCGTACACGGCGATAACCACAGCAACGTGCTTGATGCCGGTTTCCCTGGTCAGTTTGTTGGCCGTCTGCATACCGCGTGCGGAGACCAGCTGACCGTCATAAGTGCGCACCTGCACACCCGTTGACGATATCCCGATGTAACGATTATTCCCCAGTGCGGTGTGCTCGGATCTGGCTCGTTTTGCTCTTTTCCAAGCACTTCTCTCGGGTATTACCATGTAAACGTGTGTAACTTTCTTTGAGTTACGACTGTTTCCGTGCACACCATCTGCAAATAGCCGGAATCAGTAAAATCCTAATTGAAGTTATTGAACAGACTAAAATTATGATTAAGATTTCTTTGGGGAAATCTCTTTATAATGAAGGCGGAGTTATCCGCTGACCACCGCGCGCGCATTGGTCAGTCGTTCCTCCCCTGGCCAGGGAAAAGCAAACGCTCTCCCATCCCTGGCCACCTGGACTCGCCTATATAAAGCGGCTGACCACCAGTCGGCAACCATTAGTTCGCCCGTTTCGTCTGTAGAAGATTTTCCTTCCCTCCCTCCATCCCCGTCACCACCTAATCCGTAACTGCTGTTCTCAAAATGTGTTAACTTCTGCTGTTTTCATCCTTGATGTTTTTCTGTGCATGGCTGTTAGGGCACTACGTGCCTCTTTTATGATGTTATATATATACGTGTCCGTATTGCTCTTTGCTTGGTATCCGCTTGATGCCCGGAAGTAAAGTCCATACCCCCTGCACCTTGTTGCTTGCCGTTAAACTCACACACTCCACATAACGACAACAGTTCTCATTATTGTGCGTATTACAACTTAAGCCATAAGAACTCTGTGCAAACACTGTATGGACTGCTACTGTCGCCGCTTACCACTGTCAACACTACCGCCTCTACCGTCGTTGCCGCTACCAGCACCACGTCTGCCGCTACCGCTACTACCACTGCCACCATTACCACCGCTGCCGTTACTACCGCCACCGCTTCTGCCGCTGCTACCACCGCCACTTCGGCCGCCACCGTTACTGCCGCCGCTGCTGTTGCGGAATGCGCCTGCTCCTGTTGAAAACGCAACTGGTTACTGGCTATGTACTGGTTTTTGGGCCATTTTCACATTTGTTTTCTTATGTAGTCACTTACCCCCTTCGGACACGGCTTTTAAGTTCAGTTGTAAATTCACGCCTCCATACACGGTCGCTTGATCGTACATTCCGTAGACTGCTGGCACGTATGTACAGTAATTGGGCGATGGCCGGCTCCAGGAGACAGCCTGGGTCCGGTCAGACATCCCAGCGGCTATTTTGTCAAGTCCCATTGCTCTTGGTCCAGCCAAAATCTTGTCCACTGCATTAAGCCGGCTTGCGCATATCGAACTGGCCAACTGGTTCAAGAGTCGAGCTTCCGCCAGACGACACGACGAATCACTAGCACTGCTGTCTATCCATGCCGTCACGTTTCTTGTGAATTCCGGCGAGGATGGACAGAAAAATGCAGCCGCCATCTGTGTCACAATACTCACGAGCATTTGTTCATCAATTTCCTGGAGTTTTTCTTGTATTTCGGTCTGCACCTGGCGCCGCTGTGCTGCTCCCACTTCGCTGTCCGTAACCCCGTTGGCCCGTAGAGTATCGTTGTAGACTTTCTGAATTTCGGACGCTGTGTTACGTGGATACTTTTCCAGGATATCGCGCCGTATACGTTGTACATCAGGTCGGAGCTCATCGGGATTGGGTCGCAGATTGGCCCTCTGTTGCCGCTTCTGTGTTACCATAGACTTCATGATCACATTTATCGCCGCCAGCTTCAGCATTTCCCTCAACCGTGCAAACACCGGGAAATGATCCGCTATCTCGTCGTACCATTCCGTGAAATCTTGGGCATAGAGAAACTCTGCTGATTTCTCTTTTTTGGGTACAGATCGAGTTGCTTCTTCATCGCTGTCTTGCAGATCATCTTCCGTATCGCTTTCTTGGTCGTTTTCATCGTCCACGGCGTTTCCGTTCTTGTCATACCGAAGCAGGCGCTTCTTCACACGCATCCATGTCTCATGAAATCTGTCAAACATGAAATAAAACAACGGTCTTTCGGCAAAGCCACTCTATTCTACGCTGTAAACATTTTTTCGCAATAAATATTTAGGTTTATTTATGCCACTTCGGTGTGACAAATACCATTGCCTCTCTGAACTAAATAGATACTGTGACCTTTGCCTATTAAAATGTGTTGTATAATTTTGATGCCATGGTCTGTTTGTACGTACATGATATTCTAACCTGTAGGTTACAGTCTCTCCTTCTTCGTCCTCCTCTGCCGAATATTCGATCTTTTCCGCTTCGATCCAAAACCTATGCACACGACCACTGCCAGCGCTGCGGCGTCTGTCCGACAGTGGCCGCAGTATGCGCTGCAGGTGCGTAGGCAGGTTTTGGAGTAGTCCTTCATATGTTGTACGAAAACTGAACGGCGCCTCCGCCGACACCTCAAATCCTGTAGTAAACATCTTTAACAAATAGTCGGCATGGAACATCGTGGCCAGAAAGTTACTTCCCTCTAGCCGCGCGGGATAGAATTTCATTTCCTGGTACGCATGATATGGCATTTCTACGTCCGGGGCCTCCAGGCTAAACATTGTCGCGTCTATGCCCAAATTAAATACTTCACTAAAGTCCTTCCAGCCTAAGACCCCTCCGTAATATCCGTCTTCGTCATACGGACACAGATTGATGATGGGCGAGAATGTGCCATCCTTGAAGTTGACAACTACGCCATCGACGGACACTATCTGATCGCCGGGGATATCGAGCCATCGGCGGTTGCTGTCCAAAAACCCGTTATCGTCACGCAGCAGGTAATCCCACTGCAGCGTATCTTCAACCTGCGCCACATTCCACTTGTTTTCCTCGACGGCATTCAGAAGACAGTCCGTCCGTCTCTGCTCGAATTTGCCACCTGTACCTTCGCCTTTAAACGACAACTCCAACAGATGATATCTCCATAAATTGCACAAAGTGTGCTGCGGATTGTGTAGGAGTTGCTGTTCCAGATAATTTTCCAGAAACTGCTTATGGACCAGGTTCAAGTATAGCATGTCAGAACCGCAGAGCAGGCTGCTCTGCGCGAAGGGTGCGATCTTACATGACTGCAGGATTTTCCGTGTGCAGATTTCCGCTATCGCAATATGATGGTCGCTGACAAGATTAACTGACGTGCCGCTACGCACATGGCGCGGACATTGCGTCGTTAATTCGGCAGCTAAAATTAATAGTCCAACGGCCTTTTCCAGAAAGTGTTCGCTTGTTATGGGATGCGCTCGCAGGTCCGTGATGCCGACAACCGTCCCGAGAATTTCCGGTAGGATTCTCCAAATCGCGTAGCACGTGGCGAACGTTCGGTTTGCTGGAAGACTGAAGGACCGCTTCATTTCTTTAACCAAGTATGTGGCAGCCGTTAAGAAACAATTCACCAAGACCACCCAATCGACCGTTGCCATACCGAGATCCAGGTACAGCATGGCCTTCTCGAAATCCGACACCGACTGGGCGGCCACGTATTTTTCGGATCGCGTGATAGCGCGCAAAGCTCGACCGGCTTCTAGATAACCGTCGTACATATGCGTACTGGGCACATTTAAAATGCTCGAACTGTCGGCCAGAACCGTGCGACTGCAGAGAAGATTATGTAACCTTTCCACACAACGCTCGCGAAATTTGTTTTCGCGAAGAATCAGGAAGACGGCGATGTAGACGGTCTCGGCTGGAAAGAGTGCGACCGCCTCATTACACAGTGCGGTTGCTTCGAAAAGATTGTTGAGTAGTCTTGCACGAGCAGCTCGAAGTACCAGTAAACTGGCACGAAAAGGCGTCGGTAGTTGTTCAACATCTTTTCCAACCGTTAGTTCATTACAGACAAACAGCGCTTCGGTAATGCACCGCTGTTGCATAATATACGCCGCCATCGCTGTGATGTCTCGTGCGTACAAATGCTGTTTAATTTTTGTGACATAACCTGGTTGGGGTTCTTGAATTTCTCCGTAGACCGCTTCGTTGTCATCCAGTACGTTGTCTTCTTTCCAGTTACTGGTGCTGTCGGCATCGTTATCCGTGTTAGTGACCAGTGTTATCACTGCACGCACCGCGCTCTGCAGCTCGGGGAGATTATTGACGAGTGTAATCTTCTCCGACAACTGCTGTCCTTTAGCGAACAATTTCCGGTACCGTTCCGACAACCGACTGCCGCCATCCAGGAACATTACATCCACATCCGTGGCGGCTCCCTCGTACTGTTCATCATACTTGGCTCGTCGCTCCGGATCCAGTAGGACATGCTTGGCATTGGTCAGCTGCTTCATTAATTCCTCACGTTGCCGCATGATATCTTCGCTGTCGGGATTGCGGTTTTTGTCCGGATGTACCAGCAACGCTTGACGACGGAAGGCTCGTTCAATCTCGACGGTAGCGGCATCCGAAGATACGCCCAGTAGCTGATACAGATCTGTGAATGACGGGTTGGCCATATTTGTTAAATAATCGTAAATGTCATTAGCGATAGGTTTTCTATAATGGCATTATAACAAAAACTAGACCGTATAGGCGGTAACCCGACTAGAGTAGGCAACTATGTAAAAGGTACTAGCTCAAACTGCACCCAGTTGCGGACATGTTTATGCAGTTGTTACCATCAAACAATCAAATTTATGCGTCTAAGCATGTTTGCTGATTATTATGAGATAATCTAGCTGGTAGCTTATTGGCTGGTTATCGCAGTACTTTGCATCGGATGTTTAGATATGCATTTCTGAACAACGACAGCAAAGATTACATGTCACTAAACCCGTGTCTCGAAGGATCGGCAAAGATACCACGAAATTATGCTTAAATTCCGTTGCTCAGAGGGCACTTTGTCTCTTATCACTTATCTATATTATAATAATAAAATGTCTGCAAGTTTGCCATCGGTTTACTCATCTTGGCTCAGTGTTGATAATAAGCGGCTGAATCTTCAGGTTGCAAGTGCAGCGTGATACCTACGCGCAAAGTTGCAGAGTGCATAGTAATTTTGATAAGGAAGTGCATAAACTGACCGCCACTTACAGCCACTCGTCATTACTCTAATTTTAAATATTTATTCTCGCAGATAAGGAGCTATTATCGATTTACTTGGAGCCTCGACGAGAGGCAAAGAAATGTCTGTGAAAGCTTTACGCCTAATCTATCGATGACCGTTTTTTATGACGGGAAATCGAAAAATAATGCGGTTTAAGTGTGTTAATAGCACGCTTTCGCTATAGCCTGCGCTTGACGTCTGCAGCTACGCTGCCGACGCCTATAATTCGCAAAATCTTATGAAACTGTTAACTGCATTTTAAAAATTAAAAATCTTGTCATCTGATGGTATGGGCCTTCTTCCTGTGCCACATCCTTTTCATGTCCATAATCTGTACGAGTACGACATATATGCGCGTTACAACGGAATGTTGCGGCAAAGTCTACTGCTAGCTAGCATTTTGACGACGTAAACACACCACCGCACTAAATTTATTTCTATGTATTTATCACTCGCGTTTTTTGGGCTTATATACCGTGGAAATACGCGGATGTGACCTTTTTGCTGACACGGGCGAATACGCATGCCGTCGGCTCTATTTCTCTCTGTGCAGGGGTAAATGACGCACTCTATCATCATTTCGATATGATCGTAATGGTAATTAAACTACATAAAAGATCACAAAGATATCACTCGTTCCTGATTGCTGGGAATTTAACTAAATTTGGAAATGTCGTCTGTTGGATTGCGTGACTATTCTGCGGGGCTGCGATTTGTTTTCGAGGTAAACTACAGTGCTATCCATCGATGTTCTAGTCATTCCCGTGAAGTTCACAAAAAATTCCGCGTCATCCACAGGACCACAGCAGCTTTTGTACACACAGACGATGCAAACGTAAAATAGGAAATTAGGGATCACGAAGAAAAAGAAGGTATTCTGGGATTCCAGTACTTAACCTGGTAATATTTTGCACCGTCATGTCGGGTTTTGGATAAAGCGTGGATATAGAGAGCGAGAGGGTATCTACCTTCTATTTATTTATTAATTCTGTTCCACGTAAATCAGTACAAAAAATTTGAATGACGATTAACATTATTTAAGACATTCAGAAAAATCCAGGCACTTAAGCATGTATTGCTGTAGGTAAGATGGAGCAATATTATTTAAGAAGGAGTAAATTGTATGTTGATCGCGTGAGCTATTCACGCCAACCGCCTCACGGGAGTATGTAGTACTCTAAACACCCTTATAGGTCATGGACTATATGCTCCGCTAATCCACTACACTAATGAAATCCCCCTTCCCGGGGGAATGAATAATCGGTATGATGACGTAGAAATTAAATAAATGCGCATTTGTTTGGTTTACAAACAGCCCAACGCAGCGGCATGTGGTTCGTCTGCCTGAGTCAAGGTTGCATAAATTCGTTACTACTTAATCAGGCCGATGAAGCGCACCTTGATGCGTGTAAACAGAGGCTTCCTCAAGTCGCGATTGATTAAAACCTATAAACATTCTTCTATTCTGAGACACGGCTTACTTTACCGATTCATTCTGCAATCCGTGTGCAACATGTTAGTCAACACAACTTCGAATTTTTCCGCTGTACCGGCGAAACGCATACCGGCAAATTTGTCCAACCTATTTCTAACGGAATCGCAGTTCAACGTATTCTACGGCGTCAACCTGTTCTGCTGTATCACCGCGTGTTCCCTGTACATTCTCCTTGTCGCTGTACTCATCCGGCAGAGCGGCCATTTTACCGGCTCGCGGTTGCTCATTCTACACCAGCTGATCATCGAGATCCTGATGGTGGCCATCCACTGGCCCATCTGGATCGCCACCGTCGCGGAAGGCCAGCAGCAACGCGGCGTGGTCCGTTCCTTATCCTTCTGCCAACACTATTTCTTCTTCTACATCATCAACCTCACCGCGGTTCACTACGGACTACTCGGTATGGCGCTGAACCGTTTCGTGGCTATCGTGTTTCCCCATCACTACAGAACCTTATCCTCAAAACACATGGTGTTAATTCTCATCGTGTTCTCCTGGGCGATGGGCTTCTTCTGTGACTTCTACGTGTATCTGGGCGCGGAGGGTGGATTCTTCCCGCACCCGCCCTACGGTGTCTGCAACTTCAACCACCCCGGGGGCATGTACGCGCTGGTGACGGTGTTTCGCACGTATTTGCCGTTGTCGTTAACCGGGCTGCTGTATTTGACCCTGTTTACCAAGATCACCGTGGTATGGTACCGGCAGAAGAAAGTAATTGCCGAGCGTAATCAGGCGGATGACCCGAAAATGCGGGCTTTTAAGCGGCGCGCACTGCTGGCACGGGTGTTGTTTGTCATGACCGTCATTCACTGCGTGTCGTTCAATGCGGTGCCGTTTGTTATGACGGTGATGCCGTGGTTGTTTGCCAGTCAGCTCAGTCGGCAGTGGGTGAGGTTCATTTTCTTCTCGGGATTTTTATCTCCGCCGGTAAGCCATTCACTAATTAATCTCACGAAAGGTCTATTGCTTGCCGACTGACACTGCAGAATACTGGCTGTATACAAATTAATTTTGCAGTTGGTATTCTTCGCGATGAATCAGGATTGTCGTCGCGGAGTTAGGAAGCTGCTGCGTATTGGAAATAGTAGAGTAGGGAAGGAGGCGTTCAGCAGTGGGAACGGGAAATCAGGGAAGACCGATTTAACGAATGCGTCGATCAAACCGACTATCAACGATACACGAGTCTAACTATACAAGAAATGCGCATCGATTTACGTGCTCGCATTAATTTTATTATTTTAGCGCGCACTTCCTCATGGCAATGTAAATATACGACTATACCCAGTTGTCGCGCTCAGTCAGGATTTTACCTTAATCAATTAAATCAAACCGTTTAGGTGATAAACAACGAGTCGATGAATTAATAACGGCTTACAATGTTTTCAGTTTTCACGTATGTAAGTCCCAGTTGGGTTGGTTCACGCATTTTTATTAAAATTAAATTTTATTTTCCCACATATGAAAACATGCATGTACGACGTACCGATATAAAGTTTGATTTACGCTACAGCAACGCCCAAATCAAAAGTGATTAAACAGTGTCATGAGATAAATCATAAGAGCTTTGAAATCTGAAGAAGCAGTACGTGACAGTAGAGCGGATATGTCAACAGGTGTCGCATGGGGTGTAAAGTGGGGGCGAGCTTGTTAGAAAGCATATTCAAGTGTCTCGCATTAAATACTGCTGCTGCGCCAGCGTATTACGTACGCAAATCTTCCTTCTAACTTTTCATAAAACGGCGTGTAACTTTGACGGGTATGCGTGCTGAAAGTTTTCCCTACCGGAGCTTTTATGAGATTTAGGTGCAAAGGTCACACTATTGCGCGCACATAGCCTTCCGGATTCAAAGTCTGCACTCGCAAAAAAACATAATCAGTGATTTTGAGTAGCATTTCTTTACTGCGCCAAAATGTCCAGCGTAATCGATACCGTGGAAAATGAGCGGAGGAAGAATATATGCTATTCACGTGCACTGCGTACGCTGGGAGCTGCAGAAATTTTATGTGGATGTTATCTAATCACCTTGGATATAATAGGTACGCAAATCAGGATTACACTAAGCGGTAGCGGGGGTTACAGTAATACTGAAACACTGTTAGATTTTCCAGACTCTTTGTTGCGTGTGGATAATACATAATAAAGTGTTCAGATTATAAACTTAACACGCCGGTCCTAACGCCGGTCCTAAATAGTAGTATGTACGTGTACACAAATGGTCAGTAAAATCCCTTAATTAACAACTTATCGGCTTATTACAAAATAATCAGGATGGCTTGGAATTCATCACAGTAACATTAACATTTGTTGTCTATACCAAAGTAATAACTGATGTTGCTCCAAAAAAAATTTAATACTACGTTATCATTAACATATTTTTTTCTTTCGATGCAGCTTTCAGTACCTTCCGTTCAGCCGCATTATACATCGACTTCCGAGCATCAGGATTATGGGCCGGTCTCCTCTATCTCGTATCCGGCGCATTAGCTGTCCACTCTGGCCGTCCAATCAAACCAAACCGTCCCGTCGCAGCATACCGATGCCCATTAACCGCCACAGTCGCCATCAGCGCGTTGTGTACCTTCTCGGCTATGTGCTTATCCGTGCCTTTTGCCTACTCCATTTCCAACACGTACGTCTACTGCATCGTGGAAAAGGCGCACTGTACGATCTTCACATTGCGGTGCGCGTATCTTGGCGGCTATCTCATCGCGTTCATCCTATCGGTGTCGCTAACCACCACGGCGGCGTTGAGCCTGCACCGACTGATGTGTGGCGCAAAGGTCACGGAGAGAGTGGAGGCGGTGTGCGGTCCGTGTACGGCAGCAGCTGCCGTCGAGCGACGGGATACGCATCCACCGTATGCACCGTATACGTCGGTGTATCCACCGTCGTATTTCGGACGGAGCGATGCGAATCACGGGATGGCGTTGAGTGTGTATCCGGTGACGCAGTTGACCGGGCGGGAAATTATCACGGCTGTACAAGCGGGAAGCGAAAAGTCATAAATTATGTACTGAAATTGCTGCTGCTGGACAACTAAAGGACGACCGTGGTCATTAATCGGGCGACCAGTCAATTAATTATGTTATTGTATACTTCTACCTTAAGTCGAGAGCGATTCCGTTAGTTTATGAGTTTGAATGAACGGGAAGAACATTTGATTGTACGTCGGTAACACTTAAGACCGACTACTCAATTAAAAGCTGATGTTTTTTTAAATAATAATTTTATATAGCGTGAGTATGCACAGCTGTAGGATTGTCTGATATTGGTATTTTTGCACAGCTGTAGGGTTGTCTGATACAATTATTTTATGATTTGATTACAATATAATAACTACTAATGCGCATAAATGTATGCGGCACTGTGCGATTGCTATACACGCACGTAGCTTGCGCCATGTAAAATGCTCCGTAATCCGTATTACCGTAAATATTTATTTTGATAACAAAGCTGGTTAGACAAGGAAAAAACGGAATTCTACCGTATGGTGTGTGTCAACGCCTTTTTTGCCTGCTTAACAATAAGGTTCCTCCATGAATGTTCACCAGGTGCTAAATCAGCATATCAAAAAATTTTTTCCTCTTCTGCGCTTAACAGTCTCGCTGTTCCTTAACTTACTTACAATAAGACAAAAAAAGCGAAAAGAAAACGCGGGATGGTTTTATTCAAAAAGGCTAATGTTGGCGTCATATCGAGCTGCAGATCAATAAAGGTACCTCACATTTCATACAGTAAATAGTTGCTTCGGTATTTCACATCGTTTCTTTAACCCTAGCTTGTGGGAAGATCCGGGCGCAAGCCTCGTAATCGTAGCCATAGCCCTCACAAAACGTTCATGAGGCTATTACAAAATAAAATGGCTATTTTATTTTTGCCGCAGTATAACAATAGGGGTCTGATGTGAATTTCCTTCTGAATGTTTTGCCTCGCACTACGCTAGGCGAAATAGCTTGTTGGCTATTTAGCCGCAAACACTGCGGCACAATAGTTACTTCGATCATTTTATCATTTGATTTTTCATTCCTGCCCAAACCCTTGATAATGGATCGTGTTGTAGTGTCTGTTTGTGTTGTTCTGGCTTGCTGCATCCCTGTCAGCCGCACTTGCCCTGTTCAGCCAGGAGTCAGTGTCGAGAGAAGTAAGCTACTGTATACAAAACTTTGCAGATTTGGTGGGATAAATCTGGCAGTCTTCTGTGTCGCCAGGTCGTTGCAAGTTGAGGTTGGGTAACACTTGTGGTGTGGGCGCTGCATGGGCCCTCGCTCGTGCCACACAATCGACGTAATAGGTTAGTAACGCAAACTTCTCTGACTGGGCACTACAACCGCTTATCGAATAACTTTAGAAAGTACTCGTGCTTGCCGCGGACAGAGACAGGACGCACTTACGATATGATTGTGTGCAGTTCTGCCTAATGTTAATTGATTTAACTACGTGGTAGGTATTGTTGTTATCCATAAGTGGGAGGTTTGTTTAGTCGCTAACTAGTCGGTTCACACTGTAATCACAAGCTCAGGGTGGGTAAAATCGAAATCATTCCGGTAAGCAGTAACTGCGAATAATGGTCGGGATTAACTGGGGATCCTCGGCTAGCGGATATTTCTCTCACCCAAGACCCATCAAGGACCCAAAGTGTTATCAATAGGCGAGAATGTTACCATTGGTTCCTTACCAGAGATGGGTGGTCACTCATGAAACGCCTTATACTGTAAATGCGTTTTCATTTTATATGAGTAACAACGTTTGTTTGTTGCAGTCAGCCAGATCTTGGACGAGGCTAAACGGCGCAACGGCAGCGGCACCATGTTTCTGGAAGGGTTTGGCCGCGGCCCATCCACCAAGAGGTTCCTGGTTGCGGAATGGCCGCCGAACACTGCGATCATGCGAGCGCCAGAAAGTGGCACACTTCTCATTCTTTGCAACACCAGCCACAACACGAACAACATGCAGGTATGCCTTGCCGTGCTAAGGAACGGGTCCGCTAAGAACGACAGCATATTTTCAAAATAATTTGATTTGCTCGCTGAAAAAATGTTAGTTTCTTGAGTTCCCTAACGCAGTGCTACGCTTAACAGGTGTCTCACATTGAAATTCCGCCGGCATTTACATACAACGGTATTCAGGTCGCTGTTCCTACGCTGGGTATATTCCGAGAGCCACACGATGATGTGAACTACTGTTGCAACTGCAGCAGGAAATTCAGTCCCGGGGAGATCGTACCGCGCCGGTGGCTGGTGCCCGAGTACAACCTGGCGTCCGGTGCGTTTTCCATCGCGTTAGAGAATTTTTCCTACGTCTATACCGGTTTGTACGAGTGCCTGCGTTCCAACGGGAGCCAGCTGGTAGTGACACAGCGGTATTGGGTCAGCGCCACCCTCTTCCGCCACAACGTCTTCCATCCGCCCATGAAAAACCTCAGCGTCCGCTACGGCGACCCAGCGGAGATGGTCTGCGCGGTACGCTTTAATTTCCTTCCCGGATACCTCAAAACGCGCTTCCTGTGGCGCCGGGAAAGCTACTTGCTGATGGCCAAATCCATCCAACAGGTGGCCGATAAGACCCGAGCGTGGTGGGACTTTAAGGGAATCTTCCATTTCGGCGTGGTGGATCAGTGTCGGTGCAACTCGACAATGCGAATCGACAGTGTCACCTGGAAAGACGCCGGTCCCTATGAATGTTGGTTCCGCATCAACGATCGTTTGGACGAGTGGATCCTTCAGGAAGCCTATCTGCACGTTATCTAAGTGCAGAGCCATTATGCAGCTGTCGTTTCGGCAACTGGCCACTATGCGGCTATCGTTTCGGCAACTGCGTGTACTCAGGTCTCGTATGCTCTGGATCTGGAGCATTTGGGATGTTACCTATAGAATAGTCAGTATGTTTTGCTAAATCAGTATTTTTCTTCGGAATGAACGGATTTTTTTCTGAAATGTGATTGGATGTGACTCGGTGGATGCTTGTACGATTTATCCCTTCGGCGTTTTCTTTTGCAGTTTTGGTTGTTTGCACTTTTCAAGGTTGTATTACTATGTTGTTCGACTTCTGTAGTCTGTAGCCCAGGAGGGGGAAAATGCTCCTTGCAAAGGACAATAAACTTCCATTATTTTAGCCTTAACTTTACCTTAGCGCATGCATACAATAAATTTAACTAAACCGATCGATCATCAGCGAACTGTTTGTTCCCGAAAAAGACAAAGAGTTGATTACATTTTCTTTTGAGGTTTGTATGCATGAGTGTTACCTCAATGAAATCTGGGATCGGGCTTTGCAAAAGTTGACTTGTTCTTGAAATTCATGCAGCTACTCAAAATCGAGGCAGCAGTCCATGCATGTCCATCGTAATTATGTGTGCACATTACATCTTCCTTGCATTGTGTACTTAAACGTTCAAGCAAGCCAAAAGATTATCTGTAGGTACTTAATTGTAATCGTCATAGGCTCATAACTCCAAATCGACTACGAGGACAGGCTTGGTATTCGTGATCACCTAAAAAACTAGCGAGAATTCATGATTACCGTGCCCGGGTTGTGAAGCACAGCCAGTAACCAGCCAGCCACTAAGGAGGGCAGTCCAGTGACGCTTTACTCAGCCGTTGAAACTCGAGTCTCGAGCTGCTTTCTCCGTATGACTCCCGTGTTAAACTCAAACGCCTGAGCCTTGCACATTTCAGAACTAAACTGCTCAATCTATATCTCAAAAGAACAAGAGGTGTCACTGGACTACCTTCCCTTGGTGGCTGGCTGGTAACTGGCTGTGCTGCACAACCCGGGCACGGTAATCATGAATTCTCGCTAGTTTTTTAGGTGATCACGAATACTAAGCCTATCCTCGTACTTGCACAATATGCCAAATGTGATGAGAGTGAGCAACCTGTACCCACAGGTAAGGCCCTCAGCTGCAGTTGCGCACCCCCAACCATGCCGGTACACTTTCGACTCAAAAAGCCGCAACACGGAAGTCGCCACCAATCCAGAACCGCATCGTCGCGAATTCAAGTTTAATTTAACTGGTGAAACTAGCCGCGTAAGGTGCTAATTTTGATCTGCAATTTTGCCGACAATGAGAGCGTCTGATTTCCAAATTAAGAATGCTGGCTGAAGTTAGAGCAAATTTTATCCAAGCGCTGAAAGGTTTTTGCCGTATTAAGCTGCCGGTTTCCTAAACTGCCAATTTTGTAGACTGTATCCGGACGATGGCTCTCCTGCAGACTGGGGCGGCGTGCCAACCACTCCCACAACCAAGAATTTTCCACGTTGCAATGCATATCCTGGTAGGCTTCGTATTTTATACCCTTGTACACCCGTACGAAGACATCCTGCATACTTCTGAATGGAAAATAGTCCAATCCTAGAAAAATCAAGCTGGGCAGATCGGTGAACGTTCCGGTTACAATAGTACCGACCAGTCCTGGAATGAATGCAATCGCGCGGATGTTCTGCAGACCACTGAAGTGATTTTTCTTGATATTCAGTATGCCGTTATCGTTGAAGGTTATATCTAGCAGGTTGGTCAAGTTCAGTAGCGGAAGTCGGGCTGTCAGATTGCTGTCTGGAGTTTGTGTTTGGTTGTCCAGTGTCAAAGATACAATCTGCAAACTGATGGGTTCGAGAAGGTCGGGAGCAAATAAGTCGATATGCCAAAGATAGACGAGCACTGCTCGGTCTTTACTTCTTTTTCGAATGGCCGAGACCTGGGCTTTTAGTTCCTGTTTACGAAAGACTCGTTGGTCAATTGATAACAACATCTGCATAAAAATGGAAGAACACCCACAATGCTAATGCGCACTACAAAATTTAAAATGCAATGTGCAATGCTTTGGAGTTATAGATTACATACGAGTGCTCTATAATACTGTACTTCTACAGTAGTGAAAGAACCAAAAAAGCAACGTGTTAACAATTCAGAACTGTCAAACGTTGCAGAAAACACCACAAAAAAGTTATTCACATACCTGTTTGGTTGGCAGCTTCTTGTCCAGCGAACCCTTACATTCCAGACTGACATAGGTCAAGTTATCCGGTGCCCTGTAATATGTCTGTACTTCATCCACTTCCCGTAGCCGAATTCGATGATGTGAAGAAGGTGGTGGTTTGATGAACCTACAATCCGAGGTTGCCAGGGAAAGCGGACCGCAGTGGTTTTGAGGCCGAGCATTGCACTCCGTCAGGGTCATGGGGCTTGTGTTGAACTGGAACAGTGCACTGTGGACATTCCCTAATGCAATCAAAGTGTTTTTAAAGCTAAATCCACCTGCATTCCATGCAATAATTTTGCGTCTACGATACCGAAGTCAAGATTGCCGCGCTTTGTTGAAATTTTGACATACTCGCACAATCTTATTATAAGCTACAGATATAACCTTCATTTGCTTAATCGATTCGGATAAATCGTTATCTTCTAATGCTTCATTACGAGTATATCATATTTCATTAACAATAAAACTTGCAATATAGCGTACTCCAGGTCATACGATATGCATGGAAAACTTCATGCAGCATTAAAGAATAATAGTCACGTTGAAGTTGTTGCAGTAGCTTTTTAATGTTTTTATCCTGTCTGTGCTCTATCTACGATAAACAGAGGACAGACAGGAGTAAGTGCATTAAAAGCTACGAGCAACCAGCAACTGCCACCAGAAGCGCGTTTGCGCAACGTGACTAATATGGCATCATATGGCGTAATTACTTAACTTCCTAGTAAGATGTGTATCATTAGATAATCGTAACAGATTGTTCTGATATCTGAATACTGCGTACGATCTACACTGCAATTCACCATCAATTTACCTGCAGTGTAAAGTATTCCCACAATAAGACACGCAACATTTCGAGACATGATACACGTGAATTTGAAGACTTGAAAATAACGATGCGATGGCGAAACCTTTCTAAATTCGATACAACAAGCACGAGGATTTCAAAAGCACTGTTTTATATCCGGCAAGTGTAATTTTGCGTTAAGTGAATCATCTTAGATAGCCGCCAAGCTTTCTAAATTTTAACACCAGCGCCAGGATTTAATGGTTGTATCTGCCGATTTTTTGCTCCGGGCCAGAAAATCATCGGCACCGGGAAGTAACGTACCAAGAATCGGCTGTATTACATACTATTGACTAACTGTAAACTTTTTTAGGCAGTGCGGGGACGATGTTATCAGATTATGTACAGTAAAACAGAGCATACGGGTTATTTTTGTATGCAAGAGTAAAAAATGATTTTAAAGTTCGTTCGAAGAGACTGCATATAATTAAGAAACTGTAGCAAAACAAATTGTATAAAGAAAACCAACAAACATCAAAATTATATTGGGATACTACAGATATTAATTTTATTTTGTGTGTAAAGCAAGCAAGCATCAAAGCAGGGCATAACAATCGTACGAATAAGAATAAATCATTTACGACTACTTCGTAAACATATTGTAGAAAATGACGCACCCATATCATTGGAACATAAATTAGTAATCCATTGTACCCAAATGAAATAACTGTCTCATGGTCAGGTTATGAGTGTCAGAAAATGCGTTGCAGCATTGCAGCACGTTGCAGCATCCATACTTACTTGTTGTGCATCAAGTTAGCGACGAAATAAATTTTTTGGATCGGTTTGTTGTATTCGGCCACTTATTTCCGCTGTCCGCTGAGGCCGTGTAAAGACAGCTTTTCACTTTCACAGAAAGCTTGTGACTGTTAAAATGAGCACATGCAAAAACGTTTTTGTCAACACATATTTGTTTTTCTGTGCTTCTGGTAAACAATTAAAAAAAACGTACCATACTTACAGCAGTATCATTGTACATTCTAGAAAATTCTACTCTAGTAGATTCTCGTTGCAGAAACAAACTTAATTCATAACTAGTGATGCACTGTAAGCGAAGCGACGAACTGTAAATAACGGAGGTACGAAACCGTGTTTTTGAAACCGTCGTGCCGGTTAACGTTGTCACGTTTTCTGTGCTTTGAACACCAATGCCGTAATTCAAATGTTTTAAATCGTCCCAAATCTATTTCTTTTCGGGCAGGAAACCATCGGCAGCGGAATCGTGAAGTGTTGTTTTGATACTATGACAGTGCGCGGGACATGGTTATGGATCGTGTACAAACACCAAAAACGTATTCGTTCTACTGTACACGCAACACAACAAAACACCAAATGGCCTTCACGTATGTCGAAAGGGATTAACCATTCTGAACCTGTATAGAAACGAACAACATGACGAATACAGACGAATATAAGCAGATCGACATGAAAGTACAGTACTGTATAATTTTAAACTGGTTGTGCGTAAAAATAAAGGAAAAATTAAGCCATACTAGGACCCATTTACAGTAGGTAACGAAGCCGTCATAGTATCGGCACTGGCGGCACATGTCAGTAATTTGTTTAAAACTGATTGCTCTACTAATGGTAAGTACTCTTTTGAGCATCCACAGGGGGCACAGTATTATCAATACCAACAAGGGGCATTTCACGTAACGTTGGCGCGACGTCGACAGCTGCATCCAGTTGCCGGCTTATTCCAAGTTTTGGTTCTTTGCTCACACGTGTGAAAGATTGTTCGACCCGCAACGCAAATCAGGTTGACCATAGCTCACTCACGCAGTTACAAGGTCAGCTACTGACATTTCAGGATAAGAAAATGGGAGCAACGAGAAACATGTTTGATAAAATTTCAGTTTCCTTTTTCTGTTCGAAAAAAGTCAGAATTTGGCCAAATATGGAAGACTAAAATTCCCGCAAACAAAAGTTTACCCTATACTGTATAATACTAATCGATCGATTCTCAAAAAGCATAATTGACTGCGGTATGCTCAACATAACAATTGGGGAGCAAAGTGATACTTTCAGCTGACAAAAAGCGACGCGGTCGATTACAAAATTTTATCTATTAATTGTAAATCTCAGTTTATAATCATTGGACATTTGGTGACGCCTACTTACAGGCGCAACACTGGCACATGCACTGCAATGGCACTTCATCACGAGATTGCGTATTTATTCACTGGAATACCTGAACTTTCTGCCTGAACTGGTAGGATGCAGATGTTTGCATCCTTTTGACCGAAAGTCATTCTGAAAGCCGATATAACAACTTCCACATTTCCAAGCTAAGAATGCCGACTGAAGTTAGAGCAAATGTTAGCAATGTCGCGAAACGTTTTTGTTGTTTTAAGAACCTGGTTTTTTAAGCTGCCGATTTTGTAGACCGTACCCAAATCATATTGTTCCTGCAAACTGGGACGGCCTGCCAGCCACTGCCACAACCAAGCGTTATTCACATCGCAATGCAGATCCGGGGAGATTTCGTATCCTTCATCAATTGCACTGGGGTTGGATTCCAATCCCAGGAATATTAAACTGGGCAGGTCAGTGAAGGTTCCGTCTTCGACAAAACCGGCGAGCCGAGGATTAAACGCAATCGCGCGGATGTTATGGAGACCACTGAAATGGCTTTTCTTGATATTGAGTATGCCGTTGTCATAAAAGGTTACATCCAGCAGGTTAGTCAAGTTCAGTAGCAGAATTCGGGCAGTCAAATTGGAGTCTGAGAGTCTTGTGTAGTTTTTTACTATCGGAGATACAGTCTGCCAACCAATGGGTTCAAGAAGGTCTGGAGCAAATAAGTCGATGTGCCAAAGATTGACCAGCACCGCTCGGTCTTTACTTCTTTTCCGAATAGCCGAGACCTGGGCTTTGAGCTCCTGTTTATAAAAGAACCGTTGGCCAGCTGATGTAGCATCACACGATTACTTAAGGAAAATGGCCCGGTACCTAGCGTCAAAAATGGGATACATACTGTACACTAAACCTTTCGCTAACGCGCACTGCGGACAAGTTGGTCACATACCTGTTTTGTAGGCAGCTTCATGTCATCGGAAGGCCTACAGTCCAGATTGACATGGGTCAAAATGTCCGGAACCCTATGGTATGTCTGTAACTTTTCCACTTGTCGTAGTCTGATGCGATGATGTGAGGAAGATTGTTTTTGGAGAAACCTACAATCTGAGCTTGCCAGGGACAGCGGGCCACAATGGTTTATAGGCCGAGCGTTGCACTCTGCCAAGGTCATTGGGCTTGTGTTGAACTGGAACAGTGCACCGTCGACGTGCCCTAATGCAGTCAGAAGTGTAGTTAAAGCTACTGAAAAAGAAATCCATGCTCAGCAGTTATTTTGGCGGCTGTCGAATTCAACCCCCACAGTCACTGGCATGATTCACACTATTCGGTGAACGGTGAAAGGATCTTTACACGGTGCAGCAAACTTATTATAAAAATAGTGTCAGCTTGAGTTGAGATACACTTAAGTGTCAGCTTGAGTTGGCACTTCGTACTTACGATTAATACACTGACTCCACAGTACTTACATAGTGCTACACTCCAAGCGATAATTGTGCATTTACCAAGACAGGATTGTTGCGATTCGTTAAAATTTTGATGATACCTTTTCATTATGCGCAGTTCCCTTTTCTTTTAGCCAGGTAGTTCATAAGGTAAATAAAATTTCCTGATTCTACGTCACGAATATATAAAATTCATCAACAACGAAACGGTAATTTACGCAGTATTAAAAAAAATATCATCATGTTCCGCCCGTGAATTTTCTGTATGTAGGTACGATACTACTGCGTATCCTCAGATGGTTGATAAAGATTATTCTTATAACTATTACCAAAGTAAATCTGAATACTAAGCATGTACACATTGAACAGTACGGCCTACACTGCAGTTTGGCTTACCTGCACCGCAAAGAATTCCCACAATGAGACATGCAACTTGCCGAAACATAATTTACAAGACAGATATGATAACGTGCATATAACGACGCGATGACTTAATACTTACAAATTTGATACAACAAGCACGATGATTTTGAAAAGCACTTTTTCATGCAGCCGGTAACCGTAGTTTTACGTTCATTGAATCACCACAAATAGCCGCCAACCTTTTTAGTTCCACACTAGCGCCAGGATTTAATGGTTCAGTCTGTCGATGTTTCGCTGTCGATGTCGAGGCAGAGACCATCTGCACCAGGAAGTGCAGTACTAACCATAAATGTCGGAGCAAACTGCAGCGCATGGGTTTAACTGTTTAACTGTTTGTTTTAAGCACTTCTGCACTGCGGGACGCTGTTAAAAAGCAGTACTTCTGTACAGCAAAACATCGCATACGGGTTGCTTTCGTATGCAGCAGTTGAATAGAGTAAAAAAAATGACTTGTACGTACCAAATGTAGCAATAAACCATGGTAGTCGAGTTCACAATATTCTAGCAAATGAAAACCCCCAAAGCATTGGCACACCGTACAAACAAGAAATCTGTTTAAAGCGGCGTGCTAAACATAATATTATAACCATTTTGCACACGTACACACACATCGGTAAAATTTAATCTGATAGTTTAGCGCACAGGGCACGTAATGTTGCGACAGCTGCATCCAGTGGCCGGCTTATTCGCTGGAGTGCTGGTTCTGTGCTCAAATGTCTCCAGAAGCTCGTAGCACATCAGGGCAGATGAGACAACGAAAGTGAACGTCTGCAGCCGTAAAAAATGTCGAGTATAGCGATTACTAAAATACTGCTTTGTATCCGATAGGCGTGAACGATAAAACGCGATGAGAACTTACAGCGCCGAGCAGGTGTCGGGAAACGTAAAACAGTCCACCGGCATTCAATCCAACTGTTTGATCCTTTCTTGTTAAAATTAAGGACTTGAGCCTTTTTTGAAAGGTCTCGCTCTGCAAATTAAAGAAAGTACTCGCACCAAGACTCATGCCTAATTCTCCACTGAATAGTAATCATCACGCTGGAACCTACTTCGCTACCGTCTTGCAGCTGAACAGCACTATACAACTTCACCAAATCGCTAGTGAATCGATGACCCTAAAGCCAGAAACGCAGCATCAATATGATACTTCTCGTGAATGTTTCGACATGGATGGGAAATCAGTGCAGTGTCCTACTTCTTCATACAGACGGACAAGCGGCATCAAGAACACCGTGGAGTAGATGAGGAACAGCACTGTCCCACACGCCCCAAACGCATACTGATACGCAATCCGGTCTTCGTCACTAGGTACCATCAGCAGTGCCACAAACCCACATAATGTCACCACGTCCAGTCCGTAGAAGAAGAACACCATCCATCCGAAGCAACCATTCACCTTCTCGCAGAAATCATATGTCGCCGTGTGCACAGTCCGGAAGCGTCGAAGCCGTTCAAACAACGGCGCAAACTCCACCTTGTTGCCCAGTGCTTCCGCGTGTGCCACGTACCGCAGCGCGTCCCGGGCGGATTCCCGTACAGTACCCAGGCAGCTGTTCAGAATAACTCCGTACACAATCCCAATGATGAAAATCTGCTGGGACAGATAGAACACCAGGCCTTGGCTCAACGCCCAGAAGGCGATAGTCGGTCCCGAATGGATGCTGAACGGGAATGGATACCACTGCACCACGTGTTCCGGGGATAAATATCCGGGATTGCGTTCGAACCAGTCGAGCCAGCTCAGCGTTTCCCATAATAGACTCCCACATAAGGTCAATATTCCCAGTCCCAGGGCAACCCGCGTCCAGCGGCGGATGTGCCGGTTGCGGCGTAGATCATCCGGGAAGCACAGGGCAATGATCTCGTCCGCCGCGTTTCGTAGCTGTGGGTAGGAGCGCCGGGTGCGGATCAGCATGAATAATGGAATGGCGGCGCGAAGATTGACCAGGCTGTACGGGAGGTAGGAGATGGCCTGCACGATGGGGTTGTATTTGGTGGATTTGCCCAGGAAGCACGTCTTCACCAGCGTGGAGGTGTTCATCGTGAAAGACAGCAGACTTCCGGCGACCAGGAGGAGGGCGATAATGGAGAGGATGTAGTTGGGGTTAAGGATGGGGGCCAAGGCAGCTTCCGCACTGAGGTTGAAGGGTGCGAAACCGAAGAGCCGGAGCCAGTAGCGTTGGTAACGGAAGATGATGCCAGTCGGGGAAAGGGCACGAAGTTTGAAGGCATTCTTCAGGGAGGACTGTTTCCATGACATTGTAGCGGCAGCGGAAAACGGGCTCCTCGTTTATTGCGACGAAAGACGATTAAACAATATATGTAAAGAAAATGCGACGCTGAAAATGGTTCAAGGGAACGACCGGTTGAACTACACTGGAAAGTTTCGAAAGTGCTGATGATGATGATTTGTGCATGATGACTATTTCATCGAAAGTATTACAATTGTTGAGAGGTATGGCTATTTATTTTGTAATCTCACGAGAGCATACTCCCTAACGGTTCGTGTCCCGGTTGATGGCGATCTTGCTTGCTGCGTAGCAAGGGCGCAAGGCACTATGGCTACAGCAACGACAAGCATGAATGTACGTATTTGGATAAATTCGGTTCCTCCCCGCAATTCATCTTGCGTTTGCATAAGCGTATTGTCAACTTTGGTGGCTTGTCAAGGAATTGGGATAAATTTAACTAAATAAAATAGAAGTTTTCATTGTCAGTGGATAAATACTCGAAGCCAATTATGGAGACGTTCTAATGCAGTTTCCTGTTCTTTGTCCTCTGGACCAGTGGTTCGCTTTCCATATGCTTGCCAGGCTATTGACGATGTTAAACCGCCATCAGAGTGCCGTAAATTTACTTTAGGCAAGTATGCCTTAAGGACAATACGGGCCAAAACCGTGCTGTTTAATTTTTATGCAGCGTACTTGTAGTTATGACTTGCACTGCAGTCGTACAATACCGCCCCATGTCGCAATTATCAAAAATTTAAATTTAACATTTTCCCACAATTATTTATTTTTAAAAAATTGTGCCGTTAATAATAAGGCGGTAATACTGCGGCCAAAACGGCTGAAAATCGTAACAAAGGAATAACCGACGACAACCAACAGATTCTTATAAAAACCATAAGCCATCGGTCATTGCGCAGCGAAAATAGGTGGCATCGTGGCCCGGTTATCTTCTAGTCTTTACCACGACAAAATGCTGGAAAGCGTGCATCGCTCATTCTGCAGTTCACTTAACAAAGCGTGCACGGTGAACCGCGTCAATCTCCGTACGTCTAACTTCGCCAGATAGTCGTAGTTTATTTCACACCACATTGGAAACCCTTCGCGCCGATAATTAAGGTTGCTACGCGGATCCGAAACTTGTACCGTATCCACGACCTATCGGAAAACGAGGTTGAACACACACTGTTTAATATTCTGCGTTCGAGAAAGAAAGCACTTACCATCATAATTCTCGTGTATATATCCTTATCCCAGGTTTGGACAGCCTCGTCTATCCAGTCCGTAAGCATCTGGAAATCATCATCCGTCGGCGCGGGAAAGCTGTTGTCAATCATTTCCCACCAGTCATTCAGCGTCCGTCGTACACCGTCGCCAATTCGTCCGTTGGTAATCCGTACCCGGAATTGAAGGACCATATTGGAACTCAATAAACTGACCGTTAGATTACGGATCAGCAAGGTCCGGCACACTGACGCAAAGGCATCCAGCTCGGTATGCAAATAACCGATAAATTCACCAACAGCATTCGAGGAGATGCTTCGAAGAAATCGGTCGCGATTAATATTCCAGTGTTGATTGTGGAGAAACATCTTGTCAGCCGGTGGATTTTTATTTTCCTGCATCATAATCTGGAGAAACCTGGCGCTGGAGGTGGGCAAAACGACCTTAAACGGCACCCAGCGTGGATAATTCGTGATGGTAATTATCGGACTCCAACGGTGGCAGATACTGGCAGCATTTAAGTATTCTTCTTCAGCAACTTGATCCGCACGCGCATAACCGTAATCCAAATAAAAGTGGTAAATTACCAGTGGCAGGGAAAGAGCATAGTTCCAAACGAGGCAAACGGTGCGGATGCGGTTTTGCTGCACCGTGGGTAGGTAACTGAAGATCTCAGTTAAGATCACACTGAGCAGCGAACTTATCCCGGTTTCTAGTGAGTCCCTACTGCTGGACACGCAATACGGAACTGAATGGTTCTCTTCGTTGGTAATCTTTCCAGTTGTTATCGGCCGCCTACGAGAAGCAAGCCAAGATGCTGAGATTAGAATAACCTGAGGACTTGGTGAAACAGTTTTTGCTAGTTCTTGTTACGTACTGTATCTTAAAGAGGTCCGTACATACGCTGCTAAAATTGTACTGTGCGCTTCGACAAACTGAGGTTTCTCAGCGGTAAGCGCATTTCTTCAGGGTGTATCTGTACACATAATATCGTTCTACAATTTGCAACGGCAACGCTCAAACTTCCTTAATGTCAAAATTTAGAAGTTCTTTTGGCTTCACGCGATTGTATTTAGCCGCATAAAAAAAATCGCATGTTGCAGCTTACCGTTCAGGCGCAGCGTAAAAGTCGCCATCTTTTATGAGCTTGCGTGGATGAGGCAGCTGAATCCGACTGCCGCGAAGGATGGTTTTAACAACCCTGCCCTTGACACTAGCACTTATAAATCCGAAGAAGTGCATGTAAGAATCTCCCATCAAAAGAGTGGCAGGATACCACTTCCACAAGTCACACTGGCCGAAACGCATTAAAGCTTCCACGGCAAGCTCTTCATCATTTTCTGAAAATATTGAATTAAAATCCTGCGCATATCAGGCAGCAGAACATGCCAAATAACCGAAACCAAAGTGAATAATATTTAAAGTGTCGAGGGAAAATCGAATTTACTGAAAACCAAGCGTAACTGGCATTCGACTCGGTGATCGGGGAGCACAAAAATAGGTAATATACACTCTGCGGTATTGTAAGTTTGTATACATGCTCTGGTGTGTGACGCAGTGCCCCATGACGTTTTCCGAATTGATTGCGTCTTTTCGATCGGTAGATCTTATCTTTCTTGGAGATCTGACTTTTTTCGAAATTAACGTAGCGGATGTTGGAAAACGCAATATTAAAGAAATAAATAAAGCCGTGTCAATAGACGTGTTATCCTTGGATTGTGTCTTCGCGTATCTATTCTGTTTTGCCACATTGACATCGTACTCATTTCTTCTCTTCGTCATACGGCAAGTACGTGACTGCGCAACAGGTACTCCATAGGTTCTTGAACTTGTATCCGTTCTTTTCCGTCCTTTCACTTCGTGCATGCACGCATAACCGCACTGTACACCAGTGTCAGTATGTAAAACACAAAGTGCATGCATTTTGTGTTTTTATAATATGAGTACACTGAGAGGAAAGTGGCATTTTCAATTTTTTTTAAAAAACACGTGACCAAAAAATCACGAGACCAAAATTACGTCATCCGCACCAATACACAATGCACAGTGAAGCGATAAGGTGCAACTTTACTGATGGCCGATACTTTCCGATAGGCGTCCAGTAAATCTTCAATCAGATCCAGTTATTCCAGAACTAGAACCTTTACCGGAAGGGTTCCAGCTAGATAACATTGTCAAAAATGTCGTTTATTATTTGAGCGGATTCACAAATAAAAGAAAAGAGCTGGAGGCCGAAGTGTGTGATTCTTGTCGGTTGGAGCTATTTTGGTTAGATTCTTCGAAAGGGACTCCTGATTTTGCCCAACTGACAGAAATGAAAGACGACGGAGGTTTGAACTTTGTTGGGGGTGTCTTTTATGACATGATGTGCAGTCTTGAGCGGATATTCCAGAAACAGATTGACGAAGTCCTTTACCTTTCTCCGCGCCAATTACTTCTTGCTTTCGCTGAAAAATACGCCATGGAGGATTTCGTTACCAGAAAATGTAATTTACGGTCCCCATGCCTTGCTGATTGCTCTTGGACCGAAATTTTTCGTAAAAGTGCAACTTATTATTTCCAAATACGGATTCATTCTATGTCAAGTTGATGAACGATAAGGTTGGCAAAAAATGGTCAAAAAGTGACGATTCTAAGAAGCGAAAGTTGAAAATTCTCAAGGGTGAATGAATAATATTATGCAAGCGTTTACAATGTTTTGGATTGCTATTTTTTGGTTTAAATTTTAATCGAAACTGCTAATAAAATTGTCAGACATTATACGGAAAGTTGCGTGTGTGAAGTGCGTTCCGTAAAGTGTACGCAACGTAGCGTATGCAGCAGCGTATCGTCTCCCCGATCACCCAGTCGAATGCCAGTTACGCTTGATTTTCATTAAATTCGATTTTCCCTCGACACTTTAAATATTATTCACTTTGCCGAAACCATGGAAAACACTGCTGATTGCGGAGAACTGCGAGACGCCGTAAAATATCGATAACTTTCGAGTGAATTTCGTCAGCGCTCAACCCAGACGACGAGAACTGGGTTGAATGACGTCACATATTTCAGTAATTCCTTATACGGTACGCCTCCAGCAGGTTGTGTCTGTGGGTAGGCTTACATGTAGTCTTAAAGAGTAATCGAAAATTTGTATAAAAAAGCGCTTATTGCACTGAAGCTTATCGCCCTTATTATTAAGTGAATACTGAATGAAAGCATAGTGGAAAACTGAAACACGTTTAGTCATGTTGTCGGTGGAATTACACTCAGTTACCTACCAATGGATCGTGTATAGCGCATCCCGGAGTTCTTCTCGTAGCCACGTAAACTCAAAGTTCTGCCATGATAAATTTTCCCAAACGGAATGAGTTGAGCGCCTGGATCGTGGCCAGTGCCAAATCGTATTCGGAGCCCCTCTTTCGCGCAGGCCTCAACCCTTCCATGCCAAAATAACCCATCATCCCCTAAGACATCCACCACCATCTGGGCTTCTCCATCCCGACGTCGCAGCACGAAATCGGCGGTGGAGTTGCGGGAAGCACAATCCATTTTAAATTAGAGATAACTCAGATAAGGGATAAGTTTCGTTGTTAAAGGATTTACACTTTCGGAAATTCGTATTCAAGCGTAGTAAAATACGAATAAAATACGAACGTAGTAGGCGAATTTCAAAATACGAATAAGCGGGCTGACGAAACTAGGACAGCAGTTTCATACACGGGTAACGAAATGACGTAATGCAATAATTATGCTGCGCAAAAAGCTTCTCTGATTCGTCGACGATTATAGACGGGGGCGTGAACGTCCACCGTTCCGTCACTTCCGTGTCTTCTTACTGGGATTGGCTTACAACTGCACGGGCGGCCAGCGCTTTACGAAGGGGTATTTCGCTTACAAGTGATAAACAATTAAATATGCGGAATTTTTAAATTCGTAGCCGTTCTCGATGGCATCGGCACGACAGATAACTTTCAATGGACAACCGTTTGACTTTAGCCACCGTGGGGATCGTACTTTTCTGTACCTATCATGAATAACAGCAACAAAATGCTTCGACCGGCATTCAAGCTAGGGAAAATCTTTTCAGTGGTTTTAGTGGCCGGTTTCAATTGTTATTTCTGATTCGAATCAAAGTTTTTACAAGTTTTGCGTATGTTAATTTAATAGAATTGGACATTGCAGAATTTAGCAGGACAAACAAAAACAGCAAAACTGAAAATCCTTCACAACACGCTTCTTTTTTACGGTTGCCGCATACGTTGGGATTTGGGAATACCCTGCTAAGGTTAACGCATCTATACGAACCTGCTGCAACAGATGAGAAGTATCATGCATTGCGAACAAGCACTTGCTTTCCCAAATATACGAATCCATAAAAGGATGTGGATGTACTGTAGCCGGTAGGGATTCTCACAAGTCAGAATTTGTTCCCGGCACCGCGGACATGGTTCTTCTCTGGATCAGTGGTCGATAGTATCTGTACAGCTAATGCGTCAATCCGCATTCTACGGTAACAATTTACAATTTTCAGTGGTTTTTAGTGGTTCTTTGTATATTTTGTACATTGTTTCGTTTCACCTTTTGGTATGCAGTCCATTTCAGTTACAATATCGGACTTGCCAAAATTTAATTCGCACAGAAAAAACAACAGGTGTTTTAAGGGAAGTGGCCCGGTACATGGTACCTAATTCTGGTACATGCACGGAAACTTTCACTTAACTCACTAAGGGAAGTGGCCCGGTACATGGTACCTAATTCTGGTACATGCACGGAAACTTTCACTTAACTCACTAAGGGAAGTGGCCCGGTACATGGTACCTAATTCTGGTACATGCACGGAAACTTTCACTTAACTCACTAAGGGAGAAGTGGCCCGGTACATGGTACCTAATTCTGGTACATGCACGGAAACTTTCACTTAACTCACTAAGGAAGTGGCCCGGTACATGGTACCTAATTCTGGTACATGCACGGAAACTTTCACTTAACTCACTAAGGGAAGTGGCCCGGTACATGGTACCTAATTCTGGTACATGCACGGAAACTTTCACTTAACTCACTAAGGGAAGTGGCCCGGTACATGGTACCTAATTCTGGTACATGCACGGAAACTTTCACTTAACTCACTAAGGAAGTGGCCCGGTACATGGTACCTAATTCTGGTACATGCACGGAAACTTTCACTTAACTCACTAAGGGAAGTGGCCCGGTACATGGTACCTAATTCTGGTACATGCACGGAAACTTTCACTTAACTCACTAAGGGAAGTGGCCCGGTACATGGTACCTAATTCTGGTACACGCACGGAAAACTAACGCGCACTCCCAAACACATTTTTGTTTCGGTTTATGGCATTATGTAGCCAGATGATTTGTATACACTGGCGTGAAAACCGTTTGTGCGCGCAACATCCGGTTCGGAAGTTATGGCTGTAAGAAAATTCCAAAAAGTTTAAATGCATTCAGGTGTACCAAAAGTCTCATTATAGACCGATCTCTTTCAAATTTTGCACGTAAATGCACGTGGCCATGAATATCGTTTTTACACCGATCCAGACTTACACGAATTTTTTCTAATTTTAAAATGAATTTTAAAATTTTTGGATTTCAATTTAAAATTTGAAAAGCCTGTTGGAACAGCGGATCGGTGTAAAAACGATCTTAATGGCTACGTGCATTTACGTGCAAAATCTGAAAGAGATCGGTCCATAATGAGACTTTTGGTACACCTGAAAGCATTTAAACTTTTTGGAATTTTCTGACAGCCATAAGTCTCGAACCGAATGTTGCGCGCCCAAGCGGTATTCACGCCAATGTATACAAATCATCTGGCTACAGAATGTCATAAAACAAGAGAAAGAAGGGTTTGGGAGTGCGCGAAAGTGAAAGATTTCGTGCATGTACACGAATTTGGTACATGTACCGGGCCGCTTCCCTTAATGGAAAAAAACATACTTACTTCGCAAAATGCCCTCTTCATTTTTGATGTTGCGGCATTTCAAAACGATGGAAAATGAGATGCACATTATATGTCGCTACGAACACCGACAAAAGATATAGATTAACTTCCAAATCATCTCTTGAACTCTAGCTCTAACAAACCAAATTATAACAGGAAGTACTGTATGAGTACACTTCATTCTTTCTGTAGGTATTATTGTAGTTAAACGCCATACTGCAGTCTACTGTACACTCAAAGATCCCTTCGGTTTTGGAAGGAATGTGGACATTGAATCGGTTAGATAATTGCCGATGACTGCCACTTCTCCCTCCATTTTGTCCTGGATTAGATGCGACTTTCCTTTAAGAAAGTTGCGGAACCAGGCAAACGAGCAATCACAATGAATTTTTTTAACCTTATCCAAATCTTTTTCTCGCAATGATCACGGCTTCCAGTACTGGCGATGTTCTGGCTTGGACGATTCCTCCAGAATGTTAATTATCATACCTTCCAGCGTTAAGCTTTGCAAGTGGGCAATATCCGTAAACGTGTACGGCTCCAGCTCTTGAATAGTGGTAAGGGCAAAGGTAATTATCCGGACGTTGGGCAATCGAGAGAAATTTTGCCTCTTGACCACCAAATCTCTCCCATTCCATAGTAGAAATGAAACCAAATTGGCTAGTTCACCGACGCCGAAAATCTTTGCGGTGGTCGTGACGGTTGCGCAGCGCCGTATTTGCAGTTCGATGATTTGCTTGCGGATAGGATCGATGACGTCATGATGCACAGGGTCTTCCGTATCGTTGCGTTCTGCTAACTGCAGCGTAATGGCGCGGTTGGGACTGGTGATGCTGACATTTGTAGCGTACTGGGCGATGGCGGTCCGGGTTCCGCCGTCCCAACAACTCATCTCGACATATGTCTTCGTTAGCGGATCCTTATTACTGCCAGGTGCGTAATGCATCAAGCAGTAGTCGTGCTTTCCATCGCCGCAGGGCATCTCCGCGTACGTACGACATTCGTCCGCCGTGAGAGTGTCCGTTCGGAAAGAATTAATGGGCGGGGCGGTCTTTACTTCCGCGTTGGACACACTCGGTGCATTGCATTCGGTTTCAAATTGGATCTCCCGGTCAGCGAAACCTGGTAAAGAAACACGAAGGCGGTACTGTCGACGTTGGCTGATGATTTCTAGAAAATCCTATAACAACTCCAAAAGGGGTAGTAATGCGGCTTACCGGCACACTGATGGATTGATATGAATACAAAACATGCTGCAATTTTGCGCATGGCGTGGTTTTGGCCGCTCTCAGTTAGCGATGTTATTGACAATAAGGCGCTCACTGCATTAAGGAAACTTGATTTTGTTCTGAAGTATCGCTTTGTACAACCAAATGGGCAGAAGCGACTGAGCGCAATAATAATTATTATTATTTTGCAGCTAGAATCTGCCACGGGGAGCTAAGTACCTGCGATTTTGATCATGCTTAAATTGATTATTATCACTTCGGATTAACATGCACTCAGCACTTATCGGAAGTTGAAATTATGCAAAGACTGTGCCTGTGCTAAATGCCGCATACAAACAGTGTGCAGGCCTAACATCTACAGACTGTACTGCAAAAGTGTAATTTTTATTACAACAACAACAAGATGGTATCAGCTAACTGGCTGTTTTACCGTGATAATGATCCGCATTCTTTTGCTGCACTAGAATGTCGGTGGGAGGCTGTATACTCTACGAAGAATTACCGGACAACAGTGCAAAGCAGTCAGTCATGCTCTGATTTCCCGTGCCTGGTTTAATATGTTTTCTTGTTCTGCTTCACGTCTTGCCGTCTACCACGATCAGATTACCCTTGCAAAGGCAGCAGACAACCAAAGAAAGAACAAATAAGTGAAAATACAATAAAGTCATGATAGAGACCAAAATAGTGCCGGTATCAAAACTGCTGGTAACGAACGACCAGATAAACCAAAAAAAAACATCTAAGCAATGAAAACGATCACAAAAATTTAATTCAACTTTCAAATTTATAACATCCGCTACCCGCATATGTAGCGTCCAATTCCAAAAAAAGTTTGCTTCCCAAATGCTAGTCTGTAATCTATTACATGTATCAGTATGCGTTAGCGTAGTAAACCGTAAGATTCCTAACTTCAAATGGAAAATTTTATAAAAAAAAAGTATAAGCCAGCTCGTCGTCGGCACGACAATTTGATAGGCTGCGCAAATTACCGTATTGATCCATCAGTCCCCTCAGCAGAGCGTGCACCGTGAACAGTGTTAGTTTCTTTACGTCCAGGGGGGAAAGAAAATAATCAAAGTTCGTCTCTGTCAGACCGGAAACAAAACGTGATTATACTGGTTACTCTCGCAGGGACCCGGCACCTATACTTGCCATGTACACGGTAGCACACCTGATAAATAACTTTGATACAGAACGAGTTAACGATATGAGCCGCGTTAACCATTTGGTCATTACTATTAATGCTGTCCCGCCGCCGAGACTCGCGACCACAGAAGGGGCCGTAAAAGATCAAAATTTCGGTTATTAATGTGAATGTCCAAAACCACCACGGCATTATAAAGGGCAAGGAAACTAGCCTGCATTACGCGTTTGTACCGATGGACTTTTTCCAGCTGGATCGTCTCCTTTTTCCGGTCCCGACAGATGATGAGTTGAAGGCCTCATCATCTGTCGGGACCGGAAAACTGCGTTACTTCCGAATACATCTGATGTGACCACGGACAATTAATTACCACTTGGATCTGTAGACTCGTGCTCGAATCCAGTAAATTAACTGTCAGATTGCGGATCAACTGCGCTTTTTACGCCGATGCAAATGCAGTTAACTCAGAATGCAGGCCGGCCCAAATTCTGCGAACACGTTTCCTGGGAACCGTGTGCTCTTCAGATTCCACTGTTGATTGTACAGGATGACAGTGTCAGCTGTTTGAAAACTTGTTTTATTTATGATGCGCTGGAAATCCCCGGCATTCATCGTTGGTAATTTGTGCTTGAAATGCATCAATCGCCGAGAGTTCGTTCTTCCAGCTGCTTCTGCTGCTGCAGACAAATATCCATATTCCAGGCTTGTTCGATTGAGTAAGCGAGGAAACGTCAGAACGTCATTCCAAGTGCTGCATGACTCTACCGTACGTTGAATTTATAATGATAACTGTTATGTGTGTGGTTATATTTATATCTATAATGACCTACTGAACGAGCATACATTTTGTCGGTTTGGCGTTCTTCGCATGGCACGTTCCGCTTTCGGCGGAGATAGATGCTACCGAACGGGATCAGCAGCTTGGACTTAGCCTTAGGAGACGCGTCATCATGGAAATCGATACACAGTCCGGTGGCGGTGCCATAAAAAGCCCTTCCGGCCTTCCGCACAGTAATTCACCGTCAGCCCGTACTTTTGTACGAGTATTATTGGTGTTTCCCCCGCGCCCCACGGTACAGCAGAATTTCAATTTTCTAAAATTTGAAACTGACCAGCTGCAGTGCGCTGCAGAACACGAGGTCATTCCGGCAGACATGTCCGTCGAGATAAATGTTTCGGTATTTCTTTTTATCGGTGCAAGATATAATAGGTGTTGACGTGCTATTCAGCGGCCCGTATAAAACGTTCGAAATGGAGTTCAAAAGTGCAAAATACAGTTATTACTGCATACAAATAGAATCTGTACGATGCCCTCCCTACAGGACTCGATTACCAACGCAACAATACGAAAAGACAGACATCTTTCTCTGATGGCTGGTACTGGATGCACAACATTGATTGGCTGGTACTTGATACACAACAATCATATGCCACGGCCAGCGACCACTTAACAAGAACAATGCAGAGAGAAGGTGGACGCGAACGGACGCTTTCCGCTGGACTACATATTACGCTGCAATTTAACTTACATGGAAGAAACAACAGATACTTTAATGGATAAGAATTATACTTCGCAGTACTCTTCATTATACTCTTCAGTTTTTATGTTACGGTATCGTATTTGTAACGCGATGGAAGGAATATGCACATTACATATACGTTCGCTACGAACACCGCCAAAGGATACGGACTGCCTTCTAAACCAAATCTTCAGTTCTAACGCTAACAGGCCAAATTATAACAAGAAGTATTGTATGAGAACGGTCCATTCTTTTTGTAGGCAATATTGTGGTTCAGCGCCATACTGCAGTCGACACTCAAAGATCCCTCCCAGCCTTCGATTTTCGAGGATTTGCTTAAATAATTGCCGATGATTGCCACTTCCCCCTCGCTTTTTTCCTGAATTAAGTGAGGCTTTCGCTTAAGGAAGTTGCGGAACCAGGCAAATGAGCAATCGCAATGAAGTTTTTTGACTTTATCCAAATCCTTTCCGTTCAACTGTTTCGGCTCCCAAAATCGATCATCTTCTGGCATGGACAACTGATACAAAATGTGGCCTACCAAAGCCTCCAGTGTTAAGCTTTGCAAGTGGGCAATATCCGTAAACGTGTACGGCTCCAACTCTGCAATGGTGGTTTCGACAAAATTAATTATTCGGACGTTGGGCAGTCGAGAGAAATCTCGCCTCTTGACCACCAAATCTTTTCCGTTCCATAGGAGAAGTGAGACCAAGTGGGGTACTTCACCGGCGCTGAAAATCTTTGCGGTGATCGTGACGGTTGCGCATTGCCGTATTTGCAGTTGGATGATCTGCTAGCGGATAGGATCGATGGCGTCTTGATGCACAGGGTCTTCCGTATCGTTACGTTCTGCTAACTCCAGCGTAATGGCTCGATTGGGACTGGTGATGCTGACGTTCCTAGCGTACTGGGCGATGGCCGTCCGCGTTCCGCCCTTCCCACATCTCATCTCGAAATATGTCTTTGTTAGCGGATTGAGATCATTGACATGGAGATAAAGCATGGTGCAGAAGCCAAACTTCCCATCGCCACATGGCATCTCCGCGTACGTACGGCATTCGCCCGCCGTGAGAGTGTCCGTTCGGAATGAATAGGGAATTTTAGATTTCACATGGTTTAGGCTCCGTTCACTAGAAACTACTGCGTCAGATAAACAGTACGTTAGCAGACTAAACAGCGTTTAAAATGCTTGTACGGATGCACACTTGCAGTGACGTACAGCTGAAAATAAATCGAATCGAGAGTGCCGAGAGCGTGACCAACCTGCTCTCGGGGAGGCGGTTAGAGCACACAAAAAAGATCCACAGGCAGCATACGCTGGCTTGCCGCTCAGCCATATGGCTGAGCCGTTACACAGATCCACGTAAGGCAGATAGTTTTTACGCGTCAGCCCACGACGTTGGTTTACGGCGCCTTACGTCGCGAACGGACGTATATCAACCCGTAACGCCAATTTCTACCCGAAAGTCGAACTGGGCGGAACTTGTTTTGTGAAATCTAAAATTCGCTAATTAATGGCCGGGACGGCCTTTACTTCCGCGGTGGACGCACTCGGTGCATTGCATTCGGTTTCAAAATGGATCGCCTGGTCAGGAAAACCTAACAGAAAAACACGAAATCGGTACTGCTAACGCTGGCTGCTGATTACTAGGAAGCCATACATATATAATAATGCCGGTGAGGTTAGTAATGCGTCTTACCAACACATTGGTGGATTAAAACAAGAACAACACATGCTGCAGTTTTGCGCATGGTGTGGTTTCGCTCGCTCTCAATTATTGATGTCGTCGATAATGATCCGTTCACGGCGATCATAAAATGGGATTTTGTTCTACAGTAGCGCTTTGTACAACCGAATGGGCAGACGAGTCTGAGGGCACTAATATAATATTACTGGAAATAGACACTTAGGTACAATATTAGGTACAATATATGTATTACTAGCTTGGCACCTAGAATTTGGCCACTCTGCACTTATCGCAAGTTGATATTATGCAGACTGCAGACTGCAGAGAGTGCTATTCTGAATGCCGCTTACACTCAGGGTTCCGATAAAGTATGCCATGAATAACGATTAAGCGGTGCCTGTCTGTGTGGTCACTGTTTTCCAGAAGTCTGGCTAACAGCTGCAGACTGTACTCAGTGTACTGTACCAGTGTAATTTTCATTAGAAAACAACAAGATAGTATCAGCTGACTTCCAATTTTGCCGTGATAACGATCCGCACTCCCCCTGCTGCAGCTGAATGCCGGTGCGGTGGGAGGCTGTATACAGTACTCTTATGAAGAATTACGGACCACAGTGCAAACTGCAAAGCAGTCTCTCATCCATTAGTCCTTTACTCCTTGCCAGGTTCAGTTTCTTGGTTTATTCTGCTTTACGTCTACCACGATCAGCATTACTCCTGCACAATCGGCGGTAGACTACAGTATCAATACAAAAAATCGAATAAGTGAGAATACCATTAATACAGAGAGACAAAAATAGCATGAAAGTCCGCTACCGAAGATGCTTATCCAGTCCTCGTATAGTACAATACGGTGCAAAAATAAACAGCACCACAGCACAGTCCTGTCCGGACCGATTGCCGGACAGGACCAGCATTAAAAGACATGATTAAAACAGCAAACCATGTCTCCCACCCTAACAAGCCAAATTATAACACGACGTATTGTACGAGTACTCTCCATAGAGCCCGGCACGAGCCGAGCAGCTCGGCTCGGCTCGCGAGCGCTCGGTGCTCGCGAGCACTTCGAGCGAGCAGGCGCTGTTTTGAAAATTCATGAACGAGCCGAGCAACAGGAAAAAAATATGCGAGCGAGCCGAGCGAGCGGGATCGCCGGGTGCGAGCGATCACGAGCTTACAGGCTGATTTTAGGCGAACTGAAAAAGTTTCCAGCGTAAAAATTAGCTTGACCAAGCTGAAAAGGGTCGTAAATCACCGTCACCTTCGCGCGAACTAGTTTACTAAATTTTACCTTGACATGTTGGACTCGGGAATCAGGACTAAGTAACGATAATCCGTAACCAACGAAGACATAATTTAACCTGTTTTTTAATTCCTTTATGGCTTGGTAAACATTTCAAACATTTTTATTGCTTTTCAAAATACACAAAAAAACGGGAATCAGTTCAAATTACAGAAAGCTATCAGCGAAAAAACGAAGTTATAGAAAATGAACTGCCAATGTGAAAGAGAAGTTATTTCAGATACCCTTTTTTGACTAAGTTTTTGTTTTTTTGGGGAGACTTAAATTTTGAAATGTCTAATTCGCGCAAAAAATTTGAAACGTTAAATTAGCTCCGCTCACGAGCGAGCAGATTTGTAAAAATAAGAACACGATCGAGTCGAGCGAGCAACAACAAAGTAAAACTAAAAAACGAGCGAGCCGAGCGAGCGGCGGTTCGGCCGCGAGCGAGCTGAACGAGCGGAAAGTTTTGGCAAGTGAAAACGAGCGAGCCGAGCAGCATTTTTGCTGCTCGTGCCGGGCTCTAACTTAGTCTCTCCATTCTTGGTGTACGTATTATTGTAGTTGAACGCCTTAGCACAGTCGACACTTAAACGTCCTTCCCAGACATCGGAGTTTGCGGATTCACTTATATAATTTCCGATGATCGCCACTTCTCCCTGTCTCCCTGAATTAAGTACGGCTTTCGCTTGAGGAAGTTACGATACCAGGCAAACGCGCAATCACAGTGTAATCTTCCGACTTTTGCCATATCGCTCGCTTGTAATGACCAGGGCCGCATAGAGCTGAGCCATTTTGACTCTTCGGGCTGTAATAAATACAAATTGTAGCCTATTTTCTTTTCCAGCGCTAAACTTTCCAAATGGACAATATCAGTAAACGTGTACGCCTCCATTTCCTGGATAGTGGTGTAGCCGAAGATAATCATCCGGATGTTAGGAAGTCGCGAGAAGTCCCGTTTCTTGACCACCAAATCTCTTCCTCGCCACAGTTGCAGGGTGACCAAATTTGGCATATCACCGGCACCGAAAATCTTGGCGGTGATCTGGGCGGTTACGCAACTCCGCATATATAACTGGATGATTTGCTTACGAATGGGATCGATGGCTTCATGATGCACAGGGTCTTCCGTATCGTTGCGTTCTGCTAACTCCAGCGCTATCGCTCGGTTGGGACTGGTTACACTGACGTTTCTAGAGTATTGGGCGATGGCGGTCCGGGTTCCGCCGTCCCAGCAGCTAATCTCGAAATATGTCTTCGTTAGCGGGTTCACTTGGCTGTCTGGTGGATAGTCCATGATGCAGTAGTCGTACTTCCCATCACCGCAGGACATTTCCGCATATGTACGACATTCTTCCGCAGTGAGAGTGTCCATACGGAAAGAACTAATGGGCGGGACGGTATCAGTATGCACGGTGGGCGGCAGTGTTGGTGCATTGCATTCAGTTTCGTAATCGTGGTCGGTGAAACCTAAGAAAAAAGATGTTTTTTTGCTGTTTTATGGCCATTGCTATGGAAAACCGTATATCTATATTAGGTTAGGAACTTAGGACTGGATCATAGTAGGATGAAATTCAGTTATGGAATTTACCAGCACATTGGTCCATCAAAATAAGAATAAACCACGTTGCAGTTTGGCGCATGGTAGAGCGTGGTCACTTCTAGTTTCACCTATCGCGGCTCTCGCTATTGTTGTGAGTTGTCTGCGGTGCAAAAAATACGGGATGTTATTATAAAGTACCACCTCCAATTACCGGCTGGGCAGGAGCATTTAACTGATTAAGTATGCAGTAATAAATGTTACGGTGTAGTTTACAATAAGCAACTGCTAATCGAGCGCTGATGTCTTATCAAGTACAGTAGCGAGATTCCTATCAGCTTGTTAGCTTTCTTGGTGTAAACGTTTCCGAATACTCATATGATTTATCAGAGGTCGAAATGCTGCGGAGTTTGAACTTTAATCCTGAAGGCCGCATAGAACTGAAATATTCCCATGGCGTTCATGGCGCGAAACAGCGGCATCCGATAAGTACTGCACCGCTCCGTTTGAAAATCAGTACCCGCTACTGTTAAGTTGCTACTTTGTGTCAAACAATCGAAGTAACAAGGTGTAGCAGCTGACTGATAATACTGTACTTTCAATTTTTAATGTACATATCAAAGCGTGTTAAAAAAGCTGTATTTCGCAGCAGTACAGTTATCCCCGTATGTATGACCAGTAGAACGTCAATTTTCAAAATAAAACATTTCACAGTCCGCATAGTTCCATTCATTTCCCAAAAAAATGTTTTCTTATTTTGCAGTCAAAGGTGAATGTGCCAGAGCAATGAATCTTACCTAAAAATTATACCGAAAAAATATTGAAGTATCAGTGAAACAGAAAACCAACTGTACAAAGAAATCAATCAAATTTGCCGTGCGTGGCTCGGTTATTTTTACATGTCTTACGAATGCCACTACCACGAGAGCTTAATGGACTGGAGAGACCGTTGAAATTTTAGCTCGCATAGAAGAGCGTGAACCGTGAAATGCGTCAACTTCTGCACGTTCAGGCGGGATAAAAAGTCGAAGTTAGTCTCGTTCGGCGCCGGAAACAAAACGTTGTTGTGTTTATTACTATCGCGCGGATCCGGCATCTGTGTTTCCGTCAAAACCTGAAAAACGAACCTGCTAAAAGACGCTCAGGAGTTCGACTACAAAAACTTCGTGCAATACAACACGTTCACGGCTAAACAGGAATTCCGGCATCTATCTATTTGCGGTCTGGTACTCAGTGAGCCGTTTTTGGATAAATCATCAAAACTTGTTAAGTACTAGATGTATACCACTCGGTCATGCGTTCTCGACCTTCACATTGCAGCCTCGGTCATGCGGTCGAGACCGCATGACCGAGTGCAGCAAAGAAAACATTTCAGCGAATAATAATTTAATCCAGTAAAAAAGTGAAGAAACTGACCTTAATTATACGTTTGTATCGCGAGATGTCCGACCGTTGGATCGTTTCTTGGACCCAAGTCTTGACAGCGTTTAGGTCTTCGTCCGTCGGATTCGGTAAACAGTCGTTAATCCACTCCCACAAATCCTTCAATGTCCGAGGTCTATCAGCTCGGACGTTACCTCGGACAATTACCATCTCCAATTGGCGGCATTTGCCCGAGTCTACTAAGTTAACCGTCAGATTGCGGATCATTAGGATTTCGCAAACGGATGCAAATGCAACTAATTCGGTATGCAACTCGGCAATAAACTCCGCAAGAACATTCTCTTTAAATCGTCCACTATCCACATGCCAGGTTTGATTGTGGAGAATGACAGTCTGAGCGCTTCGGTAACCTTTTTCCTGCACGATGCGGTGAAAGACGGCGGCATTCATGGTTGGTAATTGGTGTTTGAAATGTATCAATCGCGGTGAGTTCGTGACGGTGACCAGTTTACTCCAGCGGTGACAGATGCTGGCGGCGTTCAGATACTCTTCGTCGGCTGATTTTTCCGCTGACAGGTATCCATACTCCAGACTGGTTCAATTGCTTATGAGAGCTGACGTCAGAAGATCATTCCAATTACTACATACAACTCGGATTCGACACTGTTGTGAAGTATTCAGACACTGGAAGATCTCGACAGGATGCCCAAACCGCTGTTCAACTGGTCCGTATAATCAGGTTCCAACACCTCGATATCATAAGTATTGCGGCGTTTTTTCCCGACATTATCGATCGCGGCGATATTGCGCTCATGTTTAATTTTTCGGCATTTTGCTGAAGAGCTAGTTTGACCCCCATCTTCCTACAATAATACAGGAAACTTATATTGTAAATTTGTACAACAAGCTTTTTAAAAACACCGAGCACATTCAGCACCCTAGTTTTAGTTTATTACCATTGTGGTGTAAAAATCACCCTGTTTGACCAGTGTTGCCGAGCTGCGATCAAACGGTGCATGGATGTGGTTTCCCCGAAGAACGGTAACTATAATTCCATGCGGAAGCCTCACTCGTACCAACGCGAAAGAATACGCAGCAAAATCACCCATCATCAAAGTGGCAGGATATCGCTTCCGTGGCTCTCCTGTCGGAAAACTCATTTCCGCTTCCACCGCGAATATTTCCCACTTATCTGCACAGAGAACAGGTATTATGGTTAAATAAGTGCTTTTTAAACATTTACTCTAAGAATACTTCGGCGTTTATCGCATTCCGGACACCAAGAGAAAGAGTATTTTTTGCGTTGTTCTACATTACGAAACCGGATAATTTTTCATTAAACTGGTAGAAGAAGTTTCTACAATATAGAAACTTAGAAGTACATTCTTGTCTGTACCTATTGAACGTGCGTACGGCCTGCCGGTTTGGCCTTCGACGCACAGTAAGTTTCGATGTTGGCGGTGATAGATGCTGCCGAACGGGACATGGCGTATGGTCCGAGTCGGTCGACCCAGGCAGTCATTGCTTTCTGCACGGCCAAAATCAATGTGTAGCCCTTCTTCCTTGGTATCCGTGTTGCAAACCTTTCCGCACAACAGTTCGCCCGCTTCCAAAATATCCACCGTCATAAGGCTGTTACCATCGCGTCGCAGAACACAACATAGCCGGGGAGGTCCAGGGCCATCGGGAGCTTTACATGCTATCATCTTGTGCCCGGGGTCACCGGGCCATCTGGATCCACCTGGTTGAGATTTTCGCATTGCCACTCTTAAACGGTCTGCGGTTAGCTGAAGATTTGAGCAGCTGTGCTGCAAAAGTAGGAAAGACGAAATCCCGCGCATGCGAGTAATTATATTGTAGTACTATGTAACATAGGCTTTGTTTTAAATCGACTATGCCTACAGGCTACAGACTGCAGTAAGTACTGGACAACAACTACGAGTAGTGCCTAGACTGAAAATCTGGTCAGTACTGTACTCGTATTGCATTCGCCACCTGCAGCGTGGCAATGCGCGCACACCAGCCAAAAAGATGGTGCGACAGCGACAGAGTGATAATTTTGATTTCGCAAGTAATTCCTCGGACAAAACAGGTGGACGCGCTTGCTGTACGAGCTACGCAAAGCGATATATTGAAACGGATGCCCCTTTTAAAAGAATTACGTTCGAACCACAAAAGTGGTACATCATGATCCGGAAAATGTTTCTTTCATTCCATTTCCGTCTTTTTGCATTGAGATCATGCAAGCACGGCGCACATATCATAGCGAATGAAACTTGCCATGAAAAATTGCCTTTTACACTTTTTTTATCACCAGATTGTGGTCTGGAGCTTTGCATGCTACCGTTTTGCATGAGTGACCTCTTGACCGCTTGGACCCATCTGATTGTGAGCTCCGCATTGAGAGTGGTCAATCAGGCAAGTAAGTATAACCGTATGCGAACAGCTGGAGGAGTTCTACTCTAGTACTTGTTAATTTGCAAAGAAGGGAGACGCACATTCGGTTAAGAATTAACACCTGTTACAACTTCCAGGTCCCAACCCGTAATACTTGCGCCAACGTTCTGCAGAGCGTAGTGATTCATTTATTCGTGTCACGGTGCGAACTGTTACCGGACAAGATTCTGGATACATGTTGAATTACCAACACGATAACGCTCCACACAGTGACAAAATTATGGCTGGTAGGTAACTGCAGTTGCTATGGCTAAGTACTTGACTATGTAGTACAGTTTAGTGCTAAGCGGTCGTGCGCTCTCATGCCCAGTTTTTTGTACGCAGGTTTAAAACGTAGTGCAACATACGACAGCTGGAAGCATCCGGTTATCGTACAGTGCAATGCGCACACGCGTACAGAATGCTGGGTACGTGAGTAGCATGATAAAAAAAATATATGCACATTAACATTAAACGTACGCTACGAACATGGACAAGAGACACGAATAAACTTTCAAACCATGTCCTGAACTCTAACAGACCAAATTATAACAGGAAGTATTGTACGAGTACGATCTGTTTTTGGTGTAGTAGGTATTATTATAGTTAAACGCCATACTGCAGTCGACACTCAAAGATCCCTTCCAAATACCGGTGTTTGTGGATTCGCTTAAATAATTGCCGATGACTGCCACTTCTCCCTCCCTTTTCTCCTGAATTAGATGCGGCTTCCGCTTAAGAAAGTTGCGAAACCAGGCAAACGAGCAATCGCAATGAATTTTCTTCACCTTATCCAAATCTTTTCCTTGCAATGATCCCGGTTCCCAAAACTGGTCATGTTCTGGCTTAGACATTATATACAAAATATATCCTATCTTCATCTCCAACGTTAAGCTTTCCAAGTGGGCAATATCCGTAAACGTGTACGGCTCCAACTCTTGAATGGTGGTAAGGCCAAAGATAATCATTCGGACGTTAGGCATTCGAGAGAAATCTCGCCTCTTGACCACCAAATCTCTTCCTTGCCACACACGAAGTGATACCAAGTTGGGTACTTCACCAGCGCCGAAAATCTTTGCGGTGATCGTGGCAGTTGCACAGTGCCGTATTTGCATTTGAATGATCTGCTGACGGATGGGATCGACGGCGTCATGATGCACAGGATCTTCAGTATCATTGCGTTCTGCTAACTCCAGCGTAATAGCTCGGTTGGGACTGGTTAAACTGACGTTTCTAGCGTACACGGCGATGGCAGTCCGCGTTCCGCCCTCCCAACAGCTCATCTCGAAATATGTCTTCGTTAGCGGACTCATATCACTCCCAGGAGGGTAACTCATGATGCAGTAGTCGTGTTTCCCATCGCCGCAGAGCATTTTCGCGTACGTACGGCATTCATCCGCAGCGAGAGTGTCCGTTCGGAAGGAATTAATAGGCGGCGCGGTCTTAATTATTTCCGCGGTGGACGCATCCGGTGCATTACAGTCGGTTTCGAACTGGATCGCGTGATCAGGGATACCTAACAAAGAAACACGATGCCGATACTGCTGTTGTTTGATGATTTCTAGAAAACCTAATAACAGTTACAACCCCAGTGGGGTCATTAATGCGACTTACCAGCGCACTGATGGATCAGAAATAGTACAAAACATGCTGCAGTCTTGCTCATGGTGTGGGTTCGCTCTCAGTTATCGAAGCTGTCAACAATGAGCCGCTCACTGCGATAAACAAACGGTATTTTGTTTTGAAGTATCGTTTTGTACAACCGAAAGGGCGGAAGCGACTGAGCGCAATAAAATTAGATTAACATTGAAGCTGCAGTTTGCTACGAGGAAGTGCTAAGTAGACTAAGTAGCTGCGATTTTAATCATTCTTACTTGATCTCTTCGTGATAACATGCCAACTCAACACTTATCCGAAGTTAAAATTATGCAGACTATGGACTTCCATTCGAATTAATTGAATGCCGCTTAAAATTGGGTCTTTCCATAAAGTCTGGCATGAATAACGATTAATTAAGCGGTGCTATGTAGAGAGGCATGAGTGTGTATTTGCTGTGTTCACTGACTTGGGCGTAAAAGCTACGGACTGTACTTAAGTACTGTAATAATATTGTAATTTTTATTAGAACAACAGCAAGACGGTATCAGCTGGTTGGCTAGATTGCCATGATAACTATCCGCACTCTGCTGCAGCAGATTGCCGGTGGGAGGCTCTATACAGAGTACGTACTGTAGGAAGAATTAACGGACCAAGTGCAAAGCAGTCACTCTACCTCAAGTCCTTGCCTGGTTCAGTTTGTTGGTTTATTCTGCTTTACGTCTACCGCGACCAGGATTACTCCTGCACGAGGCGGTAGACTATCACCTCAAAGAAAGTCAAAGAAATAAAAATATATAATACAGAGAGGCACAATCAGCTCCAGTTTTACAAAAGAACGAAAAGATAAATCAACAACATGTAAGAGTAAAAAGGACTGCACATTTCAACTTTCGCATGTATAACATCCGCTACCCGCATATGTAGTATGAACTCCCAAGAACGACTGCTTCCTAAATGTTACTTTGCAGTCGATTGCATAAATGAATATGCGTTGGCATAGTGAATCCTAAGATTCGTAACTACAAATGAAAAATTGTATACAAAACAGAATAAAAAAGCTCGCCGTTACCACGACAGTTTGATAGACTGCATAAATTTTTTATTCCTCAGTTCATTCAACAGAGCGTGCACCGTGAACTGCGTCAGTTTCTTCACGTCCAGGCGGGAAAGGAAGTCAAAGTTCGTCTCCGTCGCGGCCGGAAACAAAACGTGATTGTACTGATTGGTATCGCGCGGATCCGGCATCTGTGTTTTCGTTAAAACCTAAAACAACATCCTCTTACACGGCGCTCTTAGGCTCAGTTATAACAGCGCACAACTGTGCCTATGCCTCATCGATGCAGCTAGTTGCGGTTCGCAACTCATTCACCCGTTTTTTGATAAATCATCAAAAATGCAAGATGAGCATTCCAGCGAACGGTTGTTTGACCTACTAAAAAGGTGAAGAAACTGACCTTCATTATGCGTTTGTATCGCGAGATGTTCGCAAGATGAATCGTTTCTTGAACCCAGGTTTCCACTGCTTTCCGGTCGACGTCCGTCGGATTCGGGAAACTGCCGTTAATCAGATCCCACAAATCGTTCAAAGTCAGGGGCTGATCAGCTTGGATGTGACCTTGGACAACCACCACTTCCAATTGTCGGCTTTTATTCGGTCTTAACAAATTAATCGTCAGATTGCGGATCACTAGGGCTTCACAAACGGATGCAAATGCAGCTAATTCGGTATACAACTCGACAATAAACTCCGCGAAAACATTTTCTTCGAATCGCCCGCTATTCACGTTCCAAGTTTGATTGTGGAGAATGACGGCCTGAGCTGGTTGGTAGCCTTTTTCCTGCACGATACGCTGGAAGACGGTGGCATTCATGGTTGGTAATTTGTGTTTTGTGTTGAAATACGTCGATCGCGGAGAGTTCGTAATGGTGACCAGTTTGCTCCAGCGGTGACATATGCTAGCGGCATTAAGGTATTCCTCTTGGGCTGCTTCTTCCGCTGACAGATAGCCATATTCCAAACCCAGGTGATTAGTCAACAGAGCCGATGTCAGAATGTCGTTCCAATTACCACACACAACTCGGATTCGGCACTGCTGCGCAGTATTCAAATATTCAAAAATCTCCGTTAGGACTGTTACCGACAGTATGGCCATACCGCTTTCCAACCGTCCCGTGTAATCAGGACTCAGCGATTGCGCATCATCAGTTTTGAGGCGTTTGTTCCCGCCCTTACGAACCGCTGCCATTATGCGCTCACGTTTCCGCGTTTGGCATTTTGCTGAACAGCTGGTTTGGCCCCAATCTTTCTACGATGATGGAGGAGAGCTATACCACCAGCCTTTAGTAATACCACGCATCTTCTACGTCAAGCACCTTAGTTAATTATTTTTACCTTTGTGGTATAAAAATCGTCCCAGTCTGCCAGTGTTGCCGAGCTGTGATTAAAAGGTGCATGAATGCGATTTCCTCGGAGTACAGTGACTATAACCTCATCTGGAAGCGTCACTCGTACCAGTCCGAAAGAGTACAGAGCAAAATCGCCCATCAGCAGAGTGGCAGGATATCGTTTCCGTGGCTCCCCTAGCGTAAAACACATTTCCGCTTCCGCCGCGCACTCTTCCTTTCCATCTGCTCCGAGTACAATTGTATGATTAATAATCGCTGTATAAATGGCTGTTTACTTTAAATATATAATGTGCTAATGCAGTACTTGATTTTTTAACTAATCGAGATTACAGAAAGTCTTAGAAAGCGAACCGCGACACCCACATTCCACTTTAATCTTATTGCAACGTGACGCTAGGTGTCGCGGGTGAATTATTATAATTATGAACGGATTGAAAATACAAGTCAGTACTGTAATTACATAATAAAAAAGTTGTCTCAATGATTTTGTTTTCAGGGGCGTTTCATAAATTCTACTACGAACCTTCCTAATACATACTCCTACTCGTGACTTATTGTAGTATAATATACCTAGATGCAGATTCTCGTCTTTACCTATTGAACGTGCGTACGGTCTGCCCGTTTGTCCTTTAACGCACAACAAGTTTCGATTTTGGCGGAGATAGATGCTGCCGAACGGGACCAGGCGTATGGACCGAGTTGGTCGACCCAGGCAGTCAATGGTTTTTGCACGGCCGAAATCAATGTACAGTATAGCCCTTTTCCATTGACATCGGTGTCACAGACCTTTCCGCTCAATAATTCGCCCTCAGTCATAATATCCACCGTTGTAACGCTGTTGCCATTGCGTCTTAGAACACAACACAGCTGTGGAGATCTGCTGCCACCGTGCGATTTACATGCTATCATCTGGCGCCCGAAGTTGCCGGGCCACTTGGATCCACCATGTTGTGATTTCCGCATTGTCAATTTCAATCTGGTAGATCACTATCAAACCGTCTGGAACCGCTGGCAGTGAACCCGTCAGGAGGGAAGATGCTTTTTTCGTAATCTGAATAAAATATATGAAAGACTGTTGCAATCCGTAGTATTATACGTCAGCGTGCTTACTTATAATCAAGAGTATATATTCCTACATAGGGGTGTAGACTGCAGAAAACGGTGCGGACTCATGAAGAGCTAACACCAGAAAGAGCTGTGCTACTAGCTTCTGGGAAAAACGGAATCCCCCACATGCGAGATAGTACCATCTTTTCTTTAAATCAACTCCCCACCGTAAGTAGGCAAGTAGTAATGTTAAAATGTTGACGGTTAACGGATGGACTGGGTTACCAGGCAAAAATGCGGATGTTAGCATTTTTGCCGCCTGCGTACATAGAGTACGTGGCAGACGAGCTTGTTATGCTTGTGTTAAAAGAAGTGTGACGCAAGAGTACAGCTTTTTTAGAAAAAAATAGAAACAATCGAACTACAAAAGTCATACGTATTACTTGGAGATGTCCTTTGCATTCCATGACACTGCGTTTTCGAATTGAGGTCATGCGCGCACGGCGTACTGAATATCCGCACAGAAAATTATCAGAATTTGAAACTTAACGTCTCCTTTGGTCGCACCAGAGGACATTTGAACTCATTACACATTTACACTCGCATAATTTTAAAATGGAATTTTTATTTTTATTTCACAAAATGCGGTAACATCACAGTTTAAGAACAAAAGATCAAAAAAACAGAATTTCATTTAATGCTGCCGCTCCCTCCATTGTCCCGAGCACGGAAGCAGCGTTGCCTCGCTGAATTTCCAGCGACAATCGTTGACGGAGGTACTCATGAGAGCGAGGCTCACCCGTATGTTGTTGAAGTCGCTTGCCAATTTCTTTCACTAAACGGCTAGCTGACTTTCCCCATGGTCCAAGTGTTTCAAATGCCAGCGGTACGAAGATGTATCTGCCCTGCAGGTACAAATACAATCCCGCTTTTCTATCCTCCGCCTGAGCGGCGGCGGATCCCGCTGTAACTGAAGTGGACTTCCGGTGAGACACAGCGACAGTATCCACGCAGGTCACGTCCCATTCCAAACACGTGCCGCGTTGCCACGCGAACGTGGTGCACCCGTCCGGTCGATGATCTGACGTATGAGATGTACCTCGCGGCTCCAGTTTTGCGGGGATACCGGCTGAAACTAGCGCCCTGCACAGAATGCTGTTCAGGCCGCCGTGGCGTGCATGCCTTCCCGCAGAGAATGCACAAGACAAGCCTTGGTGACCATACACATCTACGGGCTTGTGGCATTTGGAACATGAATGTGCTTCACAGATATCTGCACCTAGTCGCAGGCCGACTGATATCTTTACGGTGTCGTCGTCCAAGCGGTTACCGATGTGTGCCGAGGGCAAGGCATTCAACCATATGCCTGCTTCCGGTGTCGACTGTGCGAGGAGACGGGCCCGGTTAATCTCATCATCGCGGAAAATGTCCAACAGTATGGATAGTGATGTGTTACACAGCGGGAGGTCCCATGCTCGTTGTGCCTTTCTCACGTTAGGCTCAGGAAGTTCTGTCAGTCGCGCCTTTGCTTTCCACAGCTCGAGAGCGGCCGAGACATTTACAGCGGGGTAACCAGGAAGCAGTAATGACATTAAGCCGGATACGGAGTGAATCGAAGCCAAAAAGGCTGGGAGAGCAAATTCTTCCGCCCGGCGTATGCCAATACCGCCTCTGCTCACTGGAAGTGTCGCCTGCCGCCAACACGGATAGTCGTCGTGAGTCGTACGTACATTGCACAGGGACTGAAAACACAGCCGCACTGCTTCATCCAGTTGATAAAGTTGTTGCGGTTGTTTCCATGCATTGCAACAGCGGAGCATATAAATAATTTTTGGGGCTCCGAGACAGTTTTTCAGTAGGAAGAGGGCGTGGTGACGTGGCAAAAGCTCTAATCGCTCACACGCCATTTTAACCGTTGCGCACTTTTCGGCTACAGCTGGACCGATGGCGTCGTCCATAACCGGTGCACCTAACAACAAGAAGTCTGCATTTGTCAGGATGCGTAGTTTCGGGTACATCTCATGGAAATATGCCACAACATCAGTCCGGGCTTCTTCGGTTCCGCCGGAGATATGAAGCTCGCATTTCGCCTCGTTCACCACTAAACCGATTTCACGAGCTCTCACGATGATCTCCGCAAAGGCATGTGCTACTGTCGCTGGTTTTCCGCCCATGGTTCCGTCATCCAGGAACCACGCATTTAAGACTGCCTTCAAAGACGCCACCACTGGCTGGAGTGCGAGGCAGAACAGTAACGGTCCCAGTGGGTCTCTTTGCTGCACTCCTGATTCGGATGACATAATCAACTGCTCAATGAAAAGCGATGAATGATTACCGTACGCACACTGAATGAAAGCTTTGTATTCAGGTAGGTGGCATTCCGCGGCGGCTAACACGGCTTCTCTAGAGACGGTGTTAAAAGCGTTTTACTCTAAAAGCGTTTAAAGCGCCTTCAATTTACTCGGGGTTCACTTTATGATTTTAAAATCATAAAGTGAACCCCGAGGCAAAATCCGGGTAAATTAAAGGCAAAATCCGGGTAGCTTTTTCGTTCTCTCCGAGTAGGATATTTTTTAATGTACGGTTTATTTATGCCAGTGACCTGTCTTCCGGATGCCACTCGAATTTATGGCAAAATCATTTGTTTGTCTCCACACACAAATCTGTTGCAGCTCACCCGTGACCCGTTCAGCTACAAAGCATCAACGCACAAAAAGACAAAATGCTTACTTTTTAGATGATACGGCACAGGATACACCTTCGAAATAAATGTCAAGTACTGTATAATCTGTATATCGCCCCCATAATTACTGCAGTTCTACTTCCGCTGGGGCAGAAGTGCACTACAGATAACGTACACAGAACAGTTCGGAGTGGAAAGGTCACGAAAATTTGGGGCTACCATAACTACACCTGCAGGAGCATGTAATGTATATAATTATTGTTATGAAGATGGGGAGGAAAGATAAATTACAGCTATGACTGCTTTGCCTTACTTTAATGCTGCTTCTACGAGTATCAATAGCCTTTTTTCAAGGTTTTTGCGCTCAGTTTGTCACCAAACCGGGGGTCATCAAGTCTGGATAAAGTAGTATACATATGTACGTACTAATAATGTACGAGTATCTCCTGAATGTGATAATGGCCTATGGCTATTAATGCGCAGTAGCTACGGTATTGTTGTTGTCCATTATTGTCGCATGTTTAGTTGGCTAGTTGACTCTGTAGAGAGCATTCGTTATAATAAAGAATAAACCGCCGGTACATACGTATATCACAGATGGCTTTCGAAACTTCTTTTGGGAATTAGGCTGTATATTGTGCTGTAAACGAACAGAGCCCTAACCACTAGCGCCTGCTTTACCGGTCAGCTGGGCAATGTCGCCCAGGCGCATATTCCCATCTACAAACTAAGTCTTATTACAACGGGTACGCTGTATGAAAATGTTGCGGCGCAACATTTGCGCTGTCGCTTATTTTTCTAAGCGTAGAAACATGAGCAATAAATTTCACATAAAATTTCTACAACATGCTATTACATTATAACTGCCTAGCCTAGTGCAAATAAACCGATATCAAGTGTAGATATATATATATATACCATTAAGATAACCGATACCCAGTCAGCCGCCTATACAGCTTCGAAAATATCTTCAATAAGTTCTTCGTGCTACTTGGTGACACCAAGCGTCTTATCACTCTAAAACGTTGGATGATGTAATTGATATTCAACAACGTTTTCATGTGTTATGACATTCCCGTCTACATGCATATGTACTTCCGTAAATTACAAAAAAGATCAAGCTCAGCTTGTAAAAAACTGTGTGTCAGCTTAGTAAACCGCAACTAACAATTTTAACGGTGAAGAATTAATGCATTCGTAAGCAGAAACCAAAAAATGCGCCTGTGAAACAAATAGTATTTCAACATTTGCCATTTATGACGGTTTTTTAGTCACAGACGCCGGACGAACGCCATTACCACGACAATTCGCATGTTAGCATAGACCGTCTAAACCGGAGTTCACTTAACAGAGCATGCACCGTGAACCTCGAGAATTTCTTTACATCCAGGCGGAGAAGGAAATCGAAGTTGGTTTCTGTCGGCGCCGGAAACAAAACGTGATTGTACTGGTTGTTATCGCGTGGATCCGGCATTTGTACTTTTGTCAAAACCTGAAAAACTATTTTGATAAACAGTGTTCTTCATTACAGTTAGCACTTACAAATATGAACATTTATGCGATCTACCGTATATCCAGCTAAAAAGAAAACCCGGACTTTCGCGATCTATGTATTTCACCGTTTATCAATGGAAAACGATTGTTACTTGCAATGCAGTGAGCCCTAGTGAAGGGTCAACTGTTCAGTATACGTTTGCTAACCGCCTGTAGAAAGGACAAACTAATCCTTCGCTGACAAACAGCAAGACACAGACCTTCATTAAGCGCGCGTATCGGGAGTCGTCTGCCCGCTGAATTGTCTCCTGTGTCCAAGTAGCAATATCCTTTAGATCGTCATCCGTCGGGATTGCAAAACTGCCATCAATCAAATCCCAAAGAGCGTTTAACGACACCGGTTGATCACCTCCAAACTGCCCTCGAATAATCACCATTCGAAACTGCAAGCTCTTGCTCGAATTCAGCAAAGCAACCGTCAGATTTCGGATCAAAAGGGTTCTGCAAACTGATGAAAATGCAATCAGTGCTGCATGCAAATCGGCAATAAACTCCGCTAAAACATTTTCCTGAAACCGTCCGCTGTTCACATTCCACTTTTGGTTGTGCAGAACGAAAGTGTGAGCCGTCTGATAGCCTTTTTCTTGCATGATGCGCTGGAAGACCCCGGCATTCATCGTTGGTAATTTGTGCTTAAAATGCGCCAATCGCGGCGAGTTCGTGGTGGTGATAAGCTTACTCCAGCGGTGACAGATACTGGCAGCATTCAGGTATTCCTCTTCAGCTGCTTCTTCTGCTGACAGATAACCATATTATTAACCAGATAACCATATTATTAACCATATTATTAACCAGATTAGATAACCAGATAACCTGACCATATTCCAGGCTGGTTCCATTTAGTAAGAGAGGAGACGCCAGAACACCCTTCCAAACACTGCATACAGCTTGAATTCGACACTGTTGTGCAGTGTTTAAATTTTCAAAAATCTTTGCCAAGAGCTCTGCCGGCAGCAAAGTCAAACCGCTTTCCAACGGCTTCATGTCGTCTGTCTTATGACGCTTGGCCCCGCTGACCCCGGCGCTCTGCTTCAACTTTCGCTTGCGGCATTTCTCGGAGCAGCTGGTCGCGTTTTTTTTGAACTAGGATAACACAGTATAATCACTCAGATTTCTGCCCTCCAAAAACATCGTTTCAATATTGCAAGGAAAGTAAACTAAAAGGGTTTAGGTATCATCCATGATCCCCGTTCCAACGGAACACCTGCCATCTCACTGTGAATCCAGTTATTCATACCTTAATTATTTAAAAATTTCGTTATTTTGACTTTTATACAAGAAATACATGTCGTTCTTTTGAAACTACCATTTCAAAAAAACACAAAATATATTTGACATAAAAAAAATACAAAAAAATAGTACCAAAAAATTAACATACAACAAAATTACGAAAATACATTTCATGATTGCCATGTTCCGAAATCGCACAAGGATCAAGTACTATTCCAGTAAAAAACTTTTGCCTGACCTACTTTTGTTTGGTAGAAATCACCATCTTTGGCGAGCGTTGCCAGATTTTGATCAAAAGGTATCAGGATCTGGTTTCCTCGAAGAACGGTTGTCATAAACCCATCTGGAAGTGCTACTCGGACCAATCCGAAGGAATACAGAGAAAAGTCCCCCATTAAAAGAGTGGCAGCATATCGTTTGCGCTGTCCCGCACTCCCAAGACGCATGTTCGCTTCTGTGGCAAACTCTTCTTTTTTCTCTGCATATAAAAAATATCGAATACTAAGCGCTTTTTTTATTAGAATTTCAAACGGGAAATTGTGCGGTGTTATCTACATTCAATGGCAACAAATCAGAAAAATCTCAACATGAGATGGTTTCTTCCTATGCAGTGCCCCAAACTTCCACTATTCAATAGACCCGCCGCACTACGTGTACAGATACGTAACAAAAGGAACGTTTAACGCCCAATTCTTAACTAATTAGGCATATTTTATTGATTCTCTATAGGTGTTTTATGTTTATACCCAGAGACTATCTTGCCATAATTATAAATGCAGTATGTTAAAATTACATATTATTGTACCTACTGCACTTACCTATTGAGCGTGCGTACAGTCTGCCGGTTTGGCCTTCATTACACAATACGTTCCGATTCCGACGGAGATAGATGCCACCGAACCGGTGAAATCGCCTGATTTCAGTTCCAGAAGTAGTTTTATGGGCGAATTCGATATGCAACCCAACGTCGACGCCGTAAGCGACTCTACCACTCACTACGTCACCGTCGACCAGAACATCTACTACGGTATTATCGCTGTTTCCACCACGTCGCACGGTACAACAAGAATTATTTTTGGGGATACGAGCGTTTTTAGGCACAGCTACTGGCCGGCTCCAGTGCGATTTCCGTGCTAGAACACTGGATCGGGCCGGCGGGAGCCAATAGGCCTGTCGATTTGGCATTTCTAGCTATCAATGCAGTATTTTGGCGAGCAGCCGGCGATACACCACTCCGTGTAGAATCCTCACAGCGCAGTTTAAAAGTGCACGCTACAAGCCACAAGGCGCCGTATAATGAAAGGACTCTGATCTACCGATGCAGTGACGTCAGCTTATCAATATCGGACGGTGCGTAGAACGGAAAGCGTACCGCAAACTTCTGGCATGATGAAAATCGCAGTGTCCATAGGCTGGCCGATCTCGGCCAGACCGGGTTTAGGGAACCGATATTTTAGTTTCCTCGTACAGAAATCGTACCGGTTGCAGAGTTCATTCCATATGTACTGGCTAGACAGTTATACCAGCAGACCGAGAGAAAAGCCGAATCCGGGTATCCTGTTGTTTGCTTTACTATTCTGCAGTACCGTGACCTCGATTCCCGGGTTTGTTCGATCCGGATGCGCACATAATTTTAGCACTATCACGGGAATGATTCAAACTAATTTACTATATTATATTTAATTTCTACTGTTTTCTCCGCGCGGTATTACAAACGTTCCACGGTTTCGAAAAGGAAAAGCTGAAAAAAAATAATAATCTCACTATTAGAAAGCTGCTTTGCAATAATGAAAGCTGTATTCCCTACAATAGAGATATACCGTGCCCGTGCCCCGTGGTTATCAGTCTTTCTTAACTACTTCAGCTAAAGCCGATACCATGCGTTCGTTGTGCTTGAAAACATGTGGACTGGGTACGTAGGTCACGGTAGGTGACCTTCAGGCTTCAGGATTATAAGATCTGCGAAGAGTTAAAGATGCGAAGGACGCACTTGTTCTGAAAATGATCTCGCAAAAGGAAGCACAAAAAAAAATTTTAGGTGTATCGAATAAATTAGTCCATGCCCTGGGAATCCATTACGTAATACGCTATTATCAAATTTGGTGGGAATAGAAACAACCGTGCTCCTAGTGGAAAGGTCTCTCGACAAGTATCGATGCATCGTCAATCATGATTGCATATGCAACGTAAGGTATACAGAATTACAGATAATAGCTTTGCAAATAATGGAACAACATTTTGCTTGATTAAAAACGATCAGCGTCAAGTTCCAACTGCTAGCGTTTTCTTTACCGGTCAGCTGCGTACAGTTGCTCAGAAGTGCACGCCATGCACCACTTGGCATATTCTGGAAGGCGTCGCTTATTAGTCTACAAAACTTGCACTTTACTATCCATTTTGTTAGAAAATATTTCAATATTTTTGATGTATCCGCCGTAACTGACGAATACTTCACAATACACCCTCTCCATTTTGCTACGAACACGGATAGCAGACGTGAATTAACATCCAAACCAAGTCTTGAGCTCTAACACGCCAAATTATAACAAGAAGTATTGTACGAATACTCTTTATTCTCGGTGTCGGTGTTGTTGTAGTCTAATGCTCTGCTGCAGTCGACACTCAAAGATCCCTTCCACATACCGGCGTTTGCGTATTCGCTGAGATAATTGCCGATGATTGCCACTTCTCCCTCCCTTTTTGCCTGAATTAAGTGCGGCTTCCGCTTAAGAAAGTTGCGGAACCAGGCAAATGAACAATCGCAACGAAGTTTCTTGACTTTGTCCATATCTTTTTCTCGCAGTGATCCGCGCTCCCAAAACTGCTCATGTTTTGACAAACGTTACAAAGTATAAGCTATCATATCCTCGAGCATTAAGCTTTCCAAGTGGGCAATATCCGTAAACGTGTACGGCTCCAGCTCATGAAAAGTGGTATCGCCAAAGATAATCATTCTGACGTTAGGCAATCGAGAGAAGTCTCGTCTGGTGACCACCAAATCTCTTCCTTGCGACAGTTGCAGTGTGACCAGATTTGGCATATCGCCGGCATCGAAAATCTTGGCGGTAATATGGGCGGTTGCGCAGCGTTGTACTTTTAGATCGATGATCTGCGTACGGATGGGATCGATAGCGTCATGATGCACAGGGTCTTCGGGGTCATTGCGTTCTGCTACCTCTAGCTTAATGGCTCTGTTGGGACTGGTTACACTGACGTTTCTAGCGTACTGCGCGATGGCATTCCGCGTTCCGCCCTCCCAACAGTTCATCTCGAAATATGTATTTCTTAGCGGATTCAAACCACTGTCAGGGGCGTAATGCATGAGGCAGTAGTCGTGCTTCCCATCGCCACAGGACATCTCCGCGTATATACGGCATTCATCGGCCGTGAGAGTGTCCGTTCGGAAGGAATTAATGGGCGGGGCGGTCTGTACTTCCGCGGTGGACACAGTCGGTGCATTGCAGTCGGTTTCAAACTTGATCGCTTGTTCAGCGAAACCTGACAAAGAAACACGATGTCGGTACTGCTGATGTTGGCTAATGATTTCTAGAAAACCGTACACCTAACAACCCAAAAGGGTTATTAATGCGACTTACCAGAACACTGGTGGATTAGAATACAAACAAAACATGCTGCAATTTCTCGCATGGTGTGGTTACGATCGCATTCGATTATTGATGTTTTCGGCAACGAGCCGTTCACTGCGATAAAAAAACGGGATTTTGTTCTACGGTATCACTTCGTATTACCGAATGGGCTTAAGCGACTGAGTGCAATATAAAAATTAACAATATTACTTTGCAGCTGCAACTTGGTACGAGGAAGTACTACTCTGTAAGTAGCTGTGATTTTGATCGTGCTTACTTGATTATCTCTTCGTGTGTTTGATCGTGCTTACTTGATTATCTCTTCGTGTGTTAACAACTTAACATGCCGACTCACCACGTATCCGAAGTTGAAATTTTGCAGACTTTGGACTTCCATTATAAATGCCATTTGAAAGCAATGTTCCCATAAAGTCCGCCGTTAACAACGATTAAGCGGTGCTGGATAGGCATTTGTGTGTATTCGCCGTTTCCAGAGACGCGGGCGTTATAGCAGTAAATATAGCTACAATCTGTCTGTAATAGTGTAACTGTTATTAGAGCAGCAACAAGATGGTATCAGCTGACGGTCCAGGTTACCGTGATAATGATCCGCAATCCCCGGGCCGCAGCTGATTGCCGGTGGGATGCTCTATGAAGAATTACCGGAGCACAGTGCAAAGCAGTCGCTCAGCCTCTACGAGTACTCGTAGTCCTTGCCTGGTTAGTTTAAGTTTAACGGTTTATTCTGCTTTACATCTACCACGATCACGATCACTCCTGCACGAGGCGGTAGACCATCACTTTACAGAAAATCAAATAAGTGAAAATACCGTTAACAAAGAAAGACAAGAATAATTCCGCTTTCACACCAGCGGTAACGAGCGAACAGATAAAGCCAAAACATGAGAGCGCAATAAACGAATAACAAAATTCAACTTTCAGATTGATAACATCCGTTTAATACTCGCATATGGAATAAGTAGTGTAAATTCCAAAAAGAGATTGTTTCCTAAATGTTAGTTTGCAAAATCGATTACGTATATCGATATGCGTTAGCGCATTGAATCATAACAAAATCATATCATATCACATCATAACAAGGAAAAGTATAGTATATAAATTACAAAGCACAGAATAAACAAGCTCCCCGTTACCACGACAGTCTGATAGACTGCGTTAATTTTTGATCTCTCAATTCACTCAGCAGAGCATGAACCGCAAACCGCGTCAGTTTCTGCACGTCCAGGCGGGATAGGAAGTCAAAGTTCGTCTCGGTCGGTGCCGGAAACAAAACGTGATTGTACTGATTGGTATCTCGCGGATCCGGCATCTGTATTTTCGTCAATACCTGGAAAAGAACTTTGATACACGGCGCGCTTGGGGACTGTTAACGGTATAACTCGCGTCCATAACCACAACATTCGGCCATTACTATTAAAGCAAAGCAGTCGTGGATACCGCATAAGTGGTCACAAAATTATAGATATGGCACACTTCGAACACAACAATTTTTTATGACCGCACTTCCAGGTCGTAGTCCAGTAGCCACGGTAGTAACCTGTACACTTCATATTCTGTTTGTCGACTTCCGAAAATCTTAGTAGTTCCTCTTAGCCTGGGTAGTAACCTGTAGTTTCCTGTAGTCTCGGTAGTCTGCGTAGATTTCTGTAGTCTCTGTAGTTTCCGTAGTTTTCTGTAGTCTCGGTAGTCTTGGTAGTTTGCGTGGTTTTCTGTAGTTTCCTGTAGTCTCGGTAGTTTGCGTAGTTTGCTGTAGTCTCGGTAGTTTGCGTAGTTTGCTGTAGTCGCGGTAGTTTGCTGTAGTCTCGGTAGTTTGCGTAGTTTGCTGTAGTCTCGGTAGTCCCGGTAGTCTCCGTAGTTTGCTGTAGTCTTCGTAGCCTGCGTAGTTTGCTGTAGTCCCGGTAGTTTGCGTAGTTTGCTGTAGTCTCGGTAGTTTGCGTAGTTTGCTGTAGTCTCGGCAGTTTGCGTAGTGTCCTGTAGTATCGGTAGTTTGCGTTGTTTCCTGTAGTCTCGGTAGTGTGCGTAGTTTTCTGTAGTCTCGGTAGTCTTGGTAGTTTGCATGGTTTTCTGTAGTTTGCTGTAGTCTCGGTAGTTTGCTGTAGTCTCGGAAGTTTGCGTAGTTAGCTTTAGTCTCGGTAGTTTGCGTAGTTTGCTGTAGTCGCGGTAGTTTGCTGTAGTCTCGGTAGTTTGCGTAGTTTGCTGTAGTCTCGGTAGTCCCGGTAGTCTCCGTAGTTTGCTGTAGTCTTCGTAGCCTGCGTAGTTTGCTGTAGTCCCGGTAGTTTGCGTAGTTTGCTGTAGTCTCGGTAGTTTGCGTAGTTTGCTGTAGTCTCGGCAGTTTGCGTAGTGTCCTGTAGTATCGGTAGTTTGCGTTGTTTCCTGTAGTCTCGGTAGTGTGCGTAGTTTTCTGTAGTCTCGGTAGTCTTGGTAGTTTGCATGGTTTTCTGTAGTTTGCTGTAGTCTCGGTAGTTTGCTGTAGTCTCGGAAGTTTGCGTAGTTAGCTTTAGTCTCGGTAGTTTGCGTAGTTTGCTGTAGTCGCGGTAGTTTGCTGTAGTCTCGGTAGTTTGCGTAGTTTGCTGTAGTCTCAGTAGTCCCGGTAGTCTTCGTTGTAGTCTTCGTAGCCTGCGTAGTTTGCTGTAGTCCCGGTAGTTTGCGTAGTTTGCTGTAGTCTCGGTAGTTTGCGTAGTTTGCTGTAGTCTCGGCAGTTTGCGTAGCGTCCTGTAGTATCGGTAGTTTGCGTTGTTTCCTGTAGTCTCGGTAGTGTGCGTAGTTTTCTGTAGTCTCGGTAGTCTTGGTAGTTTGCATGGTTTTCTGTAGTTTGCTGTAGTCTCGGTAGTTTGCTGTAGTCTCGGAAGTTTGCGTAGTTAGCTTTAGTCTCGGTAGTTTGCGTAGTTTGCTGTAGTCGCGGTAGTTTGCTGTAGTCTCGGTAGTTTGCGTAGTTTGCTGTAGTCTCGGTAGTCCCGGTAGTCTCCGTAGTTTGCTGTAGTCTTCGTAGCCTGCGTAGTTTGCTGTAGTCCCGGTAGTTTGCGTAGTTTGCTGTAGTCTCGGTAGTTTGCTGTAGTCTCGGAAGTTTGCGTAGTTAGCTTTAGTCTCGGTCGTTTGCGTAGTTTGCTGTAGTCCCAGTAGTTTACGTAGTTTTCTGTAGTTTCATGTAGTCTCAGTTTTTTGCGTAGTATTCTGTAGTCTCGGTAGTCCCGGTAGTCTGCGTAGTTTGCTGTAGTCTCGTTAGTTTGCGTAGTTTGCTGTAGTCCCGGTAGTTTACGTAGTTTTCTGTAGTTTCATGTAGTCTCAGTTGTTTGCGTAGTTTTTTGTAGACATCGGTAGTGTCGGTAGTTTGCGCAGTTTTCGGTCGTCTGTGATAGCCTCGGTAGTTTGTCCAGTTTTTGGCAGTCATCGCCCATAGGTAGTCTCGGCCGTCTTGGTGGTTTGTGTAATTTTCGATAGTCATTGGTAGTGTTCGTAGTTTGTGTAGTTCTCTTGGTAGCCATCGGTAGGCTCGTTAGTTTTCGGTATTTACCGGTACTCTCGGTAGTTTGTGTAGATTTGCCTTAATATTTATTCGTTTAAGAAATGATGTAATTGTGAAACACAGACCCATTTATATTTTATTTTTTCAACACCGCGCGGTTAACGAGTAAAAGCTAAAACAAAGTGGTAGTCTTATTTATCAGGTGTTCATGGAATTATGGTACATGAATGGTGTCTGGCAACATTGCAGGCGTTAGCAATTTCACGTTTTAATATCCGAGCCTTTCAGCTGGTGAGCGCAAAGAGCAAACCACAGGATTTTTTTTTGCTGCGCGGCATTCTCGCAAATACGCGTTATGTCTCAAAACTACCCTGTGCAAAAAGAAATGTTGATTAATTTTTGCCATGCTATTCGCTTGCTTTTTATAGCGCCCTATCCACGAAAATGCTTGTTCGGCAGCCATGGGATTGGGATCAGTGACATGAGGATGGCACAAACGAAATTTATCCGGATTGTAGATCTCCTTGCAACTGTCCTGGCGATGGTTTTTTATGTGCAGCCCGTCGACAATTTTGTTGATCTCGCTGAACATGTTGATGTACTCGTCTGGGAATATTCCAACGAGCGGTTCTTTAAGCGCTTTTAGTCGGCAAAAATTGCACCTGCCAAAACGTTTAGCTAGAAACGATTCCAGTGATCTGTTAGAGAGGCAAGCAGATCGTACATGTTGTCATAACAAAGGAAGTACTTGTGCCAATCCTCTTTAGGTAGCAGCTGCAGACGCTTGTATAGCCATTCCATGGTAATCAAGTAAACTTGGCTCAACGATTCGCTCCTGAGAATGAGAAAGCAATATGATGAAATCTCGAATTATTTCTCTTGATTTCTTTGCTGGCAATAACCTTTTGGAAACATGTCACTTTTTTAATCCGTTTACTGCAAAAACATTTGAAGGGCTTTTTAATTTTAGGTAGTTTTAAGTTCACCACAAACTGTTAATTTCAGTTTCGTAAATTAAAGTGTACAACGCCCTTAAATAAATTTCGAATTTACCAGGGCACATTCCGGAGCTATCAATTCAAAAAAAGTTTAATTTTTTCCGAAAAGGTAGAGCAAACTGTTTAGGATGCTTAAATAATTATTTCTGTGCCGTGTCCAAAACAAAATTTAAACGTAAATTCTGCACTGTGCTGTAGCCGATAGGTAAATGCACCGCGTTATACGTTATAATTCTACCGAACAATTTGTACAAGGCCAGCTGCCCGTTCGAGATTTTTATCTGTGCCGCTCGCTTATGGTAATAGTTGTTCATCGTTTCTGAAGATTTTAAAGCTTACATTCGGGATCGGTTCATACTGCTCCCTACTTTAATGTGTGCTAGCAGTTTTGCAACTATTACAAAGCCTAAGTAACATGCGCGTACTGATCTTTCTCGACAGATGCAAAAGCGTGCGCTGCGTCCCATTTGCAACCCGTTTCAGGGGCGACTGAATTGGAACATTTCTGTGTTAGGACTTATACGTAATATTCGGCAAATTGCTTAATCGAATCGAAGTAAATCGTTTCACTGAAAAATTTTAGTGTATACTATGCCATTTCTAGAAATTCGAACAACGATTAGCAAGCGAGCAGCACAGATAATAATTTTGAACAAGTAAATCGGCCTTGTAAAGATTGCTCAGTAACGTCATAATGTATAACGCGATGCATTATAGGTTACAGCACAGCGTAGAATGTTTTTTTAAAATTCTGTTTTGACCACGCCCATGGTACATGAGATCATTTTTTAAGCATCCTATACAGTTGTTCTACTTTTCTGCAAAAACATCAGATTTTTCCGATTTTATAGCCCCGGAATGTGCCCTGGTGAGAAAAACCTGCCTGTATAATGGCGAGAAATATGAAATTGTTCCACATGCCGAAACGAACGCGAAGATTCCTCGTGACCAATTGGTCTTAGATTTTCTTCCGTGTTTTTTCCGACACCAAGGGGCAACCACCTGTTTGTTCAAACAATCAACGCTTCTGCTTGGCGCAAATGTTTCCAAGTCAACAATTTCTTCATAAAACAAAGTGGAAGAAGGGTGCCTTGATGCCGTCTCAAGATGAGACAGCAGTATTGCAAGCTCGTCTGTCGACAGTTGAGCGTTCCAGCTGTCAGCGGTTGGTTTGCACTCAACGCAGAATGCTGAATTCTTGACCGGCTCATTTTCGCAAACTGGTGGGAGGTTGACGTGCTGAATAGCAACCGATTTCTGGAAAAGTAAAAAAGCGAATTAGTTACAAAAAAAGTAGTGCTAAAATAAAAACATTCATTTACTTGAAACTAATTCGTAATAAATGCTGCTGTGAATGCGGTGCTGTCTAACACTGGAACACTGATGTGCTCCGGTATCGCCGCATGTTGCCCGGGTGCAATCAGTGCGGCCCGATGGTTTTTTCCTACACTGCTGTAATGATCTGCGTAGTATCGCCGACGAACATCGTATTCACAAAAGCCGCGGCTCAAAAGTCTTACAAGCCAAGAAAACCACAAGGTAATAACGGCTTGGAAGGAAGACAATGGATTAGTTGACTAACGCGTATGATGACCTTCTGGCCACAGTAGAAGGGGTGTTACTAATTCGCTCTAAGCTGGCTCATTTTGTTTTAGCTGTTACGCTTCGGTCATGCAGCGTCAACAAAATGTGAGTGCATTTTCTGTGCTTTAATTGTGGTGAAAATGCCATACACAAATGATTACTGACCTTTATCGGCATTGAGCAGTGCCGATGACCAAACTTCCAGAGGCCATCCATGACATCCAGGTGAGGACATCCGCGTTGCCTTCCATCTGGACCGCAGTCGTGATGGTACAGCTCCGACTTTCTAAGCTCCTCGATGTGGATTTTAACAAACTGCAGTTGATTTTTCGCCCAAGAAAGCGGAACTTCTCATTTCTGCTGCGAAGCTCATTTTCAATTTCATTCGTGAAGAAGGCAGTAGCCACGAGTTTGCGGCTAAACGCTGTAATTATGTACGCTTGATCCATGGACTTTGAACAAGTATGTTAACGCGAGGCTCCCAGCGAAATCTGTACTACGGTTTTCAGTATGTTGTGGTGTTAATATTTTTGTAGGAAATTAGCTCGTTTCCTCTTATTACGTTCAAAACAACTTTTGCCATGGGTACCGCAACAGGGAGAGCTGCTTAAGGAAGACAAATATGGGCCATCTCTCTTATGTTCAACAGCAATGAATGTGTTTTTTATTCTCGCGCTCTTGTGAATTGTGAGTAATCATAAAGTATTTAGAAATTTAAGTTAATCAGTTAGAAAGGCAACTAAAATACCTTTTCTTAGACATTACAGGCTACATGTGATGGAAAATCGCATTCTGACGACGCCGTAAGAACTGCCGCAAAGTAACCGATTTGCTGGGACTCGAGCGTTAAACGGTTAATGTTCTGGCTTTTTACCTGTTGTCCAATTAAATGTCGTTTGCATAATTTCGGCAAAAGCTTGAAAAGTGCAGTGGGAGTGTAGCCTGCAAAACCGTGTATACAGGGGGAAAAAGCAGGCTACTCGACCCATTCCCTTTACTGCTGTCGTCAGCCGGCTAGAGTTTTACGTTGTGGCTAAACATGGTGCTTTATGTACCGCGCCTGATTTAACCATATGTACTGCCGTAACGTCATACTCCAGCCGGGTGACGGCAGCAGTGCCGTGAATTGGTTCGACTGACATGGTTTTCCCCCCTAAATGTGTTATTGTTTCAAGATGATTTCGATGCTTAGTATTTATACTTTATGTAAAGTCCAGTGTCAAAACGCCCAAGTAGATCCGTGCCGTTAAAGTTTTTTCTATATTAAAAACCTTGAAAACGTTTTGCTGATGCGATTTTTTTGTTAGGCATTGGGAAAATTATTCACGAATCAAGTCTGCTGTTTACCTAAAACGTAAACTCGATATTAAACAAATATTCTTTCCGTACACTGCGTTAATAAGTAGGAGAGCAAGGGGCCTCGTCCAGTAGACTTTCTCCGTGACCCGCAGCAAATCCCCTTGTAAATCGTACAAGAAATGACCTTTCTCCACTCCATCATAGAATGTGAAGTAGCCATATCTAGACCCACAACCAGTGCAACGCAAGCTGTACTCGTAACAAAAGCCAACGGTCTTTTGCAGATCGTATATCTGAACCTAAGGGCAACAAAACTAATAAAAAACTTGTGAGGAGATGAGGCATACTGGTGCTGGTATTTCTTATCGAACCGATAAAAGGTAACTTTGAAAAAACCGCTCACACCCAAAAACTGTGGTAACACACCGTTGCAGTGGCTGGGTAAACGTCGCATCAATAGATACATATGTTCTGATTTTCTAATTAGAGTATGTGCCGATGCATGCTGGAGTACCAGATTCTGCTTTTGCTAAGCTCAAAAGACTACGGTTCTGTTTAATAAAATTTTTTGCTAATTCGCTAATTTGCAACCGGCAGAACTTATAATTACTAGTAATTTTGTAAATAGCCTGAAAGACCTACAATACAAAATGCTTACTGCATTAATACACTGCAATAGTACTTAGTGCTATATAATCATATAAGTGTGCCATGGCTAGATACATACGAATCTCACCTGTTTTGCCGATTTAAGGCCAACTAATTGCCGAGCAATCCTTTCGCTGCTTTTCCCGGCATAGTGACAATCATAACAGCATGTTGTATTTGGAGGACACAGGTACACTGCATCCGCAAAGGTTTCCGGCTTTTCGAGCATTTGTGGCATGTATTCTTGTAAACTACTGAGAAAATCTGGCACATGGTCCTCGTCAATCCCGAATACGCAGCCGAAAATCTGAAAAGCTTACAAATCAAAACTTATTCACCTGTGGCACGATTTGTTTTAGAAAAAACGAGATCGAATTGTTTTGTTTGCAGTCTTAGTAGTATTTTGTAGGCAGCCTGTGGATACCCTGTAGTCACTGTGGGTTTCTTTGTCTTGTCTCTGTTCTTGTCTTAGTTGGTTTTTGGAACTTGATGCGTATTCACTTGCTGTATATTGTTTAACTGCAGGTGTACATAGTTTTATAAAGACAGCTTCCATAAACTCCTTTGAAGTTTCTGCGTGTGCGTAGTCATCCGTTTGCCGTATTGTGGACACCGTTTGCCGACTGTTTCTACAGGGTGCCACACTGCCACGGTTGTTTGTCTACAGGCTGTTAGCACACGACTACCGTGACTACATAAGGAAATTAAATCTCTGTTTCTCTCTTTCGTACGGAATAAGTCGTGTATTATAATATAATACATGACTCAATCCGTAAGAAAGACAAAAACAATGATTTAATTATAGTACTTCAAATTTAATTATACTATATTAAAGTACTTCAATGGACGGGATGTGCGGGTAAATCGTATTTATTAACTATTGCTGTTCGCTTTTAGACGAACGAAAGACGTACGGCAACCGTCAAATCAGTAGTCAAATCTTTAACTATTTCAATCTCGGTATGTACGTACGTTATAAATTTTCAGCCTGCAATGTAATTTAAGAATCATTAGCTGTATCCGTTAAAATAGTATTAACACGCATTTATCACACGAAAGAAGGACCACATTTACGCCACGCGCATTCTGATTACCTTCATCGTCTCTTTTTCCAGCACAGACGAAGGCATTGTATGGTAAACGCGGCGAAAGTTAAGGAGTTTATCAATATCGATGTCCCATCCCGCTGCGGAGACTTCCATCTTTGCTTACTTACTAAATTTTTGAAAATGTTGTAAACACTTCAACCCAATTTTTATTGTTATCATTCAGCGAACTTTACTGTGGATGGTGTAATGCTGAACTACTAAGGGACTACAGAAACACGAAATATACATTCAAATCTTTGCACTGCTTGCTTGAATTTCATATAATAGCAATAAGCGACAGTTTTTGGAATCGTGAAAACGGCCGGCTCTAACCGTCGCGCGTTCGAATTCCTTGTTTTGATATGTGTGCTTGCAACTGCAGTTGCCGCTTGTTATTTAAAAAATTCTTGAAATTCCATTGCTTTGGTGCCCTGGATGCATACGTATCGTAATCGTACAAGTGTTCACAAAACAAAATCATCGAAGTGGCTAGTTATCGCAGATCAATTTATCCAGCTGTTGGCATTGTTTACATAGTTTTGTTCGGCGAGTGAGTGGTGCTTTCACTGCAGCAGCAAGAAAACACGTTCAAAAACCACTGATCTGCGGATCGCATAACTTTTATAAATCATTAATTTTTCTTGAAATTTTGCAATTTCAAGCTCGCAGCGGTATTTCATGCCGCGCTGTTCGCTGTGGTGAATTAGCTTTGACATCTTTCTCATTATGGCTGGGTTATTTGGAAACAAGAAAAAGCCGAAAGAAAAGGTACGTCTTGTCGCAAGTAGTCGAGTTGCTTTTAAGCAGAGTCGAAAAGGAGGAATATTATGCAAGCATAATTTTCGTATACAATATGCCGCATCACGGCCTCCTCGTGCCTTATAAAAAAAAACCGGCTGTATGTTGTGCATCTTCTTTCCCAGATCTGGTACGAAAACAACAACCGCACGTATTATGGCATTCCTGGGGAAACAAAGGATTTTGTGCTCGGGTTCACCTTGGAAATTATTCAGACTGTTTGCGCTGGACCGACTGAGCAAGGTGGATTTTTTTGCAATCTCCGGCACATGAACCATCGAGAACGAGAATTGTAAGTTTGATGCTCGGTGATGCTACTTCAGTGATATCGCACTAGTAATTACTCGTTACGAAAAGTCAGACAACTTTCTCTGTTGGGTGGTACACATCCAGTGCAGCGCACTATGCTGCATAAGTTATGATGCATAAGCATAAGAACGGGTGTGTTAAAAACAGGAAGTGTGCAGCGCGGTATCTTGAATACTTGCGGTATGGTTGTATTGACTTTTCAGAGCGTAGATCAGCTTCGCATCGGGATGACACACGTTATCAGTCGTTATCTACTGTGCATTATGCGCAAAAAATCAAATGCCGTTGGAAAGATACGGGAATAACTGGGTTTTCGCATTGATAACATTTCTGCGAGTTTATTGCATTCATACTTGTTCTGTTTACACTTGCAACAGTAGAGTTAGAAAGCGGTGGTTCATAGAAACTTGAATGGTGCCAGTAAGGTATAAACGGCCGATTATTATTATTATTATTATTATTATTATTATTATTATTATTATTATTATTATTATTATTATTATTATTATTATTATTATTATTATTATTATTATTATTATTATTATTATTATTATTATTATTATTATTATTATTATTATTATTATTATTATTATTATTATTATTATTATTATTATTATTATTATTATTATTATTATTATTATTATTATTATTATTATTATTATTATTATTATTATTATTATTATTATTATTATTATTATTATTATTATTATTATTATTATTATTATTATTATTATTATTATTATTATTATTATTATTATTATTATTATTATTATTATTATTATTATTATTATTATTATTATTATTATTATTATTATTATTATTATTATTATTATTATTATTATTATTATTATTAATTACATCAGGAGCAGACAACCCGCTAAACGGGACTTCAACGTCTGGTCGGTAAAAAACTAAACAAAAAAGCAATTGCTAAGACAGATCAACAGTTCGGAGAGCAAATTTGAAAAATCCCACACCATCAACACTGAGTATCTGCATGTTATGTTTCTGTATGCGCTCAAAAATGTTCTTTAGTCGCATAGCCAGCGTGCCTTCTCCATGGATCCGTAAATGTTTACGTTATGAAGAAAACACTAACGATTAGTAATTATTCATAATGATAATTTTCAGTATGTGCTTCATCAGCACGAGCGCGTTCCATAAAGAAAGTCAATTCCTAAATGAGATTTCGTTTACCGAGGGAATGCCGCCTGTGGATGCCACAAACATGACGATAAAGCTGCTCGGATCGTATTACAAGTGGAAGAATGAAGACTTCGTCAAGTAAGGGTATCCCCGTGTGTCATTGCACTCGTAAACCGTAGTTACCGCCGAGCATATGGCCAGCTTGGTCACAAAAATTAAAGGATAATCTGCAATAAGAGCTAATAATTCATTTAAAAATCGCTTTTGTGTACAACAAACTGGTGCAAAATATTGAAGTGATGCGATTTTCCATAAGGAGCACGTGCGGATAGGTTCGAACCTAATTTAGCGAACGACCGTTTTACATTTCCAACATAGATGTGAAAATAGCATTGTTACTCATACGCCGAACTCCACTTTAACATTACCTGCTGTAATATTGTTATTTACTGTAATTAAAAGGACCAAGTCGATAGAGCATTACTTTTTCAAGGTGAGGTGGTTGCAGCGCGTGATTAGAAACTACGGTCAACTGTTAAGTGTAAAAAACACCTGCTTTAGCATTACAGCTGTGTGCAATTAACCACAGTTGAGCTTAATGTTTACAAAACATTGAGCGCGTACAAGATGATAGTATTGATGAATACTGACCATTCTGGTGTGCTGTGAAACACCCCTACCAAGGGCGACACCCCTACACCGAATGCATCTGGGGTGCAAACCTGCTTGAGGTCTGCACAGCAGATGCATGAGCGATACACTCCCGTCGCAGCTGTGCAGCCGTGCTGCACGCGTGCTCACCTGCACAGGCAGCTGCAGCTGCGCTGCGAGTCTCCCTGAGATTCGCACAGCACGTGTATCAGCGATACACTGGAGCCGCCGTCATGCAGCACACAGCACGCGTGTTCACTCAGCCGCCATAGCAACAGACAGACAGGCACACATACACACACACACACGCTTTCCCACTCTCCTCTCTATCTCCTCTCTATGTCTCCTGCAAGCACGCCATGCCGTTATACTCTGCATATGCAGCGCAGTGTGACAGCAAGCGGAGTTCTTCGCTGATTTATTTTTCCAGCTAACGCCTGGGTTTCCGCGGTGTTACTGCAACACTGCTATAGCGATTTTTCATTTCTGGTAAAACCTGATTAGATATAATTATCTGCGTCACGTATGATGAAGAATAGTGTGGAAACGGAGTGATGGTTGTGTTGTGATATTTATCCGCTATTAAAACAGATATGCCACGTACGGCCTAGTGAAGTCTCCTGCGCAGGTAAGTGCCCTGTTCGCCGCCACTTACCCCTTAATGACGAGCTGATCGACTGACTTGCGCTAACGAACCAGCGATCAGCAGCAGTCTAGCAACCGTACGAGTGACGAACCGCAGCTGATGTTGCTGACTTACGTTGCGGCTTAACGCTGCGAGCTGTTGGCGCCTATCATTGTTGAGCGTGTTGACTGCGTTGCAGGTTGTATTCTCCTCGTTCGTTCCGTTCGTTCACTGACTTGGCAGTGGTTTCGGGACTGTCTTCTGTCCCAACTGAGCCCCATCGCCTCACCCTGAACCTTGACGATCCCTGTTCTCCCTCACTGGATTCCGTGGAAACAGTACTCTAGTAAGTCATTGTACCGCATCGTTTTTCTACTTCTTACGGATATTCTGCTACCAGATTTTTAATAACTATTATTATTATTTGTTATCTCTTAATATTATTATTATTTTAATTATTATTATTATTATTTGATATTTGTTATTACGATAATTATTAATTTTTTAAATTGTTTTAAATGTCCACCGTAGCTGCCGTGTCCTCCGCCCCGGGAGACCGTGTGTGTTTAGCCCTTGTCTGCCTGTCCACCCGTGAATTCCCGCAGGTGCACTTCATCCTTGCGCCTGACCCCGCCCCTGGCGACCGTGTGTGTGGAACCGTTGCCTCCCCGTCCGCCCGTGAATTCCCACACGCGCCCCGCCTCCCACCGGCACAGACGCAGACAGACTGTCCGCTTCCCAGTCTCCTTCCCTCCTACCGGCTCTGCCATTCCGCGCACATCCCCCGCCCGCGCGCGCGCTCCTGCCTGTGCCCACCTGCCCCGTCCATCTCGGAGCCGGTTCAGACTGCAAGGACTTTACAGTTCTAGCACTGACCGTTCGCGACAACGACAAGGACTTAACAGTTCTAGTCTGTCGCAGCTGCAAGGATCGGTTAGATTCTAGCAGGGTAAACAGCAGGTACACACATATTTTTTTGTTATTTATCCCTGCCGGCCGTATTTATACAAAGCAGGCCGTACATATATAAGGCCGTACTTATAAATATGTCCTTTCATAATTTTGACAACTTATTTAGTAAATTATTTATTTAGTATTACTTATTAGTAAATTGTTTATTTATTTATTTAATGATTCATTTAGTATTTGATCAGTCCTTCCATAACTTATTTAGTAAAATTCAATTAATGGGCCGCCGCGGAATAATAGCAGGCGTGTTACGATAATGATGGTATTACTTGCAGTTGTCTGCCAAATTGGCATGCGCGTTTGGGTTTTATTTTGATGAGGTGATTTTTTGGTTCAGTTATTTATTGGGCGCACATCGCGCCCTCACATATAGCTTACCGTAATACTTATTTTAATAAAATCTATTAATCTTATTGCTTTCCCTGTGCTAACCGTTGCCTTGCAGAGTAGTATGGCATCCACATCGTCATCGTCGCCCTCCACGCCCGCCATGCCACCCGGAGATCACCGATCGCCGTTCTACCAGCTACTGCCGCGCGACAACAAGCAGCCGGCCAAGGTGGACCGTGTGGCAAACCTGCGTGACGCGCGTACCGTCTTCGCTACAGACTCGCAGGGGCCACCCGTCCTGCTCTGCGCGGACCGCAACTCCAACACTCAGCCGCAGGAAGATCTACGCGGCTTCCGCCACCCCGACACCCGTCCTGGCCGCATCTTCAGCAGCCTGCAGGATGGGCAGATCTGCGTAGTGTCGCAGAGCGGCGCGAGCATGGGCGGCGTGCTGGACAATGTGGCACAGTGGTTTCGCGATGTGTATGGCCATCACCACCACCACGGCCACCAACACCACCCCTCCAGCAGCAGCAGCAGCAGCAGCGGTAGCCGCCGACACCGTGACGACGGCGCCCGTGGCCAGGACGTCCGGCCGTCCAAGGACTGGATTTCCCGGCCGTCAGGGGAACCGAAGAAGCGCCTGGTCTTGGTGGCCGGGACCAATAACCTTCAGTCCTTCTGGCGGGACGGCGCGTGTGGATCGGCGGCTCGTGATGTGGAGGGGGCGAAGTACAGCATCTCCGCCTGCCGGGATGCGATGGAGAAGTGGTTTGATGAGATCTTTATCGTCAGCCTGCCGTTTCAGGGAGTGGACCAACGATTTCGCCATCGCGAGCAGGACCAGCGGCGCCATCATCCCGCACCCCCACGTTCTTGCGAGCGCAACCTGGACGCATGCATGGACGCCGTGGCGGCCATGAATGACATGCTGGACAATTTCTGCCATCGCGCCACCCGCACCTACCGCACTATCTGGCGGTTCATCCAGCTGGCCCCTGATGATGTTGTGCTTCGCAAGGACGGTCTGCATTGGGCTCACAGCCCATCCATGTATAGAACCTTTCACGCTGAAGTGTCGCGGGCGGTTGAGATGGCGGACGATGGTACGTACGTACGAAGTCAACGTGTAGATGTTTATAGGAAACACATTATTGATCGTGTGACTGTTTGACCTTTGCCCGTTTATGTATCATCCAATATCAATTCCTAACCTGTTTTCTGTTAAATAGAGCGCCGAAGCGCCGCCGAGCTGGCCGTGAAGCAGGACCGCGATAAGATCAGCACCCTCGCTGCCGGATTGGATACCGCGCGGACTCAAGGCGCCGCTCATGAGCGCCGCTGCCAGGAGGAGGCGGGTGTGTCGTTTGGCCACATGAAGGCGGACCTGTACGGCGAGGTCGAGGCACAGAAGGTCCAACTGCGCCGCCTGCATCAGCAGGTGACGCGGGAGTTGAGTGACTTGCGGGGAATTCGGGAAGATCTGGAGCAGCAGAAACGCGCCAAGGCGGTTGAGGAAGCCAAGGAGGCTGCTAGGAAGGCGCGCAATAAGCGGAGCAATGGCAAGCGGCGGGTGAAGCGGCGTGCGGAGTGGGCGGCCGACTCAACCTTCTGCCGGAACGTGCGTTTGGCGCGGGAGTGGCTGGCACCGAATGGCGATATCGACAGATATCTGCGGGGGAAACGGCAGTAGTGTGGATTGGCTGCAAGTAGTTCTTTTCTTTTGCGCGGGATGTTTTTCTGTTACTGGTAGTGGTGTGGTTAGTTGTGGCTGTCTGGCTGTCATGTTTAATCATAAATTCGTCCATTTAACATTGTTGTGGGGAGGTGAAAATGTCTTGTTATGGCTACGGTATGCTCTACAGTGTAATACAAAAAATAATACAACAGCATAGTAGTGTAATAAGTGTAATAATACAACAGCATAGTATCGGTAGCGGCATACGTTGTGCTAGTAGTCATACATAGTTATACAATAGCAAAACATGATTATATAAAGTAATGCCCGATAATGGTGTGCGCCAATTAAATTCAGTATTGTTTCATTCATTCATACTCATACTAAGCCAGATGACGTTCCGTATTAGAAATGTCGTGGAAGCGCGCAGTAAGCCTTCAACGAGACCATGAGCAAGCGCTGGCCGATGAAGCTGGAAGAGCTTTCTGCATTCCGTTGGGGGGTTCTACGAGGAGAGAGTCCGAATTTCAAGAAGCCTTGGACTGCCTACATCGTGCAACCGACGCTAATTTTTCGCAAAACACGAAATCAAACCCGCCGGTAATGTGTAGGCCCTCAGCTTTACCCGCTAATCACTTTAAGGAATGTTAAGTAGTTGACAAGTAGCTTGGTCCACTGCAGGAGCGCACAGCCGTAGGAAGCGCTGCGGCTTCCGCTGTCAGTGACACTTCCGCAATGCCGCACTCGCCATTACCGCAAGCCTCGCTTGGCCAAAGCAGCGAGGAGAGCGCGTCCACCTTCCACTGTCCAGCTGATACCACTGTCTCTCCGATAATACCGGCGGCATCTGCGGCGCTCGAGGAGGAGTCCACAACCACCACAGCTGGGCCAACTCTCGAGAACACATCCGACGATGTACCGGCGTTGCGGCCCGTTGCCATAGTTAGTTGCATATTTAATGGGCACCTATTTTTGCAGACCGACCAGCTACTACCCGGCCGACTAGTCATAGATGATGATGATGATGACCATATCACCGACGCTGCTGTCGCGGGTGACGGCGTCGCGGCTTCTTCCTCCACTGTTACCGACCCCGCCGTTGACGCTCGCTCTGCGCCATCTTTCACTGTGCAGGCTGACGAGGCTTGTGCGATCAACGACCACGAATCCGGCAGCTCGACCGAAGAGCCGGTGTTTCAGTCGTCTCTCGCAACCGAGCCCATACCAACTTCCGCGCAGCCGACGGCGCCACTTGGAGAGCCGATGACGTTGGATGAGGCGCCAGCGCCAGAGGTAGCAGCAGCATCCACCGGCGCGCCACCACGGTACCTATGCCGGCCCGCATTGCCACCGGAAGAGGTCCACACTCTACGTGAACAAATGATTGTAAGGCGCGCATTAGTAGCTGCAGCTGTGTAGCTGGTATTGTAAACGAGTAGGATTTTTTTATTTAAAAAGGTACCTCCGGAGGAAGGCTGGGATGCCGATCCGTATCTCCGACCATTGCCGGTAATTAAGTTTCCGATAATGCGTGCCAACTGCGGAGCGCAGTGCAGCAATCTTATCCGCCGTCTTGAACTGGTCATGCCTGGCTGGTTTGCTGTCAAGGTGAGTAGTCTTTCGGCTTTGCAGTTGAGATATACCGGCTACCATGATGAGAATAAACACCGTCGCACTTCTCTCTTCTACGCAGATTGACACCAACGATGACCTGATTTATAAGCCTTTAGAGCTTGAAGGTAGCTCGGAATTTCTGAAGCATGTCAAGGAAGGACATGTGCAGTATACACAGTCAAAGGTCACTCGAATCCATAAGGAAATTATTGAAGTCCGCTCGACGGACGCGACACGTAAGCCGCTGGCCGGGATGTCCTGGACGGAATTTATCGCCGCCAACGCCGCAGAATTCGAATCCCTGAACGACCTCGTTCCACATGTCCGCCCGGAAATGGAGAAACTCCTGGCCGATTCCGGCTTCCCGCAGGAGATTAAGGAATTCTACATAGCTGTAGCCCAGTTGGCAGCTACTCAGGATACCGACAAGAAGGTCTACGCCAAGTACGCCCACCTGAGCCCGAAGCTGTTGTCGAATGTAAGTTGTTGCCGGAAGTGCCTGCCGGTGCTGTTGCCTCTCTATGCAATAGTTATGTGTATGTGTTTTCAGCTGCCCGACTGGTCGGGCCTGGTCTGTCTCGTCCGTATGATGGACGCCACGCATGGCGTTCACCAGGCACGAGCAGGAATCAACCAGGAGGAGTTAATCGGCTCTGTGGGTGGCGTCTCGATATTCTGCCTGCACTGCGAAGATATTCTTCTGTCTTCATTCAACTTTAACCTGTGCGGAGTGAAGAAAATCCTGATCTGCTGTCATCCGGATGATGGGCCGACCGTCCAGCAAACGGTGAAGGATATCTACGTCAACGAGCTGAAATACAAGCCGGAGGACATTTGCGACCAGCTTACAATCGGGCACCACCACAAGTCGGTGTTCCCGCTGAAGCTGGCACAGCGTTTGCGCCAGATGAAGAAGGTGGTATATTATGCAATGTTAGGTCCAGGGCAGGGGTTTGTTTTGCGACCAAATACACCACATTGGGGTGGACAGATTGGTGCGAACTTTGCCGTGGCCATCAACGTTGCCGACCCGGAAAAGTTTCCCGAGGAAATTTTGGATCCGAAGAAGTATATCCAATGCCAGGACGACAAAGATACTTTATTAGACCCGACGTCCAAAAGCGCTGTCGGTTTTGACGACACGGAGACGCCGAAAATTCTGCAGGCTACAGGTCGGAAGTACAAGGAGGACATGATTGCGAAAAACTGGCCGGACCATCCCACAGTGGAAGATTTCCCACTATCGGTTCCCACATTGTACCAAATCACCAACGAAGCCGACCGAGAGATATTGCGGAGCTATCCGACAGCACCGGAAGTGATGGCCAAGCGGTACCTTTTCTCTGGCCGGATATCCGCTGCGCATATTTGCCTGGACTTCAACGTGCTGGGTGTCAGGCCGGAGAGTGTAATTTTCATTCACGACTTGCGGTGCGCAATGAGTGAGCAGAAGGTGACGGAAAATGGGGTGGATTGGCAGTTCCTTGTAGCGGTATTCTCCACTGATGACCCTAAAGACATTAAGCAGGCGCTTGTCGAAGACAGACAGGGAGTGGTGCTGCTTGACGGCGTCCAGCGATTTTCGGCCAGCACCCGGCAACCCTTCAATTTTCAGTACTTCTCCGTGATTGTCCTCCTGAATCCCAGCAACTCTGATCTTGAACAAATACAGGTGCAGCAGACGCTGAACCATGAGAATCCAACCTTAAAACCAAGCGGGTTCCAGTGTATTCTGTTTTTGCGGCGGGTTTTCACCAGCGTTGTCGCGGCCTTTACTGCGGATCATCCCGATGTCCCCCTGGAATCTCTCCATACTGTTTACGCGGGAGTGCGCGATACGAACGTGGAGAAGACGTTTAAACGCATGTTTCTCCTGGAAATGGTGAAGGTATACAGCGCCTTCCAGATTCTCCTCAATGAAGAAGAAGATTCCGTTAATGGAGCAGAGCACAAAAGGCTGACCATAATGTTTTGCGCAATGCGGAAGGTCGCTCAAATCCCGGACACCTGCATCAAGCAGCTGGAGCTGCTGTATGGTTTCGACACCATCGTGCTGAAGCATGAAATGGGATTTGACGAAGCTACAGGGACTTACCATAAGCGGTACTTGGGTGAGTACATCACTCCCACAAAACTGGCCCAGATTCTACCGACCCGACCAAAAGATCGAGACACGTCGGAGTACTCAAAAATGTTTCCAACGCGAGAACACTTGTACGACTTCTTCAGCTTCCTCGTCGACCTGTTGGTGCGTGAGATCGACCGGCAAAGGTTTTCCGCTGTCAAAGAATGGAATCAGTGGGTAAGAATATACATATTTCAGGATTTTCAATGTTGCCATCGTCGTCAGCGGTATCATCTTTGGCTTGATTGTCTGTTCGTAATTAAAACTCGTCTGTAGGTACCAAAATGGCAGAAATCGAGGCGAGAAACGGTAGAAGCAGCAAACTCAGCGACAAATGCTGCGGCGCCTAGCAGCATCATGATGAGTCCGACCGGAACGGGGGCAGCACCACCTCCAGAGCCCCCGATCGCACCAAAACCCACGGAAAAGAACGATCCTTTTCTAATCAGCGTGACGGACGACCAGGGCACTTCATCTGACCGACTGATTGACACTGGGAATGCACCGGCCAGCCACCCGACCACTGTGGACCTTGTCCGATTGGATGTGTCAGAGGGCAAGCCGCTCGGCGAGCCGAAAGCCCGGGTCAGTTCCACTGGTTTGAGTATGATCACCACCGTCATTCCCAATCAGGGAGCCAATGGACAGCACTAGCCGCAATTTGCCGGCCGGTTCGGACTTATCCGCCAACCCCGCGGCCGCCTTTGCCGACAGGTCCAACATCACGGAGGAAGCGGTAAAGCCAGTCGAGACGGACACTGCCAGGGCAGCTGCGGCGGCGAAGCAGAAGCCGGTCGTCGATGCGGGAACCATGAACTCCACCAACAGCCCCCCATCAGCCTGAGCGTTACCGATCCAACGGCCGATGCCGAACCGAAATCCGGACGCACCGCAAAAACTCCGGAATTGCCGGTCGGTGGGGAAAAAATGGTCACCAGAGCCGCCGCCGCAGCGAAGGAATTCACCGCAGCAGAGCTGAAGAATACCAAACCGAAGGCCGAGGCTTTGGAATCGGACGACGAAAGCGATGAGGATTACGTTCCAAATGGTGGCCCATCGCAGTGGGGTAAGGGCCGGGGAAAGGGGAAAGGCAAGACCAACGGCGGAACCGCGGTAAGGCTTTGCACTGCACATTTCCGGACGCCTGTATGTACCGGTTAGTTTCTTAGGCTAAATGTTTTCGATATCGACAGAAAAGGCAGAAGTCGGTAAAGCCAGCACCGGCCGCAACCACTGCCGATCCGGAATCCGTACCGGCTCCTTCTTCTTCTTCTTCTGCTTCCCATGCCGACGATCCAGATGTTATAATTTTGGACGGCGACGACGATTCGAACCCGGTAAAAAATATATATTGTCAGAATTTTTGGCACGGGCGCATAAATAATATTGAATGCTGCTCGGACAGACAACGGCGCGCCATCGTCTGATGCTCAAACGGCTTGGTCGCCGGATGCCGAATTCCATTGCGCGGCCATTCACGGACGCTACACCGCCTGCGCGCGTTAAAGCAACAGAATGCGTCGAGATTCTGGAGCATACGGCGCGGAAGGTGGAAGCCATCGTCCATCTCAACGCCAGCCTTTTGGTAAGTTAGTTAGTTAGACCTACCTCTTTGGTCTCGTTGCTTTTGTTACAAAATTCCTAAAATCTGCAGAAAATTGCCCGACCGACATTTGTTGGAAAATTCTTCCTCGTACCAGTTCGCAGTGTGTGGCCGGAAATCGTCAAAGTGGTGGCCTTTCCCGACGCTAACTCAGCCCTGGCCACTGTTCAAAGCTTCGGTTACCTACAGGAGGGGCGGACAGTGTACGAGTTAGAAGTGAAGGTCGACGGAGCGGGAATTGAACTTTCGGTCAACGGGCAGCTTATTGAAGAATATCTTCCAAAATCCTCCGAAAATCGCGCACCACAGCTGAAGCTTGAACTGACGATCGAACAAGCCGATGCGATTTTCCGGTTGTGGAAGGACTATTATTCATACGATCGCAACCGTTTTCAGATCACTGAATGCGATAACAAAACCGTCTGGGTAAGGAAAGAATACCGGCTGCAAAGACAAAATATTTTTTTTTGCTTATGATTACCTCTTCGCATGCAGATTTGCCAACCGCCGGACGATACGCAGGTGAAAAGCCTGTTGGATACCGTTCGCGGGCTCCTGGAAGATTCGAAGTTTCGCCACCCGAAGAATTCCACGGGTTTGTCGGCATTGAAAAAGGTAAGAAAGAGTGGCTTTTTGTCGTGCGGCTGTGAGCGCGGTATATTACGCCTGTGCCTTTGTGCTCGGCTTCAGATGCTGGCCGAACATACGGATCTCCTTCGACACCTTCGTGACTTTATCCGAATTCCCGCTATCCGTTGTCTCGAAAGTACGACAAATTCTGACAACACACTCAGCGACACCTTTTACGCGGCCTTCCAAGAGCACTTCAGCATTTACAACGTTCCTAGCGACGGCCACTGCTTTTTCCATGCAGTGTCCATGGCGGTCTTTCTGGACGGTAGATTCCATCTGCATTTACGCCTGGCGGCAATTGATATTCTGGCTTCGCGCTATCACGACTTCCTGCCACACTTGCAGTCCCAAGTGCCAGAAAACCATCTCGGTCTGCTTGAAGTCGTCTATCAGACTGCTGTGACTGCCCCGACTGTGGGTTTGGAATCTTACGGAGGCGGTATCCATCTGATGGCCCTGGCGACAGCCCTACACCGTCCCATCTGTTCCTACCAAGGATTCTTTGATCACAATCAGCCGGAAAATTGGAAAGATTTGTCCAGCGATGAGGTAAACGTTGTGCAAGTTTGTAGTTAGTCGATCGCTTACCATATTTGTCGTTCCTATGCAGGTTGCTGCCTTAATCGCCCGTGAAAAGAGGCTGGGTAAGAAGCATTTCCTGTATCACCCCCTCCACACACCAGCTAGTGCAACGTATCCTCCGACGCGCGTGCTCTACACCAATCTGCACTACATGGCATGTGTGCCCAAACAGGAGAAGTATTCCCTGTTCTACCTGCCGAGTACCAGCATTCCCGCGCCGCCTCTCGGACAGACGAAGCGCCCTGCCGCAGCGGGGGCCAGCGGACCACACCCACCACCTCTCAAGAGACGTGTTGCTACCACTACTACCACTACTACTACAACTACTCGTAGTAAGCGTTCCTCCTAGAGCATCTTGTGATGACACCACCGTGAATTTTTTGAGTGGACATGCCGGGGAAGGCTTTTTGCTCACATATATTTTAGTGATAATGACCGACTGTTTTTCTCATAACTTACTGTTTAAACTGCTGCGATACGACAAGTAAATATTTTTGTTTAAACCAATAATTTAGCGGCTTGCATTGAACGGGCATTTTTACTCATATCCATTGCACAATGACATGTAAGCATTTGTTGACTGGGACGCGTCTGATTCAAGTATTCGATTTCGTTTTTGTTTTTGTTGTTGTATGGGAGTGACTGGCAGTGTCGTGAGAGCGGATCGATGATTATTAAATTTTGATTTTGTATTAACGAGCAACACCTTTAGCACTTACTCGCGTATTTAATGCAGTAGTAAACTGTCGCATACTCTGCTCGCAGACCACGGTAAACGCATTCTCATATACGTATACATATATAATTCCTCACAGAAAAACGCAATATTTAAGGGCGCACTCCATGCATTCAAAATATTCCGTGCTATAGCCGGTTCGAGAAACGGTGTGCTCAACAAAATGCAGTGCATTATACAGCAGTCTGTCTCGTGCTCCAGATCGGTGCGGTGTAATTCTATCACAACGTGAGCAGAACAAATTACAAAATCGACGTTTAATATTGGTCATCTGCATCTTATCCGCCTCCAAATGGCTCATTAGGCTATATAAAGAAATTTCGGTTCCGGGGGCGTTCATCTTCCGGAAACTGGCTATACCTTTGCAAATATCGTCCACCGTAAATCCGTATTTCACAGCCCGCGAAATAATAAACGGCGAAACACTACTTTGGCAGCGAAAATCAATCACATCAGTAATATGTCCATTCTGCTGATTGTTCTTAGTACAACAGCACGCACTGTCAGCTTCTCTGCTTTCTGCTGGACGGGATGGCGACGACGGTATTTTATCAGGCATTGTGCTGCTATGCTCCATGCCAGGCTTTAGGATGAACTAACACTGCAGAAAGGAAGCGCGATGACCGGAGTGTGACTTTTACGGTTAATCGATGTTTTATAGTCGACTGTATGTTGTGTGTAAGGGCGGAGAAGGGCGGGAAGGGGTTGTGTCGTAGGCGGTAGTCGTCAGAATTTGCCAAACTATCCGCCTTTCCTTATACCACTCCCTTTGCGTGATTTGTCCGTGTATCTGTTTCTCTCCCTCTCTTGCTCTCTCTCTGCTGAATGAAAGGCAACATATAACTAGGAATGAGTGAATCATTTCGCTAATGGTACAAAGTTTGCTTTGCTCTACAATTCGCCATGGCTCGCAATCTTAATGTAGAAGTTTACACTGCGAAAAATGCCGCAGATACGGAATATGCTGGACTTGTTAGGAACAGCCCCTTTATTGTAATTGTAAGTGCATGTAAATACCGCGAAGGAGCGCGTGTACTTAAGTGCAAGAATACCCGGTCTTCATTTAGTAGCTGTCAGAGACTTTCGGAAGTACATGGAAATTTAAGAAAATGACTTTGCATGAGTATCTCATAACATACTGGCGTCAGTACAATCGCGAAGCTGCTCTGCTAATTATTCTTGTCGCTCAAGTGACGACAATTTGCATAGTCTCGCGTAATCAGGTTGCCACTATCAGGTTTGCAAACCGGACAACAGCCCTGTTGAATGAAAAAGGTGTCGTAATAAGTCGGTTTATTAATGACACGCTGCCGCTGCTAAAAAGCTCACGGGCAATCCTTATTCGCGGCGCGCTTGATCTTAATAAATTTATTGGGGAAATCCTTACCTGTGTCAGGAGAAGCCGGAGTGGTGGTACATGTGGTGACGGAAACGATGTTGCCATAGCTGCACGACCACCCCCACCACCCATTCCGGCCTACCAAATGAATATCACGGCTCTTCCTTCAACATTTCAGGCGGGAGCGACACGCCTTGACATTATCTTATTTCCTGTAGAATATATCAGCGGCAGTAACAGAAGTAACACTAGCGCACAGCAGCAACAGCATGCCGGCTACCCTCAAGTTTTAAGCTGTATTATACGAAATTATATTTAAATTGCCAATAAAATGTGACAGAATGTGACAGTATTTGCTTGCAGCACAAACCCACATCAATCATGCTCAGTTTAAGCCTGTACCAGCCAAACGAGCCCCGAATCGATCTTCGCCTGATAAAGTACATTCCTCAGGATGATAACTACGTAGCCACCCGTTGCGGATTCTACTTCTCCGTAAACTATCTACCGGAATTTATGACAGCAATTAAAGACCTGATGGGGCGCGTCAGCGAGTGGGAAAATTCCAATATGCATCTGCGACCCATAGCAGTAAAGCCACGATCATCATCAACATCATCTCGACGAAGAACAACAGCAACCGCTCATCCGTTTCAGAAAATCAGCAGCAGCAGCAGCAGCAGCAGCAGCACTAACAAGAACACGCAAAAAGGCGGTAAAAGCCGCACGGGCGCCGCCGCGGCACGTAAGAGAGCTAATTCTTTTTCTAATAACCAGCCAAAAAAATTAATTTGTACCAGCAAAAATCGTGAAAGTGAGTGCGGTGCTAATGTTGGTGTTGGTGTTGTTGATGGCGGTACAACTGAAGATTCTGATAAATGCGCAGACGACGATGATAACGACGATAACTCTGTTAAGACTTTAATTATCGACTCTGATGAATAACGCTTTTTTGATGCAGACAACAATGATGACGATGATGATGATGTTGTTGGTAGTCGCTGACATGTTAGTTGACATGTTGAATAAAATTAATTTGACCGATTTAGTCGTTTGTGTTTGGCAGGTCGAATTTATTTCGTTCGAGAAAAAATAGTTAAAACACAACATACACAAAGATATTATTCTCAACTAGATTAACATCTTTTCGGGGTCGTCGTCTCCTTCCGCTAGCACTCTCACTTTACTTCCATCAGATTTCGCCTTCCCCTTCCGCTTATGCCGGTTTCTCTTTTCCGGGTGTTGTTTTTTCTTCTTCCTCCTCCCATTTTTCGGCTGCTTCTTCCCTTTCTGCTTTTTTCTTTTATTCACACCAGCACGCCGGCGAGTGGATGCGGGGGTGACGGTGCCCCTATTGCCGATATGGCCCTGTTTGCCAATATGTTTTACGGGCACTAGTGCGTATTCGTCCATCGTTGAATTCGCTATGGAATATACTCGCTGGTAATGATCTGCACTTTCTCCCAGCAAATTGCTACGTACACGCAGAACGTCAGGCGTGCAGCACTTGAAATCCAGAAACAAATATCCATAATCTCGGCTGGTTGCGGTCTTATATGCGTCCATAAACTGCGCTGAACTGCGCGGGTACATTTGTCGCGCGAGTATTTCTATTTGCATCATGTCGCGCGGTTGTTTCCATAAAACAAGGTAATGTGCGTTTAGTGAAATCGTCCGCATTAGTGGGTTCTGGAAGAATACGTTCTGGACTGTTAAAATGACGGACCGATTTAGATGATGGGTTCCGCGAGTGAACAGTGATACCACATTTTTATTGATTTCCTGCATCTGGTCATCAAGAATAATAAGCGACGGTTCATTTTTGTTTGTAAAGTTCTCTTCGGCAACATCTTCAGGAATGTTCTTAATGAAAACAACGTTCCTTGTATGTTTTTTAATCGTTTTAAAAACAGGAGATTCGTAAGAGTAAATAAAATAAACTTTCTTGGGAAACGGGGTGATTTTGCGCAGCTCCAATAAACGGCATATCCAGTACGTCTTTCCGCCCTGACTCTGACAGCTGCAGACTAAATTAAACGGGTGGACGAGTAGAGGGTTGAAGTTTTTTACCGTTTCGTACATTTTCCAAAAACACACCGCTTTAATACAAAATTCCTGCTTTTATATGATGTGAGAGAGTCGTCATGGTGGAATGGAAGGTTGTAGGGCAGGCGTGCTGCTTTTGTATCCAAATGGGATTGTCTCGAAACCTGGGGTAGTATTAAGAATCACCCGCTTGTCAAACGTGAAACGTATCATTTTCTTTTCTTTTCGAGTTTTCAGCTGCCAACTTCCTTTTAAACGGAAAATTTTGTAAGGATTCAGTGAGTATTGCACTTTTTCCGGATCTTTCACCATCTCTTCTAGCATTTCCGGTTTGAAAATTTCGGTATTTCCTTTGTTAATCGTAATGCCTTTTGCCTTGAAAACAGCCACACCTTTACCGGTGCGGTATGCGTACATTTTAGGGCCACCGCATACAAACAGAATAATGGTATCATCATCAATTTCCGATTTATATTCGCCCAGGCATTCGCCCACCGGAAGGCTTGGCAGGTTCGGGACCCTCCAGAGCAATAACGCAATCGGTGTCAACATAAAGCAACCGCTCTATGCCAACAAAAGTCATACCAGCGTAAAGCTCCAGTCGTGCGTAGCTAGTGACGAAACCCGCTACGATAACGTTAGCCCGTAAATCCGTTGCGTCCAGGTCGTTGACTCTTGTACTTTGTACCTGCAAACATCCTCGTTCACTACATCGATATAATTCACGGTGTAGGCTCCTGAGTAGAACAGTTCATTGAACCGCTTGACGCTTTTGACGTATTCAAATGTAGGCTTATTTTCCTTTATCGCCAGGCGACCCCATAACGTATTCAGCATTAGTTTCGATAAGAGACGCCGCGTAGGATTGTATTCCACTTTCTCCGGGTTGACAGTAACATTATCCCTGTCTTTTAAAGTCCGCAGGTATGCCGTTTTGTCCGCGTCGGATTGACAGGTTATGGGGTATCCACTGGCTGCGGCTTTTTCGGCCATAAAAGTGCTTATATAATCAGCAAAAAGATCTCCCTTTTTCGGGTAATGCCAGACTTCATGTATCGCAAGCACGTGATATCCAAGAGCAAGCGCTAGTGTAATTTCCGGTGTAGTATAAACTCCGTTGTAACTGCGTTCGCTGTCAGAATGCGTGCATGGGGTATGCTGATTGTTAAGCTGAGCACATCGCCAACACAGAGTAAACATACACTTTCCGTTAATACGTTGCGGTAACAGCGGTAAAGGCAAATCTTTCGGCGGCAAAACTCTCGCATGCACAATTCCAAAATACTGGTCGAGAGGTTTGAAGTCGCTGAGAATTCTCTCCGGAAGACCAAGCGGATATTCTTTCTGTTTGCAAACAGCTGGATAGAGGGAATTTTTATCGAGGTAAGATATATATTGACCTTGGCTAGTGTCAGGGACCGTTAGGAGCCGAAATGCTTCCGTCCGCCCACCAAACAGCACATCGCGTATATTCATAGGTTTCACATGCGAAAAGTTTCGTAGGGCATTTTTAACCTGCTCGTCCGGGCCCTTTCTTTTCTTTATTGCATTCCATTCACAACTCCAGATACAGCGATAAGTATAACCTTGGGATTCAAGGTAGCGCTGTTTGTGCTTCGTAGCCTGTAGCAGGGCCATGTTTGGTTGCCAAACGTCACCGTGTCTCCTGTATAGCATTTCGGACACCTGTAAAAGAATTTGTTAGTTCAGGTAACCGGAAGCCGCCAGGCAGTGATATTACCCGTGGAAATAACACCCGTGATATTCAAAACAGTCTGGGTCGTTTCGCAAAATCCATCCACCATATAGCGTCCAATTCGCTTTTCTCCGTCTGCATGATTTCGAGCATGACGAATGACGATGCATTCCGTGTGGGCAACGTAGTGAAGCCACTGGATACTCTCAAAGGAATAATTTCGATGCGTCTGCAGATCTCGAAATGTAAAGTACTGAATGCTGTTTTTTGGCATAAATTTAGCTCTGTAAACGAGATTAACAAAGCTAGGCAAAGAAACGGACTCCACTAATGGGTTGTATCCGTGGCATAGAGTTTTCATACTTTCACAAAATTTTTGGCAGGCCTCTCGCAGAACCTGACAGTCGTTCTCACAATATTTCAGGATCTCTTTAGAGAAATTCCACACTTTGCCAGAGGCGGTTTCCTCATCGTACCACTTTTTGAATACAGCGTAATGTTTTTCTTTCATCTGGCTGGTAAGAAAATAACTCTCCTCGGGAATACTACCGGAATAATTAAAATTCTCTTGGCAAGCAAAAAGAAAAGGAAAACACCCTTTGGCAGCGCAAAACCCGAAAGCAGCCGGCATCTCCGCTAAGCTCATTGGCAGAAATGCAAGGGAATCTCTCAGTACAATATTATTTGTTGTCTCCTTTATTTGCAGGAATTTTAGTCCGCGCATAATAACCTGGGGCCATAAATGTCTACGGTGCAGGTGCTGCATGATGAAATTGCCGTCGTAACCCATTAGGTTGTGGAAGATAACAATGTGATTGCGATGGCGAGGATGAAAGAGCCAATCACAAAACCTTGCACCGGCGTTTTTTCCAAAGAAACGCGTCGCGAGTCCTGTGTCGTTCACAGCGACAGCAGCGATCGGCGTGTGGTATTCTTTACTGATGTCACTTTCAAAATCGCAGTACAAGAAAGGGCGATCGGGTTTCGGTTCGTTCTCATGGACTTGCACGAAACACCGATGCACGGGATCTACTATTAATTTGCAGCTCCGGCAATAGTACTCACCGCATTCATGAGCAGAGTTTGACGGATGGCGCGCCTTGTCCGTATGGATGATAATTCCACAGTCAGGACACCTTTGCCGCAACTCGCAATCTGTTTTTTCTGTTTCGTCGAAAGTCCTGCTGCTGCGTGCAGCGGCTTCGATAATTTGTGAATGCGGAAACACTCTGCATTCTTGAAAGTCCTCCTGCATTCGCTGCAAGTAATCTCTTTTCAAACCAGCAGTCTTTTCTTTGACAATTAAAGCATGCCTTTCTACAGCGATGATCTGCGCTCCCAAGCTATTAAAAAAATCCGCCACATCCGTCGCACTGCTTTCTCTTTCCAAAAAAACCGCGCGTGTTTCGTAATGGCTGCATAATGCTCATTTGACAGCAGAATAAGCAAGCTTTTACTGATAGTAGCGGGGGTGGTTGTAGTGGTGGAGATTTCTCGGTGGTTAGAAATTCCGCTATATAGTAATCCATTCTCTGGATCAGGCGATTTGTATATGGACAAAGTGTAATTTGGGTAGAGCGATTTGGCAAAGGTAGCGTAGTCGCTGTATGAAACAGGGCCAGGTGAGAGGCCTGCCAGTTGGTACAGTTTAATTGCTTCAACTTTTTGCAGCTGCCGGCGACAATCGCATAATTCTTTCCATTTCCTAGCATCGGTTTTATGAAGCTTAGATGCGTGCGCTATGGCAATGGCAAGTGCTCGCCCAAAACATAAGCTGTCGCTGTTTTTTACGTTGATAATGCCACCACCCCGCGGTGCTCTTATGAGGTTTCGGAAATGGCGGTCATTTTTTCGCTTGTCTATTCCTTTTCCCACTGGTTGCTTTGGGACGCGCAGCAAATTAATAAAGACCGGTAAATTCAAAGAAAACTCCGTTTTGGATGTTAGTGTATT